GCCTGTTGCTAACCTACTGAGGCCAAGGTGGTGAAAGGCCACTGAACTGGGTTTTCCAGGGACCCAGGGCATCCTTGGCCCTGCTCTGCTGGAGGAAACGTGAGTACCTGGCCACAGTTCAGGAATGATGTAAGCCCTGGCCAGTATTCTGAGATCTCTTTCTTCCCTTCTCAAGTTTAAAGTCACCTGCTGGTGATGTCAAGGCCATTTTAACCTTGAGAGTGTACTCATATTAAGGCAGAGCATTTTCCCAGGCCTGATGATCTCTGAGATGACCGACCTTGAAGGCAGCTTCAAAACTGCTAAGGTCAGGGCCAACTTGGGCTGTGGTGGAGGTTTGATCAGCTTTGGATAGGCCCAAGTTGTGTCAAGGGAGGGAGTGCCATGCCAAGATGGAGAAGAGGGAGATGACTGGTGACAGGCAGAATGAAGAAGAGTCACCAAGGCCTAGTACCTGACTTAGGAAGAATAGAGTGGGGGAAGATGTGATGGGCAAGTCCTTCTTGATGGCCAGAACTAGCTGAAAGGGCTATTAGGAAGCTGACATAGGTGAACTTCAAGACTGTATTTGTGAGCAACCTCCACAGTTCCAGGTTTTCACTGTAAGGGATGACTCCAAGGATCTGAGTCCTCCTCAGTGGCTCCTTCTGGATTCTGGAACAGGATGCCCTCTGGAATAACCCAGGTGTTCCAAACTGGAGGCTTGGGATCCTGTTCATCTTCATCGTAAAGTCATGTGTCCATTTCTGCCAAGAATTCAAAGATATATCTGAGGTGCCTTTCCAGGGTGCTCTCATGGGGTGGGGTGGATGTGGTCTGGTCAGCCTGGGGCTGGATGCAGAGCCTTGAGCTGATGTTTCAGCTGAGCCTGGGGTAAGGCATCAGTGAGAATGGCCAGGTTGACCTGTCCCAGTCATAGTCAGGTGATAAAGTACTCTCACCTTGCAGGCACTGGATGCAAGTATTTGTGGGGTGTGGGCAGTGCCCCAGGAGCAGAGCCTGGGCAGCTCTGTGTGTTGAGAAGGAAGGCTGTCCCTGCTCTTCAGGCCTGGCCTCACAGCTTCTGTTCTCTATCAGTCTGTCTAGAGTCCAGGCCAGGAGGACTTGTCAGGTGAGAAGGGACCCAGCCTAGCACTGTGTCACCAACTCAGTGGACAGTGTTACCTGCCCTCTGTGTTAGAGACTGCTGGATATGTCTTGAGATTTGGGTTCTCTTGTATGTGTGTAGATGAGTGTTTATGCTTTGGACAATGCCAGACACATGGTGATTTGGGTTCCTTGTATGTGTGTAGGTGAATGTTTACACTTTGGACAATGCCAGACACATGGTGATTTGGGTTCCTTGTATGTGTGTAGATGAACGTTTATGCTTTGGACAATGCCAGACACATGGTGAATGATGTCTGAAGGTGCTGAAAGTTTTGAGTCAAGTCAGTGTGCCTTCTTCTGAACTCCTACTCCCTATTTCCTGCAGATTCTAGACCAGGGGAGGTAATTAAGAGAGGGAGGCCATCACTGGAATGGTAGCTATGGTGAATGGATGGAGCCTGGCCCAAGATCCTGAGGGTGACAGCTGTGCACTGCCTTCTCCATATTTCATGAATGGCTAAAAATAAGCTTCTGTTTTAAGCCAGTGGTCTGTAATTTCTGATCTTGTAACCGTGATGTGTAGGGTGGGGACAGCTCCTCCCTACTGTTTGTGATCTATTATCTGTTTTAGACAGGGTCTTGCTATGTAGCCCTTGCTGTTGTGACATTCACCATGTAGCCAAGGCTGGCTTCAAATTTCTGGGAATCCTCCTGTCTCTGCTTCCCAAGTGGTACATTCCAGGTGTGTGTCACCATACCTAGCAGCCCTTTCCCTTCAAACCTAGAAAAGCAGTGAGGGGCTTGGGTACAGTCTTGCCCACATTAGGGCTTCCTCTCCTCTTATATCTTACCCAACAAGTTCTACATGCAGCGACAGTTGAGCCACCTTGTTGGGCATAGGGGACTAAATGAGGAAACATAGTGGCTGTCCATAGACTTGCTCTTGGACCGGTGGACACTGGGTCAGGCCATGGGGAGCAGAGGCAACAGCTTTGTCTCCTGGGTCCCCAGGAAGAGCTAGGCAGCCAAGTACAGCAGCCACCTGAAAATAGCTTGGGCCTTACTGGTCTGGAAGGAAATGGACATGAAAGGGACAGGCTGGACTCCTGTCTGAGACCCCCACAGCTCCATTCTTTGCTATTCTTCACAACTGCATAGCTCAAAACAAGCCAATGGAGACAGGTTCCTGAGGCCTGCTCTAGGTGCTGCTGTTGATGAGTACCCAGTACTGAGTACCCAGCCCTGTACCCGGTGGGGTCATGCAAACCCTTCCTGCTGCTCTTAGTCTTTCTTTCTCTGTGTAACAGTCCTGGCTGTCCTGAAACTCACTGTTTAGGCCAGGCTGGTCTTGAACTCAGAGATCCACTTGCCGGAGGTGGGACTAAAGGCATGCACCACCACCTGGCTCACCTAAGGTCTTTTTTTTTTTTTTTTTTTTTTTAGGTTTTTTTGAGACAGGGTTTCTCTATGTAACAGCCCTGGCTGTCCTGGATTTTACTGTGTAGACTAGGCTGGCCTCAAACTCACAGAGATCCTCCTGCCCCTGCCTCCTGAGTGCTGGGATTAAAGGCGTGTACCCGGTTTACACATACCTTCTTTACATAGCTGTGGATCATCTTTATCTGGTTAACCTTAATTGTCAACTTGACACAGTCTAGAGTTATCTGAGAAGCCTCAATTGAGTTATTGCCTAGATCAGGCTGATCTGTGGACATGTTGGTGAGGGATTGCCAATGGTGCTGTGGGCAGCACCATTCCTCAGGTAGGTAGCCACATCCTGGGCTGTGTTAAAAATCTAGCTAAGTACTGGGCAGTGGTGGTGCACGCCTTTAGTCCCAGCACTCGGGAGGCAGAGGCAGGTGAATCTCTGAGTTTGAGGCCAGCCTGGTCTACAGAGTGAGTTCCAGGATAGCCAGGGCTACACAGAGAAACCCTGGGGGGAAAATACAAGCATGAGCCAATGAGTAAACTGTAAAGTGAACCAACAAGCATTCCTCTATGGTTTCTAGAGTTCCTGCTCTCACTCCCTTAATGATGGGTTGTGACTTTGAAGTGTAAAGCCAGAGAAATCCTATCTCTTAAATTGTTTTTGGTCAGAGTATTTTATCAGCAATGGAAAAGAAACTAGGTTCCCAAAAGCATTCTGGTTGCTACAGTCCTCACATAAGCCCTCTGCTGGCAGCTTTACCCTGTCTTTGAGAGGACAGATGTCTCCATGTGTACTGAAGCAGGCCTATTTCACAGGTGTACATATGTATAGTATCTTCATCCAGGCCTATTTAGGCCTAAACACCTTTCTGCATACTTTAAAAAATGTGGGGGTGTGGAGATGAAAGAGAAAGAAAACCACTAAAATGCTTCCTTTTTAAAATGCCATAATAAACTGGTAGCACATGCCTTTAATCCCAGCACTCAGGAGGCAGAGGCAGGGTGATCTCTGTGAGTTCGAAGTCAGCCTGGTCTACAAAGCAAGTTCTAGACAGTTAAGGCTACACAGAGAAACTCTGTCTTGAAAAACCAAAAAAAAAAAAAAAAAAAAAAGAAAGATTTTGCCATGGTCATGGTGTCTCTTCACAGCAGTAGAAACCCTACCTAACTAAGACACTCTCAGTTGTCAACTCTATGAGTTCGAGCCCAGAGCCTGGTCTACAGAGCGGGATCCAGAACAGGCACCAAAACTACACGGAGAAACTCTGTCTTGAAAAACCAAAACAACAACAACAACAAAAAACAAAACACAAAGGTGAGCTGAGCACAAGAGTGAGCACAAGCCGCTCTCTGCGTTTACTTCCCGACTGCAGAGGCAAGGAGACCAACTCCTCCCAGCTCCTGGGCCATGACCTCCTCGATTGGAAGGACTGGAGCCTGGAGCTGTGAGCTGAAATGAGCTGTTTCTCTTTTCAGTAGCTTTTGTCAGCGTGGTTTATCACAGCAATGAGAAAAGTGGCGAAGACAGACAGTGATCAAGCCCCATGGCTCCCCACTGCCTGTGTCACTCAGGCTGGCCGTGTCCCCGCAGGTTTTTCTGGATAGCCATGATGTTTACTGTCTACCCAAGAGATGGCCATTCAGTGCTATAGTGGTTCCTGACTGTCCTGCGGCCATGACTTCTGAAAAGCAGTCTTTCTAAAACATTCCAGAAGGATGTAAAATGCAGAAGTGTTGACTCAATATTTTAGAAAACCATAGAAGCAATAGCACATAAATAAAAAGGGACTCGTGTTGAAGAAACTTCTGGAATTTTTCTTTTTGATGTTGGAACCAGAGATGTCTTACACCAGCCCATACTGTTTTCTTGGATGCAGATGGGACCCACTTTTCATTTGCCTTTGGTCATTGTGATGGCTGATGATGACCAACTTGATGGGATTTAGAATGACCACAGTAACAAGTGTTTGGGCATGTGAGAGAGTTTCTAGATTGTGTTAACTGAGGTGGAAAGACTGACCTCACCTGCAGTTTACCTTTCTCATCTAACCCCGTTACCTGCCCATGCCTTGGCAGACTGAGCTACAAGAAATGTGGGTGGTGGCATTCCATGGGCTAGGGTCCTGGACTGAAAAGTGGCGAGCACCAGCCTTCCTGCCTGCAGACACAGCATGGCCTGCCATCATTCCAAGCCCAGCACCATGACTTCCTCCCTGTGATCCTGTACCCTTGAGCCAGGAGCCAGAATACACCCCTCCTGAAACTGCTTTTGTCAAGGATTTTATGCCAAGGAAAGTAACTGATGCATGCCTCTTCCTTCACCTCACAGCAGTGGATCCTGTAAGCTTCCTCTCTGTCAGGAAAAGCCAATTCCTGCTCTTGTTTGAAACTTGATATGAGAGCCACATTTGAATATGGGATCCTGGTGTAGTGATCTAGTCCCATGACCCCTCCTTATATCATATTTATGACTCAAAGACTGATCATGTCCCCTTAGCCTTTATTTTCTATAGAATCACAATATGCTTAAGTGTATCCTCAAGAGATGACACCACTCAGCCTTGTAGTGGCCCCTGACTGTCCTGTGGCCGGTAACTTCTGTTGAAGGCACAGAGCTGGGAACAGAGGACTGTGCTTCAAGTCTGGCCACATCTCTTGTGCTGCAGATGCTCTGTGGGACGACATCTGGCTCAGGATCAGTTCAGTCTGGTGCAGTGTCCATACCCGAAGGAACATTGACACCCAAGGATGCCTCCACAGCTGTGCTGGGAGCCAAGGTCTCAGCACCTAGTCACAGCCAGTATCTTCCCTTCATGAAGTTATCTGCAACGTTTCTGCTCATTCACAGCAGCTTGGAAGTCCTTGTTGCTGCTCAAACCTGTGGGCTTTCTTTTTCCTCCCTAGGGAGCTTATCGGCATATGTAAACATGGACAGGTCCCTGGGGGCTTTCTGGACAAGCGCTGGAAAGAAGTCCAGCCCCCAGGTTACCTGCAGCACCACCTGGGACGGTTCTCCACACATAGACCAAGGCCTAGCTGTGTGCACTGTGGAGTGGGCTCTGGGTCTGGGACTGCGGTCCAGAGTCTGCCTTCAGGAGTGGAAATCTGCATGCTGATTCCTGCCTGCAGGTCCTGACAGACACACTTGGTCCATTTTGTGCATATCACCTTGATTTTTTTCATGTCCATCATAGAAAAGAGTGATTAAAAATTAAAGAAAAGAGAAACTAGGAGGGAGAGGATGCACAGCTGAGCACTGACTCGCCCCTTCATGCCTGGTGCTCTGAAGGCAGCAGCAACCTCCTCATCGCCCATCCTCAGTGGTGGGGGGCTGCAGGTGGGCAAAGCTCAGAAAGACTTGCTCCAGTGAGATCTGGCTCACAGAGTAATCGTCCACTCCATACTTCTCCTTGGCTTTCTCCAGGATACCAAACACCTTTTGAAACAGAAAAGCTACTGGTAAGAGAGCCCAGGGCCCAGATAGTGAGTCCTCTGGTAATGGGAGGTTAGACTTCACCCTACCATTCCCCAGTGTTGTCCTAGAGCCCCTGGAGAGGTCACTCCCACAAGGTCAGCAATGCTTGGGGAGAGGATATTGGCTGTACAGGGGCAACAAGGTGGAAGCCAAGGCTTTGCTTTGATCTCAGAGCATGACCTTGGGCAAACTATGTCCCATCTCTGGGGCCAGTTTCCCTTCATGCAAACATTCCTTTCTTCAACCTCAAGTATTTTACATATAAAAACTGAAGCCCATCAGCTATAAAGGTGAGTGGTAGAAGAAAACTATACTGTGACTCTACCCAGGAAAGAGCCTGGAATTACCATAGAGCGGGGAGTCCTAGAAGGTCCCCCTTAGTCGCTATTAGTGCCCTGTAGGATTCTGGGGCCTGCACTCACCTTGGCCCAGCTGAGGTCACAGCCAGGCAAATGATAGTGGACCATGTCTTGGTGCTCATCTTCTAGGATGCTGCCTGTACAGAAGAGAGCATAATCTCATGTAGGTCAGGCTATAGAGGATGGCCTGGAGTCCTTGTCGAGGGGTCAGGTGTGTAGGATAAATTCTGTGCAGCAGCTAACATGCCCAGACAGGGCCCCAGGCCCATCCTGCACCATCACACACCTGGGAAGGTCAGGTCCACAAATGCCTTGAACTCCTCTAGTACTTCTTGCTTCCCTTCACTCCGGACCTTGGCCTGCAGGGAGTAGCCGCTGCCAAACTTGCTCTTGAGGTGTTGTGGGCTGCCCAGGCACTTGAACTGGCCCTGAACCATGATGGCCAGCCGGGTACATAAGGCTTCACACTCCTCCATACTGGGGAAAAGGAGAAAGCCTGAGACGGTGCTGGAGGAGGCTGATGCTCACCCTGAATGTCAAAGGCTTGTGCAGACAGGAGGGTATCTATGCCCAGACCAGGCCATTCCTGCATTCCCCATGCAGAGCCTGGGAAATGTCCTGGCAGACCCTGCATTAGCTGCTGCCATATCTTCTGCTCACCTGGTCCCACCCCAGCCACCCGTTCCGGCTCTGCCCCTGACCCACACATGCCCAAGCTCTACCTGTGGGAGGTGATGACAATGGCCTTGCCAGACTCACGGGCCCGGGCCACAGTGTCCCACAGCAGGCGCCGGGCCACAGGGTCCATGCCAGTGGATGGTTCATCTAGGAAGATAACTGCAGGCTCTCCGATGAGGGCAATGCCAGTGCTCAGCTTGCGTTTGTTACCGCCACTGGAGGTGGATGGCAAGATCAGTAATTAATATGAATACTCTGGCTTCCAGCAAAGGCCCATACTCAGTGACTCTAGAGCATCCTAGGTGAGAGGAAAGGGGTGAGGAGTACTAGAAAGCCCACTGCATAGGGGAGGCCCTGGAGGGAACTGTGCCCAGGGGTCCTTGACATGGCCAGTCAGCTTGCCTCGGCACGAAATGACAGGGAAGTCCTCTCATATGGTAAGGTCTAAGTTGTGCTATCAAATCCAGTCTGATTCTGAAGCCATTGGCCTTGAGCTCCATGATAAGGAGACCCTAAACTACTTTGAGAAGAGCCAGGGCTGATCTCATAGGAACAGAGACTAGGTATAGGTCGTACCTGTAAGTCTTGACTAGTTTGTTGGCATGCGGCTCCAGGAGCAGACCCCGCAGAGTATTCTCCACACAGGCACTGATGAGGCGCTCTGGGATGCCTCGGAGCCGTGCATACATGACCAGCATCTCCCTGCCAGTCATGTGATCTAGCAGTGCATCAAACTGGGGGCAGTAGCCCATCCGCTGCCGTACCTAGATTGGAATATGGTGTGGGAGGGAAGGGTTAGAGAGGTCCTCTCCTCGGCCTTGGTGCCTGCCTCTATGCCTGGCCTGCGTCTACAGTCCAATGAGTCTGTCCAGGGTTGTCCAAAGAGTAGTCATTAGGCCCTGGTGGCTGACTACAGCTGAAGCTCTCCGAGCAGCACCCAAGTGGGGACACAGGAAGGACCAGCTATCTTAGGGAGGCTCCCAAAGGGACCAGAGAGGCCGGCAAGTGGTCTAGCTGGGGGCCCGATCCATGACAGACAACTGTGGGGGCAGTTAGCATAAGAATGGTTTAATTAGCCGGGCATGGTAGCACATGCCTTTAAAACCAGCACTCAGGAAACAGAGACAGGTGTATCTCTGTGAGTTCAAGGCCAGCCTGGTCTACAAAGTGGGTTCCAGGACAGCCAGGGTACAATAGAGAAACACTGTCTCGAAAAACCAAAAAAGAAAAAAAAAAAAAAAAAAAAAGGAGGAGGAGGAGGGGGAGGAGGGAGAATGGTTTCATTGTTATATGAATGGTCACCACATAAAACTTTATAGACAATTGTGATCACATACTCCCTCATTCATCAGGTAGTAACAAGCTCTAATGTTCTAGGGTCTTTCTTCTAATAAGAAGTGCTCATTGGTAATACTCTTGTAGTGGGTATCACTTCTCAGAGAGGTGTCTCAGCAAGTGCCCGGATGCAGAAAAGCCAGGATGCATCAGGTCTCTCCAGGCTCTGGTGTGCTGGGTGCCATCTGCCCCACCACCCTCCACTGGCTGGGGCCGGTGTGCCTAGGCTTGAAGACTCCAGAGAGTCACCTCCTTGGAAATCTAGTCTGCTTTTACTTGATCTGGAACAATTCTTAGCTTTTGGCTTAGCTCCCCCACACGGCTTCCTTTCCTTCTGGACCTCAGATGTTTCTAGCACCACCTCTCATTCCTTCCCTTTATTTTCAGATCAGATGTGGATCACTGCAAGACCACTCGTGCATACATTTCTAATCATTTTTTTTTAATTTTTGATTTTTTTTTTTGGAGCTGAGGATCGAACCCAGGGCCTTGTGCTTGCTAGGCAAGCGCTCTACCACTGAGCTAAATCCCCAACCCCGAAATTTTTGATTTTTTGAGACTGTCTCTCTATGTAGCTGTGACTGTCCTGGAACTCACTATGTAGAACATGCTGGTCTCAAACTCACAGAGATCTACCTGCCTCTATCTCCTGAGTGCTGGGATTGAAGGTGTGTGCCACCATGTCCAGCAATTTCTAATCCTTAAAATATTAAGTTATTATTATAATCTTGGCCAGGTAACTGAAAATCTTAAATCTGAGTTTGAGTGCTGGAGAGATAGCCTAGTGGTTAAGAACACTTGTTGCCCTTCTAGAGGAGTGGATTTGGTTCTCAGCATCCACACAGTGGTTCATAATCATCTGTAACTCCAGTTCCAGGGGGTCCAACACCCTCTTCTGACCTCCATGGGGCCAGGCATGCACATAGTATACACAAATACAGGCAAAACACTCATACACATAAAATAAATAAATCTAGAAAAAAAAAAGAAATCTGAATTTGTTCATTCCTTGAGTGCTGTGCCTGCAAATTCTGGTCATGCCTGGTTGCTTGCTCTGCTCGTACACCTGGACACAGTATTCAGCTCTCAGAAGCCTGGGACGAGCCCTTCTTCCAGTCCAGCACTCCCTGCCAGCAGCTCAGAAAAGGAGTCCACCACTAGACTTACACTCAGCCCTTTCCTGTCTTCTGCTCTGCTTGACACACATGGCCTTTTATACTGTCTCCAGGCAATAGGGAACATGTGGGCTGTACCTGGTCCAGCCTCACTGTGGCTTCAGCCTGATGAGTGAGAAGCTGGATGGGCCCTGGGCCTTCCCGGCCTCCTTTCATTTCTCTGGACTTTCAAACCATATGTCTGTGTTTTAGACACAGAAGTGCTGGGTGGACAGACAGCTGAGTCATGTTTCTTTGACCAGCATTTCTTTCCTCTCTATCACCTGTTTAAGCCTGGTCCTGATGTCCACAAATACTGCTCTGCCTACTGTGCGGCAGAGACAAGTCTGTCCGATCTCTTGGGTAGCCTTTGTCTTGCTTCAGACCAGTAGGGCATCCCTGCTGCACCCACCTTTCCGATATCAGAACTGATGCTGTAACCCCCAACAAAGGCATCCCCTGAGGTGATGGTCTCCTCCCCAGTCAGCATTTTGAACGTTGTGGTTTTTCCAGCTCCATTGAAACCCAACAGGCCAAAGCACTCCCCTTTCTGGACGGCAAGGGAGATCCTGTCCACGGCAAGGAGTGGTGCTCGCTGGTCATACACCTGCAAGATGCCAGCAAGAAAGCCCCAGGTGAGGAGGCCTGAAGATAAGCCAGGTCCTCTGGCCTCTAGCCCCTGCTAGCTTCTGGGGGTACTAGGGCCAGCTGGGTGGAGGGCAGAGCTTGTGTTACCTTGGAGAGCTCATTGATGATGAGTGGTGTGTCAAGCATGGAGTCTAAGCTGGGGACCAGGACTCGGCTCCTCTCGTCAGCTACATCTTGGTCCTCAGGAAGCACTGATGTCCGGTTCTGCAATTCTGCCTGATTATTTAAGATGAATACTACACATGTGAATTCCAGCCCCATGGAAGGAAGGATAGGAGCCAATGTCGACATGGGAAATGAGAGGACTTTTCACCTCTGCCCTCACATAGACATTCTTTCACAAGAGGCAGGAGGGCTTAGAGGCTCAGGTCTACACAAGAACTGTGTGGAACTCAAGGAGAAAACCATGATCAGAGTGATGTGAAGAAGAGGGTTTTTTTTTTTTTCCAATTCACTTTTATTACGTGTATGGTTGTTTGACTGCATGTGTGTCTGTGTACCATACACATGCCTAGTGTCTGTGGAGGCCAGAAGAGGGAACTGGAGTTACAGGTTTTTTTAAAACAATTTTTTTTTTCAAGACAGGGTTTCTGTGTGTAGTTTTGGAGCCTGTCCTGGATCTCGCTCTGTAGACCAGGCTGGGCTTGAACTCACAGAGATCCGCCTGGCTCTGCTTCCCAAGTGTTGGGATTAAAGGCATGTGCCACCACCGCCCGGCCTAAACGATTCTTAAAAATGTATTTTATATGTATGGTTCTGTTTTGCTCGCATGTATATCCCTGCACCACAGGACAGCAGTGCCTGCAACGGAGATGGGGCTCTTGGGAATGAAGTGACAGGCAGCGGCGGGCCACCATACAGGTGCTGGTAACTGAAGCCGGGTCCTCTAGGAGAGCAGCCAGTGTTCATTACCACTGAGCCGTTCCCCAGCCCTCTTTTCTTTTTCAAAATTAAAATTTTAATTGTGTGTGTGTGTGTGTGTGTGTGTGTGTGTGTGTGTGTGTGTGTGTGTATGCACAGGAGTGAAGCGCCCCAGAGGTCTGAGGTGTCAGATACTGGGATGGAGATACAGATACTGAGGCGGAGCTACAGCTCTGGGAAGCTGATTGTTAGACATCTAACTAACATGGGTGCCAGAAATGAACTGGGGCTCGTTGCAAGGGCAGTGTGTGTTCTTAACCAAGCCCAAAGGACTTGGTTCTCTCTTCCAGCATGAGTTCCAGGGATCAAATTCAAGCTGTCAGGCTTATGTGGCAGGCACTTTTACCCTCTGCAACATCTCGCTAGCTCATTGTTTCACTTTCTTTAAAGAGATGTGTGTTGCTAAGATGCAAGATTGTCAAACATCGGTAGTGAACTTCTGCCCTCCAGGGTTCTCCCATTGTGCTGTAAACCTGTATTCAAGACCTCCTCCCTCCTTCAATAAACGGCATTCGGCATTAAAAAAAAAAAGAGAGATGTGTGTTGCTACGTTGTAAACGCTAGCCTCAACTACTGAGCTCAAGTAATCCTCTTGCTCTGCCTTCCTGAGGAGCCAAGACTATAGGCATGCACCACTGCATCTGTCCGGAAGACTGTAACCTGTGGGGAGAACTCATTTGGGAGAAGTTGTAATGTTTCTGAGAAGTCAGTTCAATTCAGGCTCATCTGGATACCCAATGAGATCTGAACAGACTTTGTTCTTGTTTGTTCATGTGAGGGAGGGAATGAAGCCTTGGAGTACATCTGAAACACTGACTGTGTAGGGTCTGTGAGATGGCTCAGTGGCGCCTGCTGCCAGACCTGACAGCCAAGTTCCAGCCCTGGGAACCACATGGCAGAAGGACAGAATCAATTCCCACAAGCTGTCTTCTGACCTCCACACTCACACATCTACATACTGATTAATTAATTAATTAATGAGAAATGAATATATGAGCTGGGCAGTGGTGGTGCACGCCTTTAATCCCAGCACTTGGGAGGCAGAGTCAGGCAGATCTCTGAGTTTGAGGCCAGCCTGGTCTACAGAGTGAGTTCCAGGACAGCCAGGGCTACACAGAGAAACCCTGTCTCGAAAATGTGTGTGTGTGTGTGTGTGTGTGTGTGTGTGTGTGTATGTGTGTGTGTGCATGTGATAACAAGTGGAGCAGACTCCTGTCCAGCTGTCAAGTGGCTCAGGTACTGACTCTGCTAGGTTGCCACAGCATCAGGATCTCAGGCTTTACGGCAGACCTTGAATAATGAGTGCTGAGCCCCCTCCCCGAGCTGTGACCGTGAACGTGGATCTGGCCATGCCAGGCAGCCAACACTATGTGTTGGCCATGAGGCAGTGTGACAAATGGGAGGGATGCCCAAGGCACATAAGCTCCAAGGCTGGGCTCACAGGGCAGTCCTTCACTGTCTTAGGTCCATGGCAGATGTGGGGCGCATCTATCAGCATTCCTGAGCTTCCAGGAGCCACTCACCAGAGTCCACCTCCTCTGGAAGGCACAGATGAAGGTCCTCAGTCTCCACAGCAGGTTGGTCTCAATGAGGAAGAGCAGGGTGAGGTAGATGCACCCTGAGGCAGCCATGGAGGTCACAAACTTGCCAACCCCGGGGGTGCTCCAGGCATAGAAGTTCTCCTGGTACTGGATGTCTGTGCAGGGCAAGGAGCAAGGCTGGGCCACCTGCTGAGTACCCTCTCCTTTCCCAGGCCCCGGCACTGTCCTTAGTCCCCCAAGCCACACAAATGCCCACACCCTCTATCAAGGCTCTATGCTCCAATTCTTGAGGGCATGCCTTGTGTTTGCCAATGTCAAACAAGAGTCTAGGTACTTTCCGGCTCTGGAAGAATTTTGCCATGTGAGGTGTCCCTTGCACACCTGTGACAAGGGACCAATCACAAATTACAACCTTGTCTGCTAATCACACTACGTTGAGTTGAGACTGGGCAGAGATGTGAAGATGCCCTAATCACACCCCTCTCCAGGCATTCAAGTATAGAGATGGGACAGGCATTCACAAGCCCTGTCCTAGGGTAATGCTCAGCAAGGTAGGGAAGAGATTGCACTTTTGCCTGAGGGTGTGCAGGGCTCTGTCGATATGACTGCTGAGCTCCCTGCTAATGTATAAAGGAGACCGGTCCAGGTATAAAAGCCTCCACCCCGAATAGGTCTAACTCTTAATCTGTAAATGTGACTTTGTTAAGAAATGAGACATTTGAAGATATCACTAGTTAAGACCTAAGGGGGAGATGCTGGATTTAGGGTTAGCTCACATCCAGTGACATGTCCTTGTAAGAGAAAGACAGGGAATGTGAAACTCAGAGACACAGGGGAGGAGATTGGGCATAGACAGAGATGAAAGCCACAGCCCAGGAACCTGTGGGATCATGGAGAGTGGACAGAGGAAGGACAGATCCTCCTCTGAGCCTCTGGAGGGGCATGGCATTGCCTGCACCTTAACTATGGATTTATAGCTTCCAGCCTCATGAGAAGACATGCGTCTATTGATCACTATAGGCTGTGGTACTCTGTTCTAGAAGCTGCAAGGCACCAGGACATGTGGGAAAATCGATGCCCAGATGCAGGCCCAGAACATGTAAGCAGGAGTAAGGGGCAAGGAATGTGGATAGGGTCTGACGACTCAGAATATGGAGCCCTTTTATGGCTGGAATGCAATCCCTATTGGGAGGTATTAGGAAGGAGGAAATCTGGGGCTGGAGAGACAGTGCAGCAGTTAAGAGCACTGGCTTCTCTTCCAGAAGAGGATTCAATCCCAGGTTCAATTCCCAGTACCAACATGGTGGTTCATAACCAACTTTTCTGCCTCTGGGTACCAAGCATGAAAGTGGTACACAGGCCATGCATGTGGGCAGAACACTCATACATATAATTTTTTTTAAGGTGGAAATTTAATCCAACTGTGGCATTCAAAAGTGGGGCCTCTGAAAGGTGATTAGCATTAAATAAATTCTACAGGGCAAAGCCTCATAACTGAACCCTGGTAGCTTTCTAAGAGACCAGAGGACACATAAGAGCCAACTCATCTCAGGTCACATGAAGCCTTGTGCATGTTTGGGATTCTGTGAGCAAGATGACCATTGCCAGAAGTGGGCCTTTGTCCTTGGAGGGCCGCGGGACAGTAAGAACCTCTTTGATCTGTAACTTACTCAGCCTCTGATACTGTGTTATAGGGAGCAGAAAAAGGGTTACTACAAGCCCCTTAGCTGGGCAAGTCCTGGGGAAGCTCTGGCTGTACAGGGTGAGTGGGAGGAGGACCCATCTGGACACTCACTGTACTTCTTGCAATATTGGCTAGCAACCCTCGACGAAGTGCAGTACCGCTGAGTCTCATAGTTCTCGTAGAAGCTGCTGATTGCCATGCCCAGGCAGTGGTTTGGCAGCACCAAGAACACATGATCCAAGGTTCTGGAAAGTTCTACTAATTTCACAGCTGTGAAGAGGTACAGACAAGTTAGTGGTGGCGGACACAATACACTTGCCTGAGGACAGCTCCAGGAAAGGAAGGTCAGGCCTCAGGTATCCCTGTATCAGGCACTGGCAGATAGGATTTAGCCTAGGCTGGGCCAAGGAAAGTGGTCCCTCCTTGTGTGGCCCTGGGAGAATGCTCCAGACACCCTCCCACCACTGTGGCTGGCTAAGCAGGGTCTCCTGGTGCAGAGTGGTTAAGTGGGTGGCCCGTGGCTTAGGGTGCCATTCAGTCTCCCACCTGGGATGCGCATGATAGTGACGATGATGAAGGTGGCTATGCCCGACAGGATGTTGAATATGGTCAGCCTGGCATAAGCTGTGGACGCAGCCGAGAAGAAGAAGCTCATGAGGTACATGAGGGGGATGATGGCCCAGCCGTACAGCATGAGCAGCAGCAGCAAGTCACCCAGGTGGCCATCCCTCGTGAAGGCGTGCACATCGAAGGCCTGGAACACCACCTGCAGCAGCAGAGAGGAGGCAGGCCAGTGAACAGGCCAGTGGGAAGCTCCCCTGGGTCAGGGAAAGGGATGATGGGATCATTCAGTGGTCTTGAGGCTCTGACTGGCTATGCCAGACCTAATGGCTCCACCGTGGCTGTCACCCTGGGACCTCTGCAAGAAATAGTTTCCTGGTTACTGGAGCTAGAACCAGGATAGCTAGCCCAGTCCCTGCCTATCAAAGGGTAGGGAAGAAAACACCTGGTATTTCCAACTGTCCTCTGGATCAGAACTCAGCTGCTAGATGGCCTTTTCTGCTGGTCCTAGTTTTGCAAAGGGACCCAGGTGTGCTCCCTGGGTGTGCAGGGCAGGGTCTGGCATACCCAGCACTCACCAGAAGTAGCAGACTGGGAACGAAGAAGGAGATGAGGTCCCACAGCAGAGCAGAAAGCCAGAAAGTAGCCACGCGGACACCGCTCACAAACTGAACGTGCTTGGCTCGGACAGCCCTCTCAGTGACTGCCAGGATAGAAAACGTGCTGGCCAGAAATGCCATGGCGATGAGCAAATTCAGGGCGATGTCAAATCCCTTCCGGCCCCTGGGGAGGGCAGAGCACAGTGCGTCTGGGTAGTGGGAAAGATCGAGCCCTTGGTCATGACCATCCAAATCCATGGACAGTGGCCAAACCACTCAAGGGGGAGAGGAAGAACCCCACTCCCTGAGGATGGCTCCTCCTGGTGTCCTGAATGAGCAAGGACAGCACTCCCCCCAGGCTTCTGTAAGTTTCTAAACCACTGTCTCTGTGCACTCAGGGACACTTGCACTTCTGTTTGTCATTTTGTCTGCTGGGAACTCCTGGCCTGCTCTCTGATCACCTCTACCCAGACCTCACTGTTAAGTTCCTGGGCATCCGTGACAGATACATTCCCCTTCCTATACATCCTGTGTTCTACAGCCAGTTGACAGCAATATCTTCTATAAACAGGCTCTGAAAGCTTTCCTTCAGGGCTTAAAAATCTTCAAATCATCTCAACAAATGGTATTGGGATAAAGAGTAGTATTAAGCTGGGTGTGATGGCACACACTTTTAATGCCCGCACTGGGGAGGCAGAAGCAGTAGATCTCTGAGTTTGAGGCCAGCCTGGGCTACAGAGTGAGCTTCAGGACAGCCAGGACAGCCAGAACTACATAGTGACACCCTGTCTCAAAAAACCCAAAACCAGCCAGGCATGGTGGCACTAGCCTTTAATTCCAGCATTTGGGAGGCAAAGGCAGGTGGATCTCTGTGAGTTCAAGGCCAGCCTTGTCTACAGAGCGAGTTCCAAGACAGCCAGGGCTGATATATAGAGAAACCCTGTCTTGAAAAAACAAAACAAAAAAACCCAAACCAAAAAGTGTTTGACAAGGAAAAGAAAGGAAAGGCAGGGGAAGGAGGGAACAGTAAGGCCAGAACATGGACAAACCCTAGAAACTCCATGCTGATAGGTCATGTGCTATACAATTCTATTTTTGCGATAACCACAACAGGAAGCCCTATAGAAACAGCCGATGAGCAGTTTTAAGGGCTGAGAGTTGGGAGAAAGAGTGACAGCTGGAGAGTTCGGGACTGTTTGGAGGACAATGAGGGTTAACAAAACGACACTGGGGTGAAGGGGCCAACTCTGGCTACACAAACAAGCTTCTGACTGTATGTTGTATGCTGTGGGTGACATTTCCATGAACTACTGGTATCCTCATAATAGTCTGTGCCCCTTAGCCTGCTCTTTGGGTCTTCCAGCCTGTAGCCTAATGGGTACAATTGCCTTTCTTGAGCTCTAAGCACAGCCCCTGCCCTACTGCCAAGGACCCTGCTGGGAAGAGAAGCAAAGATGCCCGCCAGATCCTCAGACCACACCCCCTGTGGGACAGGTGTTTGGGTTCTGATTTGCTGACATGGGAAAGGCTGAGGGGCTGAGGTGACCTTGACCAAGAGGCAGCAGCACCTAAGAGTAAATACACCATCACTCTGCCATCTACAAAGCCTTATTCTGCCACTGTCCCAATGGCAGTCCTGATGAGGGACACCTGAATGGGTGTGTGAGCTGCACACGTACTCGTTGAACTGGTCCTTGGCAACTTGCAGGGTGCTCCGGGGCTGGGGATAGTTGGAGATCTCAATGGAGGCCCGAGGGCCACACAGCAGCTTGAACAGAAGATTGTCCACGATGGCCAGGGCGGTGGCTGGGGAGTGGTATGCCTGGTTGTTGAACAAGGCGGTGACCACTGTCCGCTCTCCTGTATCTTTGAAGGATGTTGCTACCAGGCACCGCTCATTAAAGCCGCCCCCTTCCACTGAGGCCCTAAAAACCAGGAACTCCTCTAGGTCACCTGTGGAGTAATGCAGTGTCAGAGTACTGGGTGGGACAATAGGAGCATCATCATCATCCCAATGACTCTCAGGGATTCAGCACAGGCACAGGGGAGATGGGACCCTGGGTTCCTGGGACCTCCACTGTGCCAGCAGTGCCCACCATGGTGCTGACAGCTTCCCAACTGCTGATATAATCACCCATTTACCAAGAAGAAACTCAGTCATTTTGTCATCAATCTGTTCACAGAACCTCAGCTTTGCTGGTCACAATGTGGGAGGGAGCGATACAAGGAGAAAACCTCCCAGGACACTCCATTTAACCAGAACGCGGCAGTTCTAAGCCTGGGGCAATACTGATCTATGGCTACCAGAGACTCAAGGCAGTTTTAAATTTCAAGGTGTTGGATGGAAGCACCCCATGACATGAAGGCCACTATCAGCAGCCTAGCCTATAAACAAAGACAAGTTATACGAAGATCACTGGGCTTCTGCATTTTGTTTTGTCTGCATGTATGCCTGTGTGAGGGTGTCGATCCCCTGGAACTGGAGTTACAGACAGGTGTGAACTGCCATGTGGGTGCTGGGAATTGAACCCAGGTCCTCTAGAAGAGCAGCCAGTGCTCTTAACCGCTGCACCATCTCTCCAGCCCCTGTATTTTGTTCATAAAAGGTCCCGAAGAATGGGTGTGTCCAAGCCCTAACCATGTGATGTGCCTACGCCTCTGGTATCCCAAGAATATTTCCCCTGACTTAGCATCATGAGCTTTAGCCTAAGGGACATCTGGTGATGTCTGAAGGCAAATTTGATTGTCATGATATGAGGTGGGCCACACCAGGGATGCTGCTAATGTGTTACGAAGGCAAAGGACAGTAAAGGACGAGCCACCCTAGAGACAGCATTGCCACCGTCAGCGCCACTGAGCCCCAGGCCCCAGCCCCTCTTACCCAGCACTTCACGATGCTCCTGCCCCTCAGCCTGCAGCATGGCTGTTAGATGCTCGGACAACTGACGATGCAGCTGAGAGGTGCCTGAGACTGAGAAGGGCACCACTGTTCTACCATACTCGTCCAGGCTTAGCTTCAGGAGAGGGTCATCAAGGATCTCTGAGGTGTAGTTGATAGCCAGGAGAGCAAGGGTGATGCAGGTCAGGGGGACCAGGACCTGAGCCGCTACCATCTTCCATTCCCGCCAGCTGTATGCAGCCTTCTTCAGGAACATGGCCCAGAACTGCTGGCAGTGGAGGGCGAGCTGCGGCAGAGGTGAGGCAGAGGTGAGGCTGTCCACGGGGGCCGGCAGCAGATCAAACACTGACCCAAGGAACACCCTCTGGGGGACTCTGGCTGACATTCAGGCAGCCATACCAAGAACAATGTGTGGTGATGTGAGGCCACAGGTAGAGTTCAAGAACTGGGATAGCAATGTGCCTGCAGGTCCCTACATGGGTTCATGAGGTCTCACTACAGCCACAGAAAGCTTGGCAGATACTTTTATCAGAGTATTGAGTGTCTGGCTGGGCCCCCTGCCTCTCTTGTGCCCTTCACTGGAGGTGTCTCCATAGAGAGGGCTCTGGCCTAGTTCATGCATAGCAGACTCCCAGACTGCTCTGCGCTATCTCTCTCCTTCTTGACTACTCAGTGCAGCGTCTCAGGACCTAGGGACCAGGCTCCCAGGCCCAGGCTGTGCACATGTTGGCATTTTGAATTTGGGGTAGACCTTGGTATTCTGGCTACAAAATGGGAGCCGGGTCCTCCCTGCTGCCCTCTTACCTCCTTAGGTGGCTACCAAGGCAGGCTAGCACAGAGCTTGGCATGGGCAGCCCCCCACAGGGCAATTTCATTGTTAGAAGCAAACATACAGTTTTCTGTACGTGCCCAAGTTAGAACATCAGGACCTTTCAGGAGGGTGTGGCAGAGCACACCTGCAATCCCAGCACTTGAAAGCAGAGCCAGGATGATCACCACAAGTTTGAGGCCAGCCTGGCCTACATACTGAGTTCTAGGTAAGCCTGCACAACAGAGTGAGCTCTTTTCTCAAAAGATAATCAAATAAGAAAGCCATTTGGATGTTCTCTCCCCCTGACCCATGCAGCACAAGCTGTGATCTGCCCTCAGTTTTCTACTGAGGTTCCTGCTGTGTGGACTGCCCCCCTGCCCCCTGCCCCCTGCCCCCTGCCCCCTGCCCCCCCAAGATGAGGGCTTCAGAGGACGATAACCTTCCCATGCCAGCCTTGTGTGGCCCCAGCTTGAGGTGCTCACCCCTGTGTTGAGCTTGAGTATAGCTTCTTCTTCCTCTATGAGGGCTCCAATGCCATTCGTTGGGTCCATCACCCCACACAAGTTACTATCCAAAGCCCAGTCACTGGCCCGCCTCTCATGCTGGTACTGCAGAGCAGGAAGCTGGATGGCTTGAATGTCCATGCTGGTGTCCACCAGCTTACCAACCCTGCACCAGAATACAGTCACCGGTCATACTCAGCTCGTGGTAGGTGAGGGAAGTTATTGTTCCACCAAACAACAGACACGGAAAGAGGACTTTTAAAGAGGCTCTGAAGCAGAAAATGCCGTCAGCTTGTGCACTCACTCACTCATTCACTCACTCACTCATTCACTCACTCATTCACTCACGCACTCACACACTCACTCATCAATACATAGCTCCAGAACATTATCTCTGTGTAGCCAGATGTAATGCCCACAGGAAAGAGACAACCAGTTGGGGCTCCAGTGCACAAGGCTCTATTCCCAAAGGGAACTGCCCAAAGCCAGCATTTATAACCAGGGTGTTCAAGGAGGAAAGAGATGTACAGCACCAGGGCTTCACCATGTGTGAAGAAGGCTCATCACACAACCTGTGCTGGGTCCCAGGAAGACAAAGGTCAGGGGTACTGCCTGCCAAAGCCAAGCCTGGGAGGCGACAACCATGCTTCAGGAGGGCAGGGCAGGGATAGACACAGCAGAGGGGGGAAGGCGGTGGGGCTGGCAAGTCCTGCAGCAGGTGCCTGGGCTCAGGATGGCTATGGCTGCACCTGCTCCAGGCGGCCACAATTGCTGGAGTTAATATTTTCACAGGCACCATCCTCTTCAGGCTCTGGTCAGGAATAGGAACTTTAGTCAGTCTCCCTGCACACCTGGGAAGTTCTCAGAGGCAGTGCCCTCTCCGGTTCTTTCTCTGCTGGCATTTGCTTGGCTGTGCCCATGGTGTCCCTAGCTAGTCACTGAGTAGAGAGATGATAGGAGAAATGAATGAGTAAAAAAGTGAGTGAATGTGAACAAATGAACAAGCAAGCAAGCAAGGAAGCCAACGACATTCTTTTCTGTTGGTGTGCTTCTGACAGAGACCTCTGAATGACAGGTATGTGTCACTAATGGATGACAAGAGTTCCTGTATGATCCACTCCTGGGTATTTATCCAAGAGGAGTAATGCATGTAACCACACAGAAACGTGTATATAAACTGTTCACAGAAACATGATCCACAAAAGTGAAAAAGAAAAAGTAGGGAGAGAAGCAGCATACATGTCCTTCCACTGAAATGAATAAACCAAACGAGGTCTCTCCAAACGAGGCAATGCTGTTCAGCCATGGCAAGGAAGGAATGTTGTTCAGACCCACACTACAGCCTGGGTGGACCTCAAAGGCCTCGTGCTGAGTTGAAGATGAGACAAAACACCACATGTTGTACGATTAAATGTCTGTTAAATGTTCACGACAGGAAAGCTTTAGTGACAGAAGCAGGTATACGGCTGCAATTGGAGGTGAGAAGGAAGGACTGTGACTGCTAGTGTGTGGGGTTTTGGAGGGGTGGTGCAGAGAATGACTACAATACCTTAAATTCAGTATGGTGAAGACTGAAACACTGTGAGTACACCAAAACCACTGAATGGACACATCCAAAAGGTGACTTTTGAACGTTATATAAATCATAGTTTAGTAAAGCCGCTATTTAAAAACAAACACGGTGCTGGGGGTGTAGTTTAATGCACAGCAGTAGCCTAGCATGTGCCGGTGCCTGGATAGGATTCTCAGCCCTGCAAGACCCAATGCAACCCACCCTCCAAGCAGTCCTTGATCAGGAAACACAGCCGGAGCCACAGAGCAGCCATGGGGCTTTCTGATCCGGCCCAAACAAGCTCCTCTCGGCCTGGCTGGAAGACTGTCCACCTGCCCCAGCTCTCTGAAGCTTGCTTCAGGCCTTGCTCTGCTGGCTCCTTCCCAGGCCCCTCCTTCTCAGATTTTCCCAAGCCCATTTATCTTTTTTTCATTTTGATACAAGATGTTACTATGTAGCCCTAGCTGGCCTGGTAGACAAGGCTGGCCTTGAACTCTGTTTCCTCAGTGCTAGGAATAAATGTGTGCACCACAATGCCTGACCTTTCTTGCTGCGGGCCGCAGGAATATATCATAAGAACTCAGCTGGTTATGGCAAAGTCACTACCTGGAGGAATCAGGGAATTCCTCCAGAGGAAGCCAAATCCCAAGGAGTTTTTGGTGTTACTTGGCTTGTTATATATCAGCTGTATTCTGTTATGAAAGTCATGTGTGCCTTCATAGTTTTCCCAATTGACTTTTCCCCAAGAAGGGCTAACAGTGTGGACTGATCACTCTCTGGACATACACATTCCAGGTATTTGGAGAACAGCCTCAGGAAAGGCTTTCTCTGGAATCAGATATCTCCCTTGGCCACTTTCAAGGACTAGCAGCAATAACAGTCCACATGCAAGTCTCCTGATTTAAGGTAAATTCCACAAGGAGACACCACCTAGGTCAGGTGGATGTTAAGTAATAGCTTTACACAATTCAGCTCGGACCCATCTTTCTTAAAGCCTTACTAACTTTATAGACCGCTAACTCCTTACCTAACCACTTCTAGGAATATTTAGATAACCTCCTGCACTGACAGCTATGCTCAGCCAGAACCCCAGTTCAAGCCTCCCTGTAATTATCATCATTAGCAGCATCCGGCCAGGTCCATCCCCAGATGGAGGAGAGTACTTTATCAGAGATACCTCTGTACTCTCTAAGAACAGACTTAACCATCCAGGCTACCTGTTTGAGAAGGCCTGGCGGATGTGCCAATTAAGCCTTACTTCCTCCTTTCCCAAACCTTACCTCCAGTTCCAGATCTCCCTTTAACTATCACCAGAGGCATCCAGCTGTACACAGGTTGCCTAGCGACTGAGCACACTTTCCCCCACCCTGCAGAAAAACGGCAGATAGCTTGGACAGATAGGAGCCACAGGAAAAAAGAAGACAGTTTTATTTTCTCCCATTGACCTAGCAACTTATAGATTCTTAACATTTTCTACCAATCACGTTTAAGATTATAGTTGAGCACATAAGAGCCCTCTTCTTAGATATTACCTGAATTCAGCCTTTAGTTAATTCATTTCCCCATTGGTCACTTCCCTTTGGGGTTGCAAATGATAATTAACGGTTATTGCCTCTCAATGTGATTCTTATCACCCCTCCATTTGACCCTGGAAGCCTGGCTTTATATACCAGGACTTCCAGGGCACGGAGAGACGGAGAAGAGAAAAGAAAATGGAAGAACTAGACAGGTAAGAACTTGAAAGGAACAAACAGATGGGGAAGAACTAGATTGAAGGGCTAGAAGAGAGTAAGTACTAGAGGAATGAGATGGAAGATGAGGAAGAGCCAGATGGGGAGGAACAAGATGAGGAAGAACGAGATGAGGAGAGAGAAGGAGATGGGAGAAAAGATGATATGGGAAGGAACAAGATGGATGAGAACCTAGAAGGGGCATAACTAGATGAGGGAATTAAGATAGAACCTAGAGGGGACCGCAGACAAGTGTAGAGAGAAATCAGGCAAGAAAGGACTAAATATGAGAGCAGAATATAAGCTTGTAACTGACACAGAATAATAAAGTATATGGACTAAGGAGTTTCGTGTACATAGATTCATTTCTTCTCATCAAAGATTAATTATCAGCTGGTTGTAGATTCTTCCCGGACCCTGGGAGGGGACTATCGAGGGGCTGGACCCCCATAGTCCCTGATACTTTCTGAAAATGTGTGTGTGTGTGTGTGTGTGTTTATGTGTGGCACATGCCATGCATGTGTGAAAGTCAGAGCACAACTCTGGGGAGTTGTTTCTCCTCTTCCATCATTATGTGGGCCTTAGGGGCCAAGCTCAGGCTGACAGACTTGTGCTGAGCCATCCCGGGTCCCAGACCCATTTATTTTTCAGAGTCAAATCACAGATTCAAGTCACAGACACCAAGTGTCACCAGCTCACCAATATTTTCTTTGGATTAAAAATCGGCTACCCGCCATCTGAGTGTCCACCATGCCGCCTGTCCTTACTGCTGACAGGATCCTTGGCAGGCTGGCAGAGACTCCTGAGATGAGTTACTTACATAAACCACTGGCCTGGAGCTGGGGTAAAATGACAAGGTCAGAGGCTGGGTGGGGCCGTGTCTGAATGTAGATGGGGCAACCAAGTGGACCAGGGGCTAGACAGGCCCTGAATTCCAGGACACACAGAGGTGCAGAGGCTCACAGCTTCTGAGAGCAATCTAGAATTGAGTCCTCAGGTACAGCTGACAGCAGGTTGGCATGCAGCTTTTTTATTCAACTAAGATGCACAAAAGCCACTCTGATTTTCCCTTCCTCCCTCCCCTGGCTGGTCTGCTTCAAGGTGCACAGACTCTTTCTGTGCCGGCTGTACCCATTGGTCTCCCTGCAGTAATGCTGGCCGTCCCTGTTGGTCCCCACAGCCCCTGAGGTAAATGCCTTTGAGCACATAGCACATGCTTTCCTCAAGAAGGAAAATTATTTCATAAATATATATTTTATGTCCAGCTATTAGCACTACATCAGTCAAATAAGCATTCAAGAAACTCCCAAGAAATATAGCAATGGTCTGGCGCTCTAAGGATCTGAGAGCTAACCTTCACCCTTCCAGTGTAGAAGCACAAACCCTGTGGGGTGACCCATGCCTGAGAGAACTTACTAACTTCGTGCTGTGTTGTGGAATAATCTTTTAGTACACTGTGAAGATGTGTCACTCTGATTGGTTTAATAAAAAGCTGAACAGCCAATAGCTAGGCAGGATTTTTGGAGCAGAGAGTATGCTGGGAAGAAGGCAGTCACCAGCCAGGCACAGAGGAAGCAGGAAAGCAGCATGGGCAGTACAGAGTAAAGGTAATAAAGCCACGAGGCAGAAAGTAAATTGATAGAAATGGGTTAATTTAAGTTATAAGAGCTAGTGAGAAACAAGCCTAAGCTATACACCGAGATTTCATACTTAATAAGAAGTTTCCATGTCATTTATTTGGGAGCTGGCTGGTGGAGCAGAGAAAGACTCACTATGGTGCTGACCTGTGGGTGAGGTAGTTGTCTCAGGAAGGATCTTGGGTTGCTCAGGCACATTCCCCCACAGAGGCTGGGGTTTCATGAGTATGCAGGTGTCTGTGAACTCACATCTGAGCTCTGGCTCGGAGCCACTGCCCTGTCCTGCTTGATCTCCACCATCACCAATGCCCCGGGGCATAACCCTTTAACAAAGCCATCCCCAGGAAGGTCTGGGACAGAGGGAAGCCCACACCTACTGACCGAAGGAAGACTTCCTCCATGGTGGTGACAGAGGCTCCGAAGCTGGCAATGCCCAATTCCTTCTGCTTCTTTTCCAGTTTAGCAAACAGACTTTCAAACCTGAAAAAAGTGACAAGGTTTTGACAGACACTTTCTAAATAGTTTATTTCTAAATAATTGCCCCCGTAGACAATGAGGAAAAGACAGGATGGAATTATGTCCTGTAACAACATTTTTCCTTCTTTAAAAAGAATTAGCCGGGTGGTGGCGGCGCAGGCCTTTAATTCCAGCACTTGGGAGGCAGAGGCAGGAGGATCTCTGTGAGTGCGAAGCCAGCTTGGTCTACAGAGCAAGTTCCAGGACAGCCAGGGCTACACAGAGAAACCCTGTCTCGAAAAACCAACAAAGAATTAAAAACATTTGGTGGTCAAACCTGAGGCCTTGCCTGTGCTATGCAAGTGTTCTACACTTCCCAGCCCAAGTTCTTATTTTTCTTAGAGAAGTTTAAGGTTCATGGGAAAATTTAGAGGAGGGGATAGAGATTTATTATGTCATCCTACTCATTTTTTCCTCTGAGCACTTGGACTTGGGCCCTGAGACCACAAAGGAACCACAAAAGAACCTGAAAAACAAACAAACGGGACCCTTCTGATGGCTATTACTTGGTTGTAGGGCAGGGGAACACTTTGAGAATAAACTTGGAAGAGTCACAACAGAACAGATGTGATGCACAAACATAGAATCTTAGGGGGAAAAAAACCCCACAAAAATCAAACACACACATAACCCATGTAACCATATAAAAAGTTGCAACAAAATGGTTGATATAATGGTTCTGGGGCTCAAATCCAGCTAGACATGAACATCTCAAAGTGACCCATAACAGACCTACAGATACTACCCAGAGGTAACACTCCTAAAGCCAATAGATGTGAAACCATTCCCATCCTGGCTGGCAGAATGGAGAAAGGTGATAATCAAGTATTTGTGCACTCTCCCCATTCAATAAATACTGAAAAAACAAACAAACAAATAAAAAAAAACTTACTCAAAGCAAGCGACCATGAAAAAGGTACATGCTCTCAGCTGGGTGTGGTGGTGTACCCCTTTAATCCCAGCACTCGGGAGGCAGAGGCTGGCAGATCTCTGAGTTCAAGGCCAGCCTGATCTACAGAGTGAGTTCCAGGACAGCCAGAGCTACATAGTAAGACCCTGTCTCAACACCCCCCCACCACACACACACACTAAAAAAACGGTGCATGCTCTCTTATCCTGATGATGGAGAAGTGAAGCAAGCTCCTTTTTCCAGAAGGAGATCTGGTAATGTCTGCTTTGCTATTGGGGATCTATCCAGAGACAGTCACTGATATTAGAGACAAGGAGTTTCCTAAAAGGATATTTATTAACACAGTTTTTGGAAAAATGTAAAATGAGTGCAGAATAGTAGAGATTTTAAACTAGGGTACACTTGAATCATGGAATATCATGTTACTATAAAACTGCATTACTGGGCTGGAGAGATGACTCAGAAGAGCAATTATTGCTCTCGCAGAGGACCTGTGTTTAGTTCCCAGCACCCTCTTCTGGCCTTTGTGGGCACTGAAGACATGTAATGCTTAGATACACATACAGGCAAATTACCTGCACACAAAATAAAAATAAAAACAAACCCACATTACATGGGCTGTGGGTTATAGCTCAGTGGTAGAGCAGTTGTCTAGCATACATGAGGCTCTGGGGTTTGAGCCCCTGTTACAAAAATGAACTTTAGAAAGCCTCTTCAAAACCTTACATAATTATACTTGATGTCCTGGCTAATTTTATGTCAACTTGACACAAGCTATAGACATCTGAGAGGAACCTCAATTAAGAAGAAGCCTCCATAAGATCAGGCTGCAGGCAAGCCTATAGGATATTTTCTTAATTAGTGATTGATGAGAGAGGGCCCAGTCATTGTGCCTGGCTGGTGGCCCTGGGTTCTATAAGAAAGCAGGCTGAGCAAGCCATGAGGAGCAAACCAGTAAGTAGCACCTCTCCATGGCCTCTGCATCAGCTCCTACCTCCAGGTTCCTCCCCTGTTAAGAGTTCCTGTCCTGACTTCCTTCAGTGATGAACAGTGATATGGAGGTGTAAGCCAATAAACCCTTTCCTTCCCAACTTGCTTTTGGCCATGGTGTTTCATCATAGTAATAGTAATCCTAAGTGAGACAGACATTGGTACAAGGATTGATTGTGGGGTATTGATGAAAGTGACCTGACCATGTGCTTTTCAGAGGATTGTTGAAGGTCTTTGGAACTTTGGGTTGGAAAAGCCATTAAATGTTCAAATCTTAGTAAGCTGTTCTGTGGGAGCTGGAAGATAAGTGTTGGGAGAAATGTAGATGAAGGAGGTTTGGTTTGTGAAGTTCCAGAGGGAAGTTTGAGTCACTTAAAGACTCTATTGAGGCCACTGTATTTTTTGAATTAATCTGTGGTTCTGGTCACTGGGGATGAAGAATCAGCTGTGATTAACAAGATACTAGAACCACTAACATGAACACTTTGCTTTGTTGGGACAATGGATGCTGGTCAGCTGGAGCTGAAAAATTAGCTATGATTAAGAAGTGATGATCGTCATTGAGGGGAAATCTTCTGGGAAGTGTTTCCTCAGAGTCAGCACACAGAAGCTGTGTTCCAGAGGTGGCCACAGTTGTACCTCAGGCTGACAGCCAAACTTGGTCATGTGTAAGACTTTCCCAGGTGGTACCAGTACTGAAGGCATAAGGGGTCATGGAGAGCAGCTGAGGCTTGGCACTGTGTGGCAGGGCTGGAATTCTTGAAGAGCCCAGGAGAAGCTGATGGTAAAAGTGCAGCCCAGTTGCAGCAGAGACCCCAGCATTTTGGAGATGCCAGTACCATGGGCAACCACCAAAGACAGCGGTAGCTATGGTGTGGAGGCAGCCTGACACGGGAGACAATCTCTGTGTGTTGCAGAGGGTGGAGTCAGAGAAGTGGCCCAAGTCCTTTTGAGGAGTGAATCCCAGACTTTGCACATTGCCTTACTTACACAGTTGGGACTTGGATCTGACTGTGACTGTACCCTGGTTCTTCCTTCTTAAAGAAAGTATTAAACTTATTTTTATTTTACAAGAGGTTTTGGAATTTTATAGAGACTTGGATTTTTTGCTTACCTTTTTTTTTTTTGAGACAGGGTTTCTCTGCATAGCCCTGGCTGCCTGGAACTCACTCTGTAGACCAGGCTGGCCTTGAACTCAGAGATCCACCTGCCTCTGCCTCCTGAGTGCTGGGATTAAAGATATATGTCACCACTGCCAGCTGAGACTGAATTTTTTTTAAATTTATTTATTATGTATACAGTGTTCTGCCTGCATGTATGTCCTGCAGGCCAGAAGAGGGCACCAGATCTCATTACAGATGGTTGTGAGCCACCATGTGGTTGCTGGGAATTGAACTCAGGACCTTTGGAAGAAAAGCCAGTGCTCTTAACCTCTGAGCCATCTCTTCAGCCCGAGACTGAATTTTTAAAGCATTAGAATTTGAAGCCTGTGGGACTTTTTTTAAAAAGATTTATTTATTTATTATGTATACAGTGTTCTGTCTGCATGTATGCCTGCAGGCCAGAAGAGGGCACCAGATCTCACTACAGATGGTTGTGAGCCACCATGCGGGTGCTGGGAATTGAACTCAGGTCCTCTGGAAGAACAGCCAGTGCTCTTAACCTCTGAGCCATCTCTCCAGCCCCCACCTGTGAGACTTTTTAAGTTTTTAAATGTTTTATATTGTTGAATGAAAAAAAAAAGAGAGAGAAAGGAAAGAAACATGACCGACTGGTCTCAGGTTTTGGCACCAAATGAATGAAAAAAAAAAAAGAAATAAAAGGAAAAGAACATGACTATTCCTAGATATGGTAGAGGAAGAAATTTACTGTAGAAATGTGGGAGAGCATAGCTAGAGGCAGGGACATCTGGGAGAGTCCAGAGTGGACATGACCAGACTGAGTTGGGCCATGTGAGGAGGGGGGAAGGACGACCAGGTGTAGCATCCAGGAGAGGACCAAAGGTACAAAGAGAGTGTGTAATCAAAATGGCAGGATTATATAGGGAAGAGCAGCCAATCCCCCTGGGTTGGAGAGTTCAGGGTGGGGGCTGGGTATGACAGCCAGGAGGATCATGTAACAGGTAGGGACTGAGGGATGCAGGGAGAGCCTGGCAGCCAGTGTCCGCTTTGTTAAATAGGCACCTCAGCCATTTGTTCCAGGTTTGAAACCTAACAACTGTTATGTCTATATTAATGCATGATCTTGGGGATAAACAAGAAAGGAAAAGGTTGTGGCTAAACCGTGATGTGTCTGTGTGTCAAGTTGGCAAGGGGTCAATTGTTTATGTCATCTTGACACAAACTATAGTCATCTGAGAGGAGGGAGCCTCTGTTGAGAGAATGCCTCCCTAAGATCAGGCTGCAGGCAAGCCTGTGAGGCATTTTCTCAATTAGTGTTTGATATGAGAGGGCCAAGTCCATTATTGGTGGAGCTACCCCTGGGCTAGTAGTCCTGGGTTCAATAAGAATGTTGGCTGAGCAAATCAGGAAGCCGCACTCCTACATAGCCTCTGCATCAGTTCCTGCCTCCAGATTCTTGCCTTGTTTGAGTTCCTGTCCTGACTTCCTTCAGTGATGGACAACAATGTGGAAATGTAAACCAAATAAACCCTTTCCTACCCAACTTGCTTGTTTGGTCATGGTGTTTCATCACAGCAATGATAACCCTAAGACACATGACTAAATGTACTGTAACTGTTTATTTATCTGTTGATGTATGTGCATGTCTGTGATTATGTGTGACAGAGAACAACTGTGGGAGATGGTTCTCTTCCATGTAGGTCTTGGGGATCAAACTCAGGTCATGAGGTTTGGTAACAAGTGCCAAAGTGATATGGAAGGGCAGCTAGTGCTCCATCTTTCCATCCCCTCAGCGGCCTATACTTTGATATAAACTTCAGGCAGGACAGACGGCTCAGCAGCTGAGAGTGTGTAGTGCTCTTGCAGGGGACCAAACTTCAGTTCCCAGCACCCATGTCAGGGTCCCTGCAACTCCATCTCTAGGGTAATCTGACACTGTTGACCCCCGCCTGCACTCAAATGCACATACCCACACACAGACACAGATATACACACATACACACATACATACATACATTGTTGGCCCCTGCCTGCACTCAAATGCACATACCCACACACAGACACAGGTATACACACATACATACATACATTGTTGGCCCCCGCCTGCACTCAAATGCACATATCCACACACAGACACAGGTATACACACATACATACATACATACATACATTGTTGGTCCCCGCCTGCACTCAAATGCACATACCCACACACAGACACAGATATACACACATACATACATACATACATACATACATTGTTGGCCCCCGCCTGCACTCAAATGCACATACCCACACACAGACACAGATATACACACATACATACATACATTGTTGGCCCCCGCCTGCACTCAAATGCACATATCCACACACAGACACAGGTATACACACATACATACATACATACATACATTGTTGGTCCCCACCTGCACTCAAATGCACATACCCACACACAGACACAGATATACACACATACATACATACATACATACATACATACATTGTTGGCCCCCGCCTGCACTCAAATGCACATACCCACACACAGACACAGATATACACACATACATACATACATTGTTGGCCCCCGCCTGCACTCAAATGCACATACCCACACACAGACACAGGTATACACACACACATACATACATACATACATACATTGTTGGCCCCCGCCTGCACTCAAATGCACATACCCACACACAGATACAGGTATACACACATACATACATACATACATACATACATGCATACATTGTTGGCCTCCGCCTGCACTCAAATGCACATACCCACACACAGTCACAGACATACACACATATAGACATACATACATACATATATACATACACACATACATACATACAGACAGACAGACACACACACACACACACTACGGTTTCCAAATATAATCAAGAGCTGCGTTTCTTGTGCCTTCCAGTGTAGGTAGCTCAGTGATGGGAGTGACTGGGTTGACTATGTCTCTAGTTCTGAGAAGTTAGAAACACTCACAATCTGTCTGCAAATGCATGGCAGCTCCACAAATGATTGTGTGTGTTCCTGCTACATATGTTTATTTACTTATTTTTGGAGGGAGGTTGACACAGGGTCTCATGTAGCCTAGGCTGGCTCTGAACTCACTATGTAGTTGAGGTTAATCGTGAAATGAACCTCTTGCCTCTAACTCCCAAGTACTGGGGTTACAGGCATGCACCACCATGCCTGGCGATACTCTTATATGTGCAAGCTGGTGTTAGAAGAGTCCTGTGTGGGTATGGATGCAGACAAGAAGTGAACACATTTTAACCTGACTGGTGTGTGTCTGTCCTACTCAGGCAAAAGCATTCTCTCTCTCTCTCTGCAGTAATAAGTAGTAACAAGTAAGAAATACCAGATTAGTGGATGCTTCAGAACCTCCACCCCCGGCCCAAAGGATGAGAGATGCCCAAGCAGTCGTAACAGAGGGCATAGAGCCCTCACAGCCACGGGGCTGTCCTCAGTTTGTATCTGTGCACTCTCTAGGACACGTACCTGTGTGTGCTCTCCTTGGGAAGAATGAAGGACAGCTCAGCCCCAGCATGGCTCTCCAGCATGGCATTGGGGACATGATGGTGTACTAGCTGAGAGATACCTTCAGGATTGCAGTGTGGTTCTTTCACCAGGGTCATATGGTAGCCAGCTCCTGGAACATATGGACCAAGCGTTAGGCCCTTTGGTGGCCCCACTTCTGCCATGCCACGCCTCTGTGGCTCAAATCAGGCAGGATCATGGGAAAGCATCTGTACACTGGGTACAACTGGTCCAGAACAGGTGCATCTCAGGCTCTTCCATGCAGTGCAGAGTGTCACCTCCCACAACCTATCTACTGGGAGCCAGAGCCTTCCTGAGGATAACCCACCATCAATCAATCACCTAAGCATGTGAGTGTGTCTGTACAGTAGGATTCATGCTGATCATGACTGCAAGGGAGAGACACGGCAGGAAACGTGGGGCTATACTGTACACACTGAGCTCTGTCTGGCTTCCTGTCCAATAATGCTTTGCAGGAAATGGCCCTTTCTTGTTCCCTTCAGAGACAAGGATGTTGGACCCAGGACAATCAATGGCTTGGCTAACTGGGCAGACAGGCAAGAAGTAACAAGCAAAACTCTGGAAGCCCTAGTAGAGGTGGACAGAAGACACTCTTTCTTGGTAAAGGAACCTCAGGATCTTCACTAGGTACATGGCCACTTAGGATGACAGGGCCCCTCTCTAGCCTGCTCTGGCTATAATGGGGAATCTCTAGGGGTATGTGCTCGGCACAGGAAGGTAAGGTGAGAACCTTGGGGCATTTTGTGGGGAGGAGCACTCTGGTATGAGGGGAGGAGACAGGTATATGATGTTAGATCAGGAGGTGACAATAGAAAGCCAGGCATTCCACACAGCAAGGTGCCTGAATCCTGGCTTACGACTCCATTGGCTGGACTGGGTTGTGCAATGAATAGTGCTCTTAGGAGAGCAACATGTAGAAAAGCACTGGGGACCACTCACGGGACTCGTGCCCACTCCCATACATTCCTGATCTGGGTAGCCCTGCCACTCAAGATACTCTGCTTTACTATTCCCACCTCTGCGTGGACAAGAGAAGAGAAAGTTTAAAGATGGCCTTGCCCAGCTACCGTCTGGACCCTTTATAGAGGGGAGTGGCCCTCTCATGAGATGGAGGCTGACTTGGAGACTCCTCCTCCACACTTCTCACCATATTTCTGCTTGAGGAACAGTGATGACCCACAACACTGTAGCTCCCCCTTGGCCAGGATGGCGATGCGGTCTCCCAGTAGGTCAGCTTCATCCATGAAATGGGTGGTCAGTAGAATAGTACGGTCATTTTTCTGCTGCTGGAGAAGGTCCCAAACGGCCCTCCTGGACACTGCATCCATGCCTGAGGTGGGCTCATCTAACATCAGTACCTGGAGGGCAGAGGTGAAGCCTTGTGACAATGGCAGAGCCATGTGCCAGGCTCAGGATGGCTGTGCTGTGTGGCCGTCTGCAGCTTATTTGGGGTTTGTAAGATGTCCTCACCACCCCTGGGTTTGTCCTTGTGGAGGAGCCTGACTTGGCTGCATCAAGAGGCCAGACCCCCTGCCCTATACCTTGGAACCAGCTATGAGGGCGATGCCAATGGAGAGTTTGCGCTTCATCCCCCCACTCAGGAATTTGGACCGCAAGTCCCGCTTGTCCTCCAGACTAAGGATGTGCAGCATCTGCTTGACTTCTTCAGGACACTTCTGGAGAGACAGGCCTTTCAACTGAAAGGCAGAGGATGAGGAGATATGAGGCGGGTGGTGCTGATGGGAGCTGAACCTTCCCGCAAGTCCCCCGGCCCAAGAGATGTCTTCCCTGGCACTGCTGGACTCGGCTTGTCCTTCCGTAACTCCCCTTGCTTTTATGAAATAGCGCCTCAGAACAGACTGCTGTGAGGCTAATGGAATGCTGGGATGGCTGCAGAATCCTTGGTATATTAGCAAGGGAACAGCCACCACCCATATGTCCCTGTCACCCAAACTCACCTGTGCATAGAAGTAAAGATGTTCTGCAACTGTCAGGTTGTCAAACAGGACATCATGCTGGGGACACAGGCCCAAACTCTTCCGGATTTGAACCATGTCTTGGGAAATTTCATACCCATGAATATATGCATGTCCACTTGTAGGGGGAAAGAGACCTGCAGCCAAATCAAAGACCCCCAAATTCATCACAAAAATCTTGTTCACTTGTGGAAGGTACAATGACCCTGACTCACTTAACCCATTGTCCTTATGGGGCTCCTATCCATGAGAGCACACCTGGACCCTCGTACTTTTCCATGTCAGGTTCTGTCCAGCAGAGCAGGAGGAGACAGAAGGAGGGGTCTCAGCTCTGTTACAGGGCACACCACTTTGTCATAAACAAAAAACTCATTCTTGCTGGCTCTGGGTCTCTTTCACAAAAGTGTGTGTCAATACTGAATCCACTACTATCAGAAGCCATGCTCTCAATGTCAAGGTGTGTGCTACTGACAAGCACCTTAGTGTTTCAGGAAGACGAGGAACAGTTTCAAGTGGGTGAAGCACAGCAGAGATGAAGAGCCCCTCCGCTCCTCCTTTTATCCCTTCCTCTCTCCCACGGGTGCTGGGACTGAACACAGCGCTCAATGAATGCCAGACAATCACTCCACCACTGATTCACATCCCTAGCCCAGAACAGCTCTCCGCAGTGGGGTTGGGGTGGATCTGTTCCTCTATGGCTGGAGAATTAATTAGCCTTAGTTGTCCTTACTGATCCCACCAGGTTTAGGTATTCATAGACAGAGGCTGAAAGGGTGGGAACCAGTCAAAGGCTCCTCATATGTTCCCCTGAGCCGTGGGGCAAGAACTCTACTGGGTATAAACGTCTCACTTCTCACAGGGAAGGACTGAAAGACACACGAAAAAATAAATCCATGGCAGATGTAAAGCAGCCAGAGGGGAAGGAAGGGCCTGTCAGTCACAGACGGACATGGAGCTACCTCTCACCTGTCAGCATGGACATAGTCGTGGTCTTCCCAGCACCATTGTGGCCCAGGAGTACTGTTATCTGTCCTTCATACAGGTTCAGGTTCAGGTCTCTGATGCCCACCTTGTCCTTATTGCCCACTTGGAACACCTGTAGATAAGGCAGAGGGTCGCCTTGACTTCCTGTGGCCCTCAGGGCCTTCCTTTCCCTTTGGAACATGACCCTAGCATCTCAGGACACTAAACCAGGCACCATGAATCAACCCAGAACAGAACTGTGGGGCAGAGGCTACATCCCTCTGTTAGTCCCTACGTGACCTTTGTTACTGTGCATTCCGGGAAGCACGTACTGAGAAGAACGTACACTAATGAGAGGCGCACCCAGGACTCACCTTGGACAGATGCTTGATTTTGATCCCAGCTACCAGGTCCTCTGGCTCAGCTTCAAAGTACTCGGTTCTGAGAGCTTTTTCAGGGTCACTGTCGTCTTCCTTCTTCCCTACGACAGTTCTCGTGTTCCCACACCAGTAGGAGGGCTGGGATGGAGGCACACAGATACCAGGGTCATCAGTGTCAGCTCATTTTATTTGTGATCAACAAAGTCACTACCACTGACACACTAAACATGTATAACAACATGACCTGAGCCTTAACCACAGGGTATATGACTGAGGAGACAGCACCGTCTTAGACTGAGTTCCAGCATGTTTCCTGATTTGATTATACCTAGGAAAGCTCTATTTCTTGCCTTCCTAATCTGGTAAATGGGCACAAGAGTGGACTGTTGTGAAATTCAGATTTAACAGAGAGAAGAGGGAATTTGTCAATGTTATGAAGTGACATCACAAACGCCCCGTCCAGAGCACTATCAGAGCCTGAGAGGAAAGGAAAGGGGTTGTATCTCTGCCCTTTCTGTTCACCACAGTGACAGGCCCTGTAAATGGGTGGGGGTGGGGGACTAGAGAGTGAGCTGCCTGCTGAAGCCTGTTACTTCTGTCCTCAATGCTGACGGGCACACTGCACTTGTATTATTGCACACATCTCACAATTAAAACGACTGTGAAGTCGGAATGGATTTCACATAACAAAAGGCCATAGTTTAATGGTGGCATTTTCCCTCCATAGATATAGACAAGAGTAATGTCTGTCTTCTCTAACAATAGGTGTCACTTTGCATTTAATGAAATACAACATCTGACACTTGACAAAAACTTGCTGAATCAAAAAAATAAAAAAAGCCAGCCTGGGCTGCCAAGTGAGTTCCAGGAAAAGGCGCAAAGCTACACAGAGAAACCCTGTCTTGAAAAAACCAAAAAAAATAAATAAATAAATAAATAAAAAATAAAAAAAGTACTGGACCAATTACCAAGTGGAAATTGCTAGTGTATGATGGAGAAACCTGACTAGGGGACGCAATGTTGTCATTATAAGTGAAATTCACTCATAAAAAAGCTATATATTTAAGTAGAAATACATTTCTAAATAATACATTTATAAATATGGCTAGATAAAAGTCTAAAAAACTATAAACAGACGCACAGGCATATGTACTTAAAATAACAGAAACACTATTAGAATAAAAAAAGTTTCAGGTCTGGTTTATAGTATAATCCACTTTTACCAAGCAAACTGATAAAAGGGCCAGGTAGGACGTGCACAGGACAAGTGTGAAAAGGCTATGAAGATCAGTATTGTCAACCTGACAGCATCTAGAATCATAGAGGAGACAAACCTCTGGGTGTGTCTGTGAGCGAGTTTCTAGGTTGGGTACTGGGGTGGGAAGACTCACATTCAATAAAGGTTGTATCATTCATTTCGGGACTGAAGAAGAAGGAGAAAATGAGCTGAGCACCAGCACTCGGGATATCTCTGAATAGAGATGCTCTGTGACAGTACATTCCTGTTGCTATGTCTTCCCTGCCCTAACAGAGTGTGTCCCTCCTGAACTGTGAGCCAGACTTAAACGGTCTTTCCCTAAGACACTTTTGTTAGGTGTCTGTCAATGAGGAAAGTATTACAAAGGCACAACCAGCTGTCAACAGAGTTTCCTTCTGGCACTGGGAAGTGCTATCTATTTCAAGTGTGGTTCCTACTCCCATAAGAAAAGGCTTCATTGCTCTGTAGGAAGAAAATCCAGTAAGCTCTTTGTTTTTATGCTGGGGGATATAGCTCAGTGTTAGAGTGCTTGTCTAGTATATGCAAGGCCCTGGGCTTAAACCTCGGCATTATTTTTAAAAATTAAGAGATTTTTCATGAACAAAGAAATGAGTTTGGGGACAGCAGAGGCTCTGTGTATCAGTCTCTGTGTCCCTTCCTCTCAGACCCTGAGAATAAGGCAGGTCTTTATCCTCAGGACACACATGCACAGGTCAGTTTCCGAAGTCATGCCTAACACAGGTGTCATTCACTGGGACTTAAAGTGGTCCCATGTGAGTGTTGGGGACACCTCTGTCCCCCAAAGTAGTGGCCTGCTTGAAGAACAGGGACATCAGCACTCACCATAAGGAAGAAGTACCAGGGCCGGGGCACGCCAAACTGGCCTGGGAAGACAGCCTCCACATACCAGGTCACCAGGCCGTAGAGTACCGAGTCCAGCAGCAGCATCCCCAGCACTTGTCCAAAGCAGAAGTCATCATCCACGTTGACAGGGTTCAGGAGGTCACGCCACTGGATGCCAGTGCCTGAAGGATGTATCAGGAAAATAATCCAAAACTGTCTGGGCTGGGTAAGAGGGGCGAGGCCCTGAAGCCCTACATGGCACGTGCATTCATACTTGTATGTGTATTTGCCCTGGGCTGTCACCCTGACGTCAGCATGACTGCTTTCTTTCTGGGCTTTGTAACAAAGCTACAACTTTCAAGACTTTTTTTCTGGAACAGGGTGGCATGTATTCTGGGCTGACCTCAAACTCCATGTTGCTTAGAATGATCTTGATCTTCTAATCCTTTTGGCACCACCTCCCACGTACTGGTACTACAAGCATGTACCGGCACACTCAACTTTTGCTGAGTTAGGGATTGAGCCCCAGGTAAACACTACCAGTTGAACTACATCCCGCCCCTAGCCAACTTTCTTCAAGTCTTGAAGACAACAGTAAGTTAAAAAAAATAGTAAATTGCAGTACTACCAAAAGCTCATGAACTAGAGCTGAGTGGTTAAGCAATGGCACTTCTTCCAGAGGACCTGGGTTTGATGCCTAGCACCATCTTGGTGACTAACAACCCTCTGTAACTCTAGTTCCAGGGAATCCGACTCCTTCTGGCCTTTGCAGGTAGTGCATGCATGTAGTACATAGAAACAAATGCAGGCAACACACATACACACACACACACACACACATTCTCTCTCTAAGTACATCTTTGTTGTAGAATATTATTTTAAGATGTGTTACGTTTGTTTATGCTGTGGAACATTGGTTAATGATGCAAAGATGTGTTGCATTCTTTTATGTTGCATTTGTTTAACTCTGTGAAGCTGTGTTATTGTGCCTGTCTAAAATACCTGATGGTCTAATAATCAGCTGAATGGCCAAAAGCAAGGCAGGAGAAAGGATAGGAAGGTCTGGCAGGCAGAGAGAATAAATAGAAGGAAAAATCTGGAAGAAAAAGAAGAAGGAACAAGAGAGATGGAGAGGAGGACGCTAGGGGCCAGCCCCCAGCCCCCAGTCCCCCAAATGCCCCAGCCCCCCATGAAGTAAGTGTGAATGTAAGATATACAGAAGTAAGAAAAGGAAATAGCTCAGAGGCAAAAGGTAGAGGAGATAATTTAAAGTTAAGAAAAGCTGGCTACCAACAAGCCAAGCTAAGGCCAGGCGTTCATAAGTAAGAAAAAGACTCCATGTGATTTATTTGGGAGCTGGCTGGTGTCCCCCTCAAAAGAGCAAAAACAACCAACAACACATCTTTAATTTTTTAAATTTAATTTATTTTATTTTTTTAGATCTTTCGAGACAGGGTTTCTCTGTGTAGCCCTGGCTGTCCTGGAACTCCCTCTGTAGATCAGGCTGGCCTTGAACTCAGAGATTCACCTTTGCCTCTGGAATGCTGGGATTAAAGGCATGCATTGCCTGGCTATCTTTAAATTTTTTAAAAGCTCATAAACTGACTAGATGGGCTTGCATTTCATTGGTTACAGTATACATACACATACATATATGCATATGTATATACATATGTACACAAATGCACACACACATGAGATTTGATGTTATGTCAGTGTGAATCAATAAAACTGAGAGAACTCAAAACTAGTATGAAGTTCTACAAAAGTCATCAATGATGAGCCACAAAGGCACTCACAGCCTGATCTAAGTGTCTAACAGTCTTCTGTTGGCAGGAGACCCTGGATGAAATGTCTGCTCTACAGCCTTGGTGAATACTTACCCTCAAACAGCTAGAGACTTGTCTATTTTAAGGAAAGTCACCTGTATGTATGCTACAGTTGTGTAACTTGGTCTTCTTGTGGGACTCCTAATAGTGGGAGCAGGGGGCTGTCTCCAACCCTTTTACTGGTTTTTGGGACCTTTTTCCTCATACTGGGTTGCCTTGCTCAGCCTTAATACAAGGGAGGTGCTTAGTCTTACTGCAACTTGATATGCCATGTTTTGTTGATATCCATGGGAGGCCTGCCATTCCTGAATAGAAATGGAGGAGGAGTGAATGGGGTGGCAGAGGGGAGGTGGAGGAGAGGGACTGGGAGGAGAGGAGGGAGGGGAAACTGCAGCCAAGATGTAAAATAAATTAATTAATTTTAAAAGTCACTATGCAACTTTGAAATAAAAGAGGTGTCATATATTGAGATTCCTCTTTGGAAATGGCCTTTTAGTTTTTAAAAAGATTTATTTGTTATTATTTTTAAATTACATGTAAGTAGATATGTGTGTCTGCATGTGGGTGTGTGCATGTGAGTTCAGGTGCCCGAGGAGGCCAGAGGCATCAGATCTCCCTGTAGTTATGAGCTGCCTGATGTGGGTGTTGGGAACTGACTCAGGTCCTCTGAAAGATTAGCAAGTACTCTTAAATAATGAGCCATCTCTTCTACCCTGGAAAAGGCCTTTAAAAAGAGGCCTTGGAAGTTTCTGCTAGTTTACAAAGTCTACGCTCTATCAAGAGGTTACTAATGCTATAAACACATAAACCTCCTATCTTGACCTCTTGATCTGCCTGCCCCCACCTCCTTGGTGCTGGGATTACAAGACATAATTGCACCACAATGTCTGCTTTTGTGCAGTGCTAGGCAACAAACCCAGGCCTTCATAAGTGTTAGCTGTCTTGTTGAAGCTTGTGTGCTTGTTTTTGTTATGTTTTATAAGACAGAGTTTCACTATAGCCCAGGTGTGGACTCACTATGTGTCCTCCCAACAATCCTGCTTTGACTGTCTTAGTGCTAGGATTCCTCCTCTGTGGTACAGTTTGAATGCATGGCCTTGAATTCATTTGTTCCCAGTTTAGCAGTGTGGGAGATAGCCCTCATACCTGGGCCAAGGCTGCTGAGCTGTGGTGGCACATGCCTTTAATCCCAGCACTCAGGAGGCAGAGGCAGGCAGATTTCTTTCTATGAGTTCAAGGCCAGACTGGTCTAAAGAGTGAGTTCCAGGACAGCCAGGACTATACAGAGAAACCCTATCTTGAAAAACAAAAACAAAAACACCCCCAAAACAAAACAAAACAAAAAACAAAAGCACCAAAGCCGCCATAAAAAAGGTCCTACAAGAATAGTGTTTCTCTTCCAGTCTCTTGCTCTGTGAGGAACAACATTCATGATGGTATCTTGGAAGCAGCCACTGGGCTCTTACCAGGTATCACATCTTAAGACTTCCCAGCTTCCAGCACTGTGAGAAATAAAATCCTTTTCTTCCCCAATTTCCTAGTCTCAGGTACTTTTGTGATAGCAATACAAACAGACAAGACATCTGACTAGAAGGAACGCACACAGAGAAAGGGAAGAATGACTCCCGGCAGTTGTCTGCTGACCACCCACATGCTCTGTGGCATATGTATGCTCTTGTGTGCATACACATGTTCGCAAGAAAAAAGTTTTTTTTTTTTGGTTTTTCGAGACAGGGATTCTCTGTGTAGCTTTGCGCCTTTCCTGGGACTCACTTGGTAGCCCAGGCTGGCCTCGAACTCAGAGATCCGCCTGGCTCTGTCTCCCAAGTGCTGGGATTAAAGGCGTGCGCCACCACCGCCCAGCTAAGAAAAAAGTTTTTTAAAGGGGATGTCGAGACAGGTTAAGAGCGTTTGCTGCTCTCCCAGAGGACTGGATTCTCAGCACCGACATCAGGTGATTCACAGTCACTTGTAACTCTAGCTCTAGGGGATCTGATACCTTTCTCTTGCCTCTGTGGCACCTTCACTCACATGTGCACACACCCTGAGCATGCTCGTGTACACACACACACACACACACACACACACACACACACACACACACACGAGTTGAAAATAAAAATACATTTAGAAAACTCTAAAACAGAAGTAGGAAGAAACTCAAGCCAATCGGTAAAATCTGGTCATTGGACAGAGCAGACGGGGTGACCAACACCTCTGGGTGTTTTAGCCCTTAGCTGTGTTTGGCTCCTAGTGGCCTTGTCTGAGCTACTTCCCCATCAGGCTAGGGTCAAGCCAGCTCTCCTTACACACGCAGTGCTTGTCTGCCGAGGAAGTTTAGTTCAGGTGTTCCAATCAGCTTGCTTTCCACCTGAGGTGAGTCTCACTGCTGGAAACACTTTTGGCAAGATGCTCCCCAAGCTGCGTGAATCAGCAAGTCATGATTTGAGGACTTACTGAGAATAAGACTCACCTTTGGCTTCAAATTTTCCTATGAGCTGGGCTCCCATTGCCATGGCAACGTTAGATAGGAGACAAGATACGAGCTTTTGGCTCAGTGTCATCCAGTTGTACCGAGGAGCCACGAAATAGTAGGGGCTGAAGGTGAAGTAGTACAGGAAGCCACCCACCGCGGCTGCTATGTTGGCTGTGGGGAGAAGGAACATGGTTGCTATAAGCTTGCCAGGAGACTTGCACGAGTGACAATGGTCAGGAAGAACCCCGCCCCCCCCAAACCCCAGCACTGGGGGACTACAGCTTCTTCTGACCTTATCAGGCCCCTCAAGCAGATCTTCTGCCCACCCGAAGCAGTACACACATAAAAATGTGTACATATAAAACAGGCTGGCAACAGCTTGGATGTAAAACAGCAACTAAGCTACCATTGTGCATTTTTTAAAAAAACAGTAAAATGACTTAGTAGGGAGCTTGGGAATTCACAGTGTGGTATGGATTGAGACATACTCATTTTTAGGAAAAATTTAAGAGCATTTAAGTTTAAAACTAAGGATAATTACTAACAGGAATGTAGTTTGTACAAGCCATCAGAAGTGCAAAACTATTATAAACCTTTTCTGACCAACAGAGGGCGGCGAGGAAGAAAACCTAAGCACAAAATGACAATAAGCTGAATTCAGAGAGCAGAAACAGCTTTGAAAAGTGAAGGGTCGAGGAAGAGGAAGATAGGAATGATATAGGAATAAGACAGGAACATAAGAAAAAAAAAGCTGAGCTTGAGAGATGGAAGCGACAGCCATCGGCTCTGCCAGCTAACAGGGACTAACCTTTAACTAGGCCTATCTTTGTTCTACCGTGGACAGCTCTGTCAGCAACCCAAATGGTGGTTTTTTGCGATGCCTCTCTGCAGTTTGGGGTTTGCCATTCTTTTTTTTTTTTTTTTTTTTTTTTTTTGGTTTTTCGAGACAGGGTTTCTCTGTGTAGCTTTGCGCCTGTCCTGGAACTCACTTGGTAGCCCAGGCTGGCCTGTTCCGCCTGGCTCTGCCTCCCAAGTGCTGGGATCAAAGGCGTGTGTCACCACCGCCCGGCGGGGTTAGCCATTCTTGACAACCCCTACCACTTACAACTGCCGCAGACCAACGTTAACTTTTTTTTTTCTTTTTGGTTTTTCGAGGCAGGGTTTCTCTGTATAGTTTTGGTGCCTGTCCTGGATCTCGCTCTGTAGACCAGCTTGGCCTTGAACTCACAGAGATCCGCCTGGCTCTGCCTCCCGAGTGCTGTGATTAAAGGTATGTGCTACCACTGCCTGGCCCAAAGTTTTAACTTTTAATAGTTGTTTCTGCATGACTCCCAGCATGCATCCCATGCCTGATGCTCACTTTTGCTATAAAAGGGGCTTGAAACCCGCCCCCTTTGTCATAGTCACAGAAGTCTGAACCCTGGCTATGGCCTCAGTTAACTGGTAAGCTTCTCCCCATGGTGATTTTTTTTTCTGGATTTTTTTTCTGCTTCTGGTTTCATAGGCTTCGGTGGTCTGTCCCCCATTTTTTGCTCGCCCTTGGACCTAACAATACCAGCAATCACAGCAGGGCAGGCAGGTAAAGTTTTTATTTCTAGTATTCTTAGCAGTACACAGTTACACTTGCCTTCTGCCGATTCCCCTTTCCCCTAAAACATCCTGCCTCTCCTCCTTGGTCCACAGCATGTGCTCTCTGCCCTCTCCTCATCATCTAGTTCCTTCCTGGGGGAATTCTAAGAGGTTCTGTCATGGGCTTTACTGTATTCCTTTCTGCCTTCTCCTCAAACCAGTTACATTAAGCCACAGCCTCTCCAGAGTCCTCCCTTCCAACAACTCAGCCTCTGGGTGATCAAAATGCATACCTTTTGACCCAGTAACCATGCACAAATCCCCTTCATTTCCCTAGACAAGTATCACCCCAGTCCTCTGGCCTGAGGGGAACAACAGAACTCACCTTTACTGAAGAAGGTGCTGACCATGAAGCTGAAGGAGATGGAGGAGATTGCAAAACACAGCAAGAAGGCCAGCACCAGGGAGGGGTCGCTGCTTGACAGGACCGCTACGTCCTTCTTCACCTGCAGGACAGGCCGCCCCAGAGGAGCAGGGTGAGGCAGGGAGGGCAGAAAGGAACAAGGACAGGCCTAAAGGTCCCAGGGACACTGCTGGATGGGAAGGGATCCTTGCCTCAGCCAGTGGAAAGCCCTGCTAACTTTCTCCAGCAGGGGCAAGACTTGCCCTGAGGTCAGTAGCCATGAATGTTCTTTGGCCTAAGTGAGGGGATCTCCGCACCCTCCCCTTGCCAACGCCTTTACGGAAGCGACACTTACTTTGACACAGAACAGCAGGGTCATGAAGGAGACCATGATGAGGAAGAACAGGAAAAACATGAGGAACCAAGCACCCCAGTGCAGCCAGCTACTGAGCCCCATCATGCGCATGTACTCCTATGAAAGGGAGAAGGCATCCCACAGTCAGGCTGCTGTCCTGTCTACACACACGCTACTACCATGTGTGCCGGGTGCTTACAAAACACAGAGGCATCTCTAGAGCAGGAGGGCAGACCAGGCCCTGTGCTGCAGGGCACAGGCAGGATTATCCAGCACACGTGAGGGGCCAGAGAAGGCTGTGGTCTGTCATGCTAGTTCTTGTCCAGCAGCTCTTAGCCCTGTGGTGTAAGAATCTAGCCCTTTTCTACCGTTCAGCGGTGTCAAAAGCTACCCTATCTGGGAGGCTATCCCCGATGGTCAATCAGCACTAATTGCCCTTTATTCCTAAGTCATGATGGTCTGCCTCACTCCGCAGCCCACTACTCAGCATGGCCTGGTCTGCTCTGTGTCATGAGAGCTAAGTCCACTGGAAGCTCTGTCATGCCAGGAAACCCCCTCCTATGCTTGTGCCTCATTCAGGCCTGATACAGGAACCCAATAGATGTTAAGCTGGTGAATTCTCTGAGTCCTTCAGGGATGCCTTGTATGCTGAGGAGCAATTCCAAACTCCCAAGGTATGCTCCCAAGTCTTCACATTACTTGAGCTGATTCCGAGAGGCTAGGAGTGTCAGCTGGCATTAAAGTCCAGAGGCACCCAGCCTGGCCCCCTCCTAAGGTTGGCAGGAAGACCTTGCAGGCTACCAACCACACTGACAGCAGCCTCCTGGGCTGTGAGCCTTCACCAGTGTGTGGTGGTGGACACACATTAAGAGACTTGGGCATCCGTTCATTTGCCTTCCCACTTTGAGAGAGAAGCCCAGAACCTTTTTAGGGAAAGGTCCAGCCTGTCTCTGTGGAAAAATAGGGTAAAGTGATCTGATCACACCTTCCTTTCTGGCCTGTCCACCAAGCGGCTAGGATCAGCTCCTCCAGTGATCAGTGCTGCCTACGGGTTCCGGGAGTCTAAAGCTGCACAGCCAGTGGCGGGGTAAACTAAGAGTCCAGCTCTTTGCTCGAAGTATGGCTCAGTGATAGAGTGCTTACATTCTTGAGACCCTGAGTTCCACTTCTAACGTTGAAAACAGAAACAAAATACCAGGGGAGGGGTAAAACAACCAAAATATATTATATGAAAAGAACTTTTTGAAAGAAAGAAACAAACAAAAAGTTACAAAGATAATGTGAAAAGGAGAAGAGAAAAACAAGTTGAGAGGCGGCGGCGGCGCGCACCTTTAGTCCCAGCACTCAGGAGGCAGAGGAAGGCGGGTCTCTGAGTTCGAGGCCAATCTTTTTGGTCTACAGAGTAAGCTCGAGCCTTTTTGGTCTATAGAATGAGTTCCTCAAAAAACAAAACAAAAACAAAAACAAAACACCAAACCAAACCAAACCAACAAAAACTCAAAACAAACAAAAATAAAACAAAATTCAGCTCCTCAAGTGCTGCCTGGAGATTTCAGGTAGAGAACATGCCCATTATCACAATCTAGGCAAAGCAGACTGATTTCAAAGAGCCTGTGCCATAGTGGGTGTCTATACTGCATCCTGGCTCTAATGGTTCCAGCATACAGGAAGGAGCCCTGGCTGATGGCAGCAGCCTTGAGACAGGCCAGTTCTTATGAGGAGTCCCAGGACCCACTACTGTGGCCGGGCCATTCTCACACTGACTTGCCAATATATTGCAAAGCCACACACAGAGGGTTACCTTTAGTTTTTTCTCTTTCTCCTGCACCACGGCCCGGATGATGCTGAGGGAGGTATAGGTGAAGCTTAGCATGAGCAGGAGAGGCAGCTGGTACTGGATGGCAATGAGGAATGGATCTGAGATGTATGGTGGGAACGGGAACCTCTTGGTGATCACCACAAGCTTCTGGAACAGCTGGTGTGCAGAGGCGTTGGCATGGTAATGCATGATGGCTTTGTCTACAGCATGTTGCACTGCCAGGAAGCCTTCACGGATGTACCCTGAGTCCAAAAACAGAGGACAGCTGTGTCATGGTGCTGCTCACTAGAGAGGGATGTGCTTTGAACAGACAGGACTTTCCTGGGTCCACAGAGGCAGGGCCAGAGGAGGCAAAGGGTGACTTCATCTGACACCCTACTCTGTGGACCACTAATAGCATCTGACACCGTTCAGTGATTCCCAAGGAAAAGAGAATGCTTGCCACATATTGCCAGGTGATACTTCTACTTCATAATTAACACAACCCATACAAAACCACAAACATGGTCATATTTAAAAAATAGATTGAGATAGGACTGGGGGACAGTTCAGTGGGTGAGAGCACTTGCTATATAAGCATGAGGACCTGGGTTTGGATCCCCAGAACCTTCATAAAATCCTACCATGAGCATGCCTGTAGACCCTAGCATTTCAGGGTGGAGTCAGGCAGATCCTGGGAACTTACTGGCTAGCCAGCTTAGTCAAAATGGTGAGCTATAGGTTCAGTGAGAGACATTGTATCAAAGGTGCCAAGTGACAAAGCACAACATTCAACACTGGCCTACCCATGAGCATGGCTGTACACACATCCACACACTAAACACATCACGTACACTACACTACACACACACACACACACACACACACACACACACACTATACACATCCACACACTAAACACATCACATACACCACACACACACACACCACACTATACACATCCACACACTAAACACATCACATACACCACACACACACACACACACACCCAACACATTAAACACACACACAATCTGATATAAACTTGGTGGGAGATAGGCCCTTTATGCATGCCTCAAATGGACTGACTGAAAATTCTCAACAGATAAAACTTAGGCTAAACAGACACCAGGAAAGAGAACATTAAGAGTGAAGACAGGGATAACTGGAAGGTGTGAGGAACAGGAAAGCACTTTCTGTCCTTGCTGAGAGGGCCAAGTCTTGAGTGCTGTCCCAGTTGTCTAAGAGTCAAGAGAAAGAAGCTAATGGCCCTGGTGCCTAATTGTGACTCTAGGTGGAAAGTGAATGAACAGAGATAGAAGCCGAGGCCTTTGCCCAAGTGGAGCGGAGAGAACTTGGTGAGAGGCAGCCTGACACAGCAGCAGTCATTTTTGTTTGTGTTTTTAGTAGCTCTGATGGGTGGGAATCCAACACAGGCCTAACTAACTGACAATTAGTGTCTACTGGCTGTGTTCCTCCTGGGGGTTAGGGAAAATCTGCTCCTCCTCTTTTCCAGTTTGGAGTGATCAGTGATCACTACATTCCTTGGCTCATGGTCCCTTCCTCCACTTCAAGACCAGCAGGGCAGTTCCTCGAGTTAATCTTTGCCGACACTTGTGCAGCCTGTGTGTACTTTTAAGGGCCCGGCAATCACACAGGCTCCTGCAGAGTAACTGAAAACCATTTTGCTATCTTTTTTTTTTCCTTCAAGACAGGGTTTCTTTGTGTAACACTGGCTGTCCTGGAACTCACTTTGTAGACCAGGTTGGCCTCAAACTCAGAGATCTGCCTTCCTCTGTCTCCCAAGTGCCACCACATCTGGCTTAATTTTGCTATTTTGAATCAGCTGACTAGCAGATTTATTTCCCTTTGCCTCAAACAGGCAAAGGTTCTGAATGATTAGGAAGGGGAATTTAGGGATCATAATTTGATCTACTTTACGTGGTTCTTCTGGACTCCCCAAAGGGGTCTGAAATAGAAAGTGCAAAGGGAGAGGGGCCTGTGGGAGTAGCAAGCACAGCACCCTAAGTTATACAAGGTCTGAGAGAGATGAACCCAAGGAAGAAGTGGATTTAGGATTAGTAGATAAAAGGCAGCCTGAGGTCCCAAGCTCTCAGCCTTAGGACAGACTGGGGAACAGGCCACTGGCATGAGTGATTAGAATATAAATATCCTGAGACACAAAAGTGTCTGGCCACTTGTTCCAGCCTCTAGAAAAGAGAAAAGCAATGTGCTAGCCACATCCACGACACAGGTTAACAAGCGCTGCCACTCTTCTGTCTCTGGTTTTATGATTGTAATGTCACTGATGTGTGTCAAGGCCAGTGCTGGTGGAGCAATAATTCTCATCTTTACCAGGTCACTTCACAGCAGCTAATGCTATCCTCATTGGACAGACAGACAGGCCCAGGGAGCCACATGGCTGGTGAGGGGTTCAGCTGAGCATGGGACACCAGAAACTTTGTCTTGGAAGTCATGCCTACTCACGACGACGACGACATCACTGTTTTCCCCACACCTAACTGCCTGCTGCTGCTGCATACTGTCTTCTCAGGAGACTGTCGAGGGGCACAGTGATTCTCATCATTGCAGCTTTGTGACAACCTGACAATCTGGGGCAGTGGTCCTTTTTTTTTAGTCCTTTTTTTTTGTTTTTTGTTTTTCGAGACAGGGTTTCTCCGTGTAGTTTTGGTGCCTGTCCTGGATCTCGCTCTATACACCAGGCTGGCCTTGAACTCACAGAGATCCACCTGGCTCTTCCTCTCGAGTGCTGGGATTAAAGGCATGCACCACCACTGCCCTGCTAAGGCAGTGGTTCTTAACCGGCGGGTCACAACTCCTTTGGGGGTCGCATATCAGATTATCTACATTATGATTCATAACAGTAACAAAAGTACAGTTAAGAAGTAGCAACGAATTAATTTTATGGTTGGGGGTCACAACCTGAGGAACTGTACTAAAGGGTTGCGGGGTTAGGAAGGTTGAGAACCACTGGTCTAAGGCATAATGTTACCATTCTGGAATCCACCACTTTTCCACCGGAGGAATGTTTGTGGTGATAAGTCAAACCATGGAAAATATTGCTGTTGTGGGTTATCTTGTTCTTTCAGAGTACTCTGTAGGACGTTCTTTTTAGAATCTTTTTTTACATGAATGGGTGTTTTGCGGCATGTATGTCTATGTACCATGTACATGCCTGGTCAACTGAAACAGGAGTTACATAAGACTGTTAGCTGTACTGGGAATCAAACCTGGGTCTTCTGGATGAGCAGTCAGTGCTCTTAATTTATCCATTTCGCCGGGCGGTGGTGGCGCACGCCTTTAATCCCAGCACTCGGGAGGCAGAGCCAGGCGGATCTCTGTGAGTTCCAGGCCGGCCTGGGCTACCAAGTGAGTTCCAGGAAAGGCGCAAAGCTACACAGAGAAACCCTATCTCGAAAAACAAAAACAAACAAACAAAAAAAAAACTTATCCATTTCATCATCCCTGGGGGTCATACTTATCAGGACATTGTTAGTAAGCCTGAGGCGTGGGCGTCTGGGACACAGTTGGGATGAGAACTGCCCTGCCAGGCCAGTGCTGTGGCCTCCCATCTACTTCTGCAGGCTCTCACAGACTTCTAAATAACCTGGGGACGTCTTTCACAGGTTTGGACCACCATGCCTGGTTTATGAAATTTTCCCTTTATCAATTGCTGCAAATGTTTTTCATAGCCTCCTATTGGTCATAAGGCTTTTCTTTTGGGGCAGTTTTTTGAGTTTGCACATACTGATATCTGCCAGTCTTTTCCTCTAAGATTTAATTTTTTTCTTAAAAATTACTTTATGTATGTGGGTGTTTTGCCTGCATCACATGATTGCTCAGTATCTGCAGAGGCCAGAGGACACTGGATTCCCTGGAACTGAAGTTACAGATAGTTACCAGACACCATGTGGGTGCTGGGTATTTACCCCAGTCCTCCAGAAGACTAACCAGTGTTCTTCACCTCTGAGCCATCTCTCCAGCCCCAGGCTTTTTGTTTGTTTGTTTTTGAGACAGGATCTCTTTGCTGTTCTGGAACTTACTATGTCGAGCAGGCTGACCTCTGACTCATAGAAATCTGCCTGTCTCTGCCTCCCAAGTACTGGGATTCAAGGTATGTACCACCGTTCCTGGCTTAGGAGATATTTTTCTATTGCTTTCAAGAAACAAGACAGGCTTGAGGAACTGCATCGCAGCATCTGTCAGCCAGCACGTCCAGCATCTGTCAGCCAGCACGTCCAGCTGGGTGACATGGGTAACTGGTGGGACAGCTGGCTGAAGCTCCTCCTGAGCTCCAGGTCTACTTACTCGTGTGGAGTCTCTCTTATCTCATACCTCTCCTTGTTCATTTTAGTTCATTTTCCAGATTTAAAACCCCAACCTAGAGCATTAGCCTTAGGATGGGTCTTAGAATCAGTGGCAGGCATCCCTAACTGCTGCTGGTTGGAGCCTCCTGCCTGCCAGCTGTACATTCTGAGTCTCGCTCCACAGAGAAACCTGTAGAAGACAGTGTTCTCCAGAACTTCTGGATTTCTACCAGTCGTGGTTGAACTGGGCTATATCTTACCCTGGATCACTGGCCCTAGCCTCATCCTATCTCTCTCTAGCTTGTGTCCAAGATGTGCCCATGCTTCAAAACAGACAAACATGAACTGCAGTGAAAGCTACCACACAGATATAGTATGCCTCGACAGGGAATTGGAATAGCCAACAAGAACTTCTGTGCAGGTTACTGAGTTAAATCAAGAATCTGCGGACTTTCAAAATGTGAGAAAACCAAGCACAGAGGCGGCCAGGGAAGGGAGCATAAAAACCAGCCTGAAAAGGTTGATCAGAATGAGGCTTTTGAAAACCTGAGTGATGAATGTTTCCTTCAAGGGCACAGGTCTTCTGAAGTGGGGAGCGGGATGCTAATCTTTCTAAGGCTTAGACCTACCCGTTAGGAGCCAGCTTTATTGGGTGTTTTTTTTTTTCCCTTCACAATTGAGAAATTTATAAAAAGAATTTCTTGGCCAAGCAGTGGTGGTACACATCTTTAATCTCAGCACTCAGGAGGCAGATGCAGGCAGATCTCTGAGTTTGAGGCCAGGCTGGTCTACAGAGTGAGCTCCAGGATGGCCAGGGATACACAGAGAAACCTGTCTCGACCACCTCCTCCCCACAACAATTCTTTTTCTATAGAGAAAGCAAGGTAGTTTTGACTCTCACAATCATCAGAAGTTAGCAGTCTGGGGCTAGGAATATGGCCCCTAAGAGTGTTTCTCACCTGGTTCACCGCCATCAGCTGATAAAGGTTCTCTTGGCCCTGGGCTTGGGAAAAGTGGAAAAAGAGAAGTGGTGTGCCAGCCTTCGGTCTCTCTTAGAAAAATATTTTCTTTTTGGGTCCACATGTAATTTCTCCGTGTGTAACTGAAGCGTAGGTGGTATTTCACCTTTGGAAACAGAAAAGAAAACCAACAGTTCTGAAGGGGTCAGACTGAAGAGTAGATGCCCGAGGGCCATGATGGTGCATTTTCTTACCAGGATGGTGTCACCAGACTCTGACCATGCCCTGCCCTGAAATTACCCCAGTGGCCTCAAAACATCAGAGGGAGACACTCTTTTTTTTGTTTGTTTTGTTTTGTTTTTCGAGACAGAGTTTCTCTGTGTAGCTTTGCACCTTTCCTGGATTTCGCTCTGTAGACCAGGCTGGCCTCAAACTCACAGAGATCCACCTGCCTCTGCCTCCCAGTGCTGGGATTAAAGGTGTGTGCCACCACTGCCCGGCTTTTTTTTTTAAATGATTTATTTATTTTTTATTTAATGTGCATTGGTGTTTTGCCTGAATGTATGTCTGTGTGAGGGTGTCAGGTTCCCTGGAACTGTAGTTACAGACAGTTGTGAGCTGTCATGTGGGTGCTGGGAATTGAATCTGGGTGCTCCAGAAGAGCAGCCAGTGCTCTTAACTGCTGAGCCACCTCTCCAAACCCAGAGGGAGTTATTTCTCCCAGCAGTGACAGAGAGACACAAGGGGTACTTTTGGAATGCTGCAGCCACTTCTCTTTGTTACCTAGCAACATGAATACTTTTTTTTTTTGAGACAGGTTCTCACTGTATATCTTTGGCTTGCCTAAAGCTTGCTATGTCGACCAGGATGGTCTTGAACTCACAGAGATCCATCTGCCTCCGTCTCTCAAGTGCTGGGATTAAAGGCACACACCACCATGCCCAGCAATACCATATTTTCAATGCCACATATGCACGATCAATGGAAGGCAACCATCAACATGTGAGACAGTTGCTCAATCCCCCTCCCCAGGGTTTCTCTGTGTAGCTCTGGTTGTCCTAGAACCTGCTTCGTAGACCAGGCTGGCTTTGAACTCACAGAGATCCACCTGCCTCTTCCTCCCAAGTGCTGGGATTAAAGGTGTACGCTACCACCACCCCACCAATTGCTCAGTTTTAAAACCATCTAGAAAGCAAAGAGCTTCCTCTATTTATTTTTTAGACATATTTAAATCCCAAACACCTACTATTTTCTTCCTTATCCTAGTTGATTTTATCTAAAGAGGCCCAGAGAACTTTTATAAAATACAGAAATTAAGTGATTTTGTTCATGGGTTGGTAGGTTTTTAAAAACTGTTCTGGACTGACAGGTTAACATCACCAAGCTCCCTCAGTAGGGACTGACTGGCATACTGGTCCCAAGGGACAGTTTAATGTTTACTCTTAGGCAGGTGGAGGTTAAGGAAAAGCATCCATATTTGCAAGTGTATCGAGTTGTGAGGGACACTGAGGACCAGCACAGTGTGTGTGTGTGTGTGTGTGTGTGTGTGTGTGTGTGTGTGTGTGTGTGTGTGTGTAGGGGGCAGGGTCAAAGTCTCACCGCCAGTGGCAGGGGGTCCTTGCTGTGGTTGAAGGTGTGCTCAAATACCACAGCTGCCAGCACGTTGGAGGAGCGGTTGTCATACCGAATGTAGTCCTCGAAGTCCTTCTCAGAGGAAAAGCCATGCACTGTGGACAAAGCAGCAACCACACATTGCCCAATCGTTCCTGATCCTTGAAAAGCCTGGGAACGCCAGGACGCTTCCGATAAAAGACAGCTCTGAAACCCTCAAGACTGGAGTGGGCCGACAGCAGAACTGCTCAGTCAGAGCTAAGCCCTGGATAGCACCTAGTCTTTCCGTTGCAATCTGAAGCAGGCTGAGATACCAGGCCAGCAGCAGGGCCAAGTCACAGAGAACTAACAGGGCCAGGGGCTGCAGTCCACGGCAAGGGTGCTCTGTTCTCCCCACCCCCACTCTCTCCCCTGATCATGGCAAGTCTTACTTTTATTTTATTTGTTTATTTAATTTATTTTTAAAACAGGGTTTCTCTGTGTAGCCCTGGCTGTCCTGGAACTCACTCTGTACACCAGGCTGGCCTCGAACTCACAGAGATCCTCCTGCATGCTCCATCACTGCCCAGCATGGCAAACTTTAATAACTGGAGTTCCTCCAATGACCTCTGTCCCCTGGCCTCCCCCTTTACATACAGGGCTTTACTGTAATCACTTGTGGGGTAAAACAAGCTAGAGGAGTCTGTGCCATCAGCAAGAGGAAAAGGGACAATAGTTTTATCTTGAAAGCAAAGATGTAGAAAAGGAGGCTAGCACACACTACCGGGGCGGTTCCCTCCACAGGCCTCCTGCGGCTTTATTCAGAACTGCCCCTGAAACCATCCCAGGAAGGCTGTTTGTACTATGTACTCCAACTGTGCTCTGCTCCCAGAATTAAACGGCTTTCCTGGACTGAGTCCACCCAGCTGCCCCTGTTATCACTAGGTGTGACTGTGGAGCCTGATATGACCAACACTGCCACACGTTCAGTGGTCCCCTCAGCATTGGACAGGTGGGCAGTCAGGCTCCGGAGCCTCATTTTGTACTGGGATAAGGTGGCCCAGAGGTTGATAAAGACATATAGCCAACATGATGGGTTGCTGAGTGTGGACCCAGCTCTTCCTGCGTCCTGGAGTCTGAATTCTCTGCACAACTAGAGGCAACACTGTCCCAGAGAACTAAACCCCAAGAACCCCACTAACCCCTGGGTCTCTCACCTCTCATGTTGATCACTAGCTCCCTTTTCACCATCTCTGTGATGGTCCTGGCAGCATCGCTGTGGGAAGGGATGTAGGCGAGCTCCCAGCTATCCCCAGGTGGCGGGAAGGAAAAGAACAGGGGCAGCTGCTGGATGGACTGGCCCTGGTAAACTGTGGCATTGGGCACATTCTCTGACTGGATCTTCAAGCGAAGCCAAATCAGGATCCCAGAAAACAGTAGGGGCAGGAGGAGTTCCAAGACTGTCACTAGAACCTTCCGCTTCTACAAGAGAAACGACCACCCTGTTGACAGTGACAAGTGCACCATCCTTGAGGGCTTTCCCTGGGCATCGACTGGATGATGGCCGCCCTTCCTTGGGCCTGGACTCACCTTCAGAGTATAGTTCTTCCAGAGTAGGAGCGCCAGCTGCCGCAGCACTGCCATCTTCCTGTAGGCACAGTGCCAACACCAACCAGAGACCAAAGGCTTAAAGATGGAAAACTAAAGTGCCCTGAAAACACAGACCACGGGTACTTAAGGAACTGTTGTGAGCTCTTTCCCTCCATATTTCCCACCTTCCTTTCGGCCACTTTAATCCTAAGCACTCCCTTAGAGGGAAGCATGCCATCCTGATGCTGCAAACACCACCATGTCCAGGGAGAATGCACACGCTTTGGGGCAGCTGCCATGTTCTTCAACAACACATTTTATTATTTTATTTATTCTTGTGTGTACGCATGTGTGCACATTCGAGTGCCACAGTGCACGTGTGAGGTCAGAGGACAACTTTTTGGAGTCTGTTTTCTCCTTTCCACCAGGTGGGTTTGGAGGATCAAACTCCGGTCATCAGGCTTGGAGGCAAACGCCTTTACCTACTGAACTCTCTTGCCACTCCACAGTAAGCTTTTTATGTGCTCTGCAACTGTTGTTGTGGTATTTATTATTATTCAGATGCTTTAGTTGTTATGCACGTCCCATTTAATCACAAAATATTGCTTTTTACTTAACCAATACACAACTAGTAAAAGAAAATTCAAGGCTGGAGAGGCGGTTTAGCAGGTAAAAGTGCTTGTAGCCAGCCAAGCTGGACACCAGAGTTTGGTTCCTGGGACACAGGTAAAGGTACAAGGAGAGAACTGATTCCTGAAAATTACCCTGACTCCCACACATGTACCATGACATGTGTGTACACATACACTAAATTAACCAACTTAAAAAAAAAAAACAACTCAACTTAGTGTCTGGCTACAGGCGGTTTTCAAGAGTTGAGAGGGCTGTGGGGAGGAAGAGAAAAGCAGAGGCCTAGGACTGCGGCCTCCAGTGGCCTTGCTGACCCGGGAGCCCAACAGGTCAGTCGCTGTGTAAGTGACCAGTCATTCTCTCTTGAATCTAAAGGCCACCTTTTCCTGTTGCTATACAAATACTGGAACCCAAGTCTTCACTACACATGACCAGCCCCTCTCCGCCTCACACCCCTCTTATTGAGATACGGTCTTGCCATGGAGCTCAGGCTGGTCTCACTAGGTAGCCCCAGGTTGCTCTTGACTCCTAGTAGTCCTCTGCCTCAGCCTCCTGACAGAAGTATAGGCACATGCCATCATACAGGGCATAAGAACACACATCCTAAAAGTATCTCTCCTATATTACACATAAATGTAACATTTAATTCTGGCACCCAAAACCAGAGGGAAAATTTGCAAAGAGTTTATCAAACACAAGGAACAGCAAAAACAACATTTATGAAGGCTGACGATTTAGACGAATGTTACTGAATTTCAACTATCAGAAGCAAAAATGTTGAGCTGCTAACCTGGAGAAGTAGGTGGTCAGAGGTAAAGCCGGCAACACCCAAGTCAGGAGGATCCCATTCAGCAAACTGAAGGCTTGGCGGTCCAGAGGTGAAGCCCCACAAGGGAAGGGAGAGAGCAGCAGGCTCCTGAGAGCTGCAGGCGGAAAGAAGCACTTCCCAGCTCAGAGTCTCCAAGTCGGGAAGAGCCTTGGTGACTCACAGGGGGAGTTTAGTTCAGTTAATCAGCTCTATGTTCATGGCTAGTACTAATCAAACACCAATTCTTAGTCAGATGAAGGCAAAACAGGGTATATAGATAATTCCTGAATCACTCATTAATGAGCAAAAGCTAACATGCATCTAACATGAGTAGCTGGAGATTAGAGTCTATGGAATAAAGAGGGTTTCTGTTTGTTTTAAAGAAACCCTAGCTGAGCAGTAGTGGTGCACGCTTTTAATCCCAGCACTCGGGAGGCAGAGGCAGGTGGATCTCTGTGAGTTCCAGGCCAGTCTGTGGTCTACAGAGCAAGTTCCAGAACAGCCAAGGCTACACAGAGAAATTCTGTCTTGAAACAAACAAACAAACAAACAAACAAACAAAACCCCAAAACAAAAAACCAAACCAAACCAAACAAAAAAACCCAAAACCAAAAAAATCCCTGTTTTTACGTTAAAAATAATTTCCATAAAGAATCTTTTTAGGGCTGGAGAGATGGCTTGGAGGTTAAGACTGCATACTGCTCTTGGAGAGGACTGAGTTCGATCCCCAGCATGTACATCAGGCAGCTTACAACTGCCTGGACTCCAGGTACAGGGAATCTAATACCTGGGGCCTCTGTGGGCACTTGCACTCAAGTGCACATATTCTCACAGACACATAATTTTAAAAAGAGAGAGAGAAATGTAAAATAACTTTATTTTAAAAACTAAACATCTTGCCGGGCGGTGGTGGCACACGCCTTTAATCCCAGCACTCAGGAGGCAGAGGCAGGAGGATCTCTGTGAGTTTGAGGCCAGCCTGGGCTACACAGTGAGTTCCAGGAAAGGTGCCAAGCTACACAGAGAAACCCTGTCTCAAAAAACAAAAACAAAAAACAAAACAAAACTAAAAACTAATGCAGTGAGGGTGGTAGAGAAATCTCACAAATGAACTTAAAATATGGATTGTTTTTGAGACAGAATCTTGCATTTGGCTCAGGTTGGCCTCAAAATTATGGTATCAGCCTTCTGAGTGAGACATGAGCCACCATACCCACTTTTAAAATATGACTTTTAATGACAGGAAGGACTAACAAGTGAAAAAAGCTATGACAATACAAAGCGTCATTAATTGGCATCTTAATAAATTAATAACTCTCAAAACTTTTATAATTTTAATTTGTAAGGGCTGCAGGCAGCAGTTTGTCTGTGTAGCTTGTATGAGTTGGGAGTTCTACCCATAAAAACAAATGGATGAATAAGTATATATATATATTTTTTAAAATAAATTAATTTAGAATAAATATATTTTTAAAACACCAAAGCCGGGCATGGTGGCACATACCTTTAATCCCAGCACTTGGGAGGCAGAGGGAGGTGGATCTCTGAGTTCAAGGCCAGCCTGGTCTACAGAGTGAGTTCCAGGATGGCTAGGGCTACACAGAGAAACCCTTACTCAAAACACCAAAAAATAAAAATAAAAACTCCACCAGGTCAGGGGTAGTAATGCATGCCTTTAATTTCAGCACTTAAGAGATAGAGACAGAATCACGTAGATCTCTGAATTTCAGGCCAGCCAGGGCTACATAGTGAGACCCTGTCTAAACAAACAAACAAACAAACAAACAAACCAAAAGAAACCTGCCACTACCAACCACCAAAACCCAAACAACAGCAAATAAAAACTCCTACCAATAAAGTCTTAAAAACAATTATAGATGACTGATAAAGGAGCAGTGATTTAATGACATCTGTTAAAGCCTGTGGTTATTTTTAAATTTTTTAATGTTAATACATTTTTAGTTATTTATTCTATGTGTGTGTTGCTTGTGAGTGTAGATCAAAGACAACTTAAGGAGTCGATCATTTCCTTCTATGCCGGCTCCAGAGATCAAACTCAGGTCATCGTGTTTAACAGCAGTGCCTTTACCCACTGAGCGATTTCACCATCCCGGGGTTCCATAAACAGTCCACTGAAAGGGGGACCAGGTGGCTCTGGTCAAAGCCAGTCCAGACTGGCAACTAGTTTGACTGAGACGAACTTTCTCCTTCCACCAGAAAGAGATATAAAAAGGCCACAGTTCAGAAAGGCTTTCTCCTCCACTGCTGTGGGATGGTCTGTATGTCAAATTACTCTGCTTGGTCAATAAATAAATCACTGATTGGCCAGTGGCTAGGCAGGAAGTATAGGCGGGACAAGGAGGAGAATAAAGCTGGGAAGTGGAAGGCTGAGTCAGAGACACTGCCAGCCGCCATGATGAGAAACAGCATGTGAAGATGCCGGTAAGCCACGAGCCATGTGGCAAGGTACAGATTTATAGAAATAGATTAATTTAAGCTGTAAGAACAGTTAGCAAGAAGCCTGCCACGGCCATACAGTTTGTAACCAATATAAGTCTGAGTGTTTACTTGGTTGGGTCTGAGAGGCTGTGGGACTGGCAGGTGAGAGAGATTTGTCCTGACTGTGGGCCAGGCAGGAAAACTCTAGCAACACTCCACCACACAGCAAGTTCAAGGCCAGCCTGAGCTACATGAGACCCCCTTTCAAAAAGGAAATAAAATAATCTGTTTAAAGAAGTAGATGGCTTCGTTTTTTGGCTATTGTCCAAGAATATAAACACTCTCTTGCTTATTCCCATTCCTCTCAGGCCCAGAGCAGTAAAGGACACACAGTTTACACAGCTCGGCAGACTGCAGAGGCAGCACCAGAAACTGACCTGAGTCCCAGGCAAGGCTGGCTGAAGGTGTTCCTCCAAGGTTCCAGGGGAAGTGGCCTGGTGGCAGCAGGACTACACAGATGACTCTGGGGCGGAAGCTGTGGGCCCCTGGAGAGAAGCAGTAGCCCTAGGGAGCAGGAATGCTGAAATCTCGAGGGACATCTGGAGGGACCTGGAGCTCACAGGCATGACTCTCTGGCACCTTTGGGAAGATGAAGGGTGCTTAAGCCTAATTTCAAAAGTAACCACAAAACACTTTTTACCAAATCAGAAAGTAAGAGAGCAAAATGTGTTCCGAGTATGTCTCTTAGGGACTAGGGAATGTAGATCAGTGGTAGAGCACCTGCACGATATTCACTCAGTTTGCTCCTGAGGAAACCATCAGGAGCCTGGTTTAATCCCCCCAGCAACACACAAGAGAGGATACTACTAAAACAGAACAGCTCTGACAATGGAGAGGTACAGATTTACAGTGTGCATATTTATAGTGGTGCCTGGCACTTTATGACGATGGCCTCCTAACGTGGCTCAGGTTCCTAGTATTATCATCCTTGACAGATGGAGACCAAAAGGAGGTACCAGCCAAGACCTGACTGCAAGTAAGCTGTGTCAGTGCTTGAACCTTGGCCTGTCTTAGCCTCTAAATCTGAGCTCTGAGCCCCTGCATACCTTTATCTTTTATACACAGGATATATATTATCTATACATTACATATTTATATACAAAGATATATATATTGTATTCCAGACACAGTGAACAGCCTTCTAACATTTCCTATATCCCACTCCTAGAATGCAACATTAGAGTCAGCCCCACCACCTCTTCACTAATTTGTTCCCGTTCCCCCCAATACCTTGCTTACTGCTTTGTCCTTGCTAAGCCTTATCCGAAGTCTCAGCGAAGGCTACAGTCGACTTGTGCATGTTGTGTTTGAGCAAAGGCATTTAAAGGAGGAGATCCTGGAATTACAAAATCTGGAACACTTTCTGGTTACGAAAGCCAGTGTACGCAAGGGCAGGAAGTTAATGTTCCTTCACACACTTAACACTTCAGTGGCACTGAAGAGTACTCAGGAGTGGTGATGGCCGAGATCTGAGACTAACCTCAGGGGAGCTAACAACTGCCAGCTACTCTAAAGCAAACACCAACACTTGGTCACTTTAGCCCCCCACCCCCTGCAAGAATCCTCTGAGTTGTCCCACTGAAGAGGGCTCAGTTTGCTCCTGAGGAAACCATCAGAAAGAGAAGGCAGCCCCCACACTCCCAAAGGCTTGTTTGCTTCTAGTTAAAATATCAAACATTGCACAAGGCAATAAGTATTTCAATGTTTGTATTCGAAGTGAACAATCAAATGGTTATGTATAAAGCAAGTGCTGGTTTCTGAGAACTGTTGGCAGATCGTAGGAGTCCTGTCAAATGGTCTTTCTCACAACGGCTCTTAGCTGAGGGACTATGGGTTCTGCCAGGCCATGAGCACTATGGTGCCTCTGCTCAGCAGCAAGCTAGGAGAGTCCCCATCAGTGCCAGGATGGAAACGAGTGCCTCATTCACACCAGGCGAGGACTCTACCACCAAGCTACTATGGTAGCTACACTGAGCCCTGTCATGTGATTTCTTTGTGCCATAAAAATATCTGCAAGTATGGAGCAAAGCAGTGTCAATGCTTTGGAGAGGGTGCTTTGGAGCCTTCAAAACTAGTAAAACTTGCTGAGCGGTGGTGGAAGAGGCTTTTAATCCCAGCACTCCGGAGGCAGAGGCAGGCGGGTTTCTGTGAGTTGGCTCCAGGACAGGCTCCAAAGCTATACAGAGAAACCTTGTCTCAGAAAAACAACAACAACAACAACAAACTAGTAAACCTCAGCAAGGACCTGGTGTCAAGCAGAAAACCCTTTGTGCCATGTGTCTGTCATGCCCCTGGCACTGGTGCATCTCCCTCAGGAAGTCACAGGCCGTGAGAAGAAAGGAACCTTCATAAAGCCATAAACAGACCTGTTGAGGATGCTCTAAGAGAGCTGATGATCATGGGGCTTCACATCTTATATAGGCGTGTGACACAAAGGTGTCCTGGTGGGCAGTGCTGGCCACACTTAGGGCTCTTCCTTCAGTTCCTACTGCTTTGCCCTACTTGAGATGCTTTTAGGAAAGCATTTTATTACCCATCTGGAGAATTCTCAGCAGCTAGCCAGGACCAAAGGTCTATGTATGTGCATACTGAATGTAATTAATTAATATTTGCTGACAGAATCTGTGGCTTTTTAGGATACACAGACCAGAAAGCATTGATTCATTCAACAAACATTTGCCAAATGCTTACTGTGATGGGTATTTGTACAACATGCTAAGGATTTACTAATGGACACAATAATGCTCTTATAGCTTACAGTCTGTAAATGCTTATCTCTTTTATAACTTGGAAATCAAGCTAAGACAGTTTAGTCAGGGTTTCCATTGCTGTGAAGAGACACTATGACATGGCAACTCTTATAAGGAAAACGTTTAATTGGGGCTGGCTTACAGTTCAGAGGTTTAATCCATTATCTTCACGGTGGCACGCAGGCAGACATGGTGCCAGAGAAGGGGTCAAGAAGAGCTCTACATCTGCATCAGCAGGCAGTAGAAGACAGAGTGACCCACTGAGCCTGGCTTGAGCTTCTGAAACCTCAGAGCCCACCCACTTCCTCCAACAAGGCCACACCCACTCCATTAAGGCTGTGTGTGTGTGTGTGTGTGTGTGTGTGTGTGTGTCCTAATCCATTCAAATAATGCCACTCCCTATGAACATATGGGGCCATTCTCATTCAAATCACCACAGATAGTGTCCCCAAATCCTGGAGTAGACAGGGATTAACTGTATGTATGCAGACAGCAAGTAAGACAGACAGAGGGCTGGGTGACTGTGGTGCTGAAGTTGCTTCATCGCTGAGGTATTACTGGATGACCACGGGGAGATGAAAGAATGTTTGGGAAAAACAGCTACCCTGAAACCTGAACATGGACACGAGCCTGGTAGCAGCAAACAATGAGACGAAGATGAAAGCAGACCCCAAGGCTTGTTTTTTTTAAATGTTTTTCAAAGACAGGGTCTGTCTAGTATGTAGCCCTGGTTGGTAGAACTCACTATGTAGACCAGGCTAGCCTCAAACTCACAGACGCCAGACCCTGAGGAATGAGAGCAGAATCCTAACATCCACCTGCCTCTGCCTTCCAAGCGCCAGCATTAAATCATGTGCCACCACGCCCAGCCGACACAAGGCTTTGGACTCTGACTAAGAGAGAGTTAAGGGTACATCCCAGCTGCTGGAGCACATGTGGCTTACTTCTACTCTGATTTTGTTCATGGTCTTTTTCTGCGGCTATTTAAACACTGGAAAATGTCAAATGCAATGGCTCCTGCAGATGGAATACGTATTACAAAATAAAATGGAGAATAACAGGCACATTTTTAGGGTATGGCCCTCATCTGTGAACCTTACGAGTTGTTTTCAAGTGGGGTCAACAAGACAGTACATGACAGTAGAGGAATAGTGAGCAACGTTCTTGTATTCTCTAAAATAAGAAAAAAGCCTCATGAATATTTAAAACATGGTGGACTCTGGTTTTGCCATATGTGAGGCAGTGGCTGTGGGTCCTGATGACATGGGTGGTGGTGGGGCCTCTCTCAGGAGTTTATTTAAGCTTCTCAGACATCAAGTTCATGTTTCAAGATATCATTTTTTAAAAATTATTATCTATATGATATTTTTGTCTGCATGTATGCCTGAAGGTCAGAAGACGGTACCAGAGCTCATTATAGATAGTTGTGAGCCACCATGTGGGTGCTGGGAATTGAACTCAGGACCTCTAGAAGAACAGCCAGTGCTCTTAACCTCTGAGCGATCTTTCCAGTCCTCAAGGTATAATTTTTTTTTTTTTAAAGGTAACATGAGGGCCAGGCGGTGATGGCTGCCTTTAATCCCAGCACTCGGGAGGCAGAACCAGGCAGATTTCTGTGAGTTTGAGGCCAGCCTGGTCTACAGAGCGAGATCCAGGACAGGCACCAAAACTACACAGAGAAACCCTGTCTCGAAAAACCAAAAAGGAAAAAAAAAAGGTATGATGAATGTGGTTTTTAAAAAGAGACAGGGCCAGTGAGATGGCACAATATGTAAAGACGCTTGCTGCCACCCATGGTGACCTGCTCAGTTGCTAGAAACCACAAGGTAGATGGAGAGAATCGATTCTCATAAGTTGTTCTTTGATCTCCCCTCACATATGTGCACAGGCACACACACACACACACACACACACACACACACACACACACACGTGCATACATACACACAATAAACAAACAAGTGTAATAAAAAGTTTAACAGAGACTAACCAAAGCTTTACAAAGTTTTGTAGTTATCTGGGAAGTGATGACAAGCACCTTCAGAGTTCACTGGTTAGCGCAGGAGTTACTAGGGGGATTTAAAGAGAGGTATGGATTTCTTTCCTGAAATTTCCAATCCTAGGGATCTTTAAAATTTTTAAAATAACAAATAACTGCGACAGTGTGTGAAATTGCCTTAAAAGTGGGGGGCAGAGAGATGGTTCAGCAGTTAAGAGTAGTGACTGCTCTTGCAGAGGACCAGGTTTGGTTCCTAGCACCCATGTGGCAGCTCACAATGTTCTGTGACTCTAGATCTAGGGGGTCTCATGTCTGTTGCTGACTTCCATGTGAAAAGCCGGGCATGAGAATGTGTGTCTATAGTCCCAGTGCTGGGGTGGGAGCCAGTGCAGAAGAGCGGGTGCAGAGGCAGGAAACTGCTGGAGCTTGCTGCCCAGCCAATCCAGGCAAACTAACGTGCTCCAGGTTCAGTGAAAGAGCCTGTCTCAAAAACTAATGTGGAGAGCAAAAGAGGAAGGCACTGATGTTGACCTCTGGCCTATACACACACGCCTACACACACACACACACACACACACACACACACACACCTATGGGTATACCCTCCCATTGAAAAAACCCTCTCCCACACAAAATCCCCACACTCGAACTTGTCCCTTCAAGGAAAAGGCGACAAGATACAAGAATTACAATTTTCAAACAATTAGTGCCAAGAATAGAGTCCTAGTGAGCATGTGTGTCTGAACATAGATGTGCTGTGGTTTGGACCCTGTGTCTCCGGAAGGCCCATATGTGAAAAGCAGAGTCCCTAGCTCAATGCTACTGACAGGAACTTTAATAGGTGGGGCCTGGTGGGAGGTCTCACACCACTGGGGCACCTTTGAGAACTCTTTGGGGACCCAGCCATGCCTGCAGCTTTCATGTGTGCCACCTGTTCCCCACCTTACTATAGGCCTCAGAGCTATGGGCCAACTGATCATGGGCCAGAACCTCTAAACCTATGAGTCAAGATAAGCCTGTGTAAAAACAGTTGCCTCAAGTATTTGTAAGAGCAATAAAAAGCTGACGAGCATAAGACAGTTAATAATTAAACTGCCACAGCTGCTATATGAGTGTCACAAATAAAGATACATGCCAATAAACATCCAAGACCAGAATTTGCATCTTTTTTTACCTGCAAACACACACCAGCCCAAATCCATCCAGAGCATTTGCCACGGCAGGTAAACGAGCTCAGACCCAGCCGCGCAGCATCTGTGCCTACACAATGTGATCACGTTCATTTGTAAGCTCTACTGAATGAACGGACTGAGACCGGCATGTCCACATGCCAGGACTCGGGCTTCACCCGAGGGACTCAAGCCTGATCTTGTGCCTTTCATTTTACAAGCAGGGCTATACTATAATTTTTGTTCTATTAATATGTTGGAAGTTTTTTCATCATGTTAACTTTACCTCTTAACTCTTTTGTTTGTTTGTTTGAGATACAGTTTCTCTGTGCAACCCTGGCTGTCCTGGAACTCACTCTGTAGACCAGGCTGGCCTCAAACTCACAGAGATCCACCTGCCTCTGCCTCTCAAGTGCTGGGATTAAAGGCGTGCGCCACCACCACCTGGCCTCCCCTTGTATCTCTTTAAAAGGTCCATATTCATCTATATTTCTAGATTCATTTGTTGGGATTTATTATTCAATTATATACTGACACTCTCAAATTCCCTTCTATAGAGCAGTACACAAGGAAAGTGTATGTGGATGACTTGCTTACATAGTGGCCCTTATGTGGATGAGGTGATCAGGGCCTGCAAGCCAGAGCCTCTGCCTTAGAGCCCTAGGAAGCCAAGTCTGAGATTGGGTGATTTGTTCTGTAGGCCCAGGTAGATAGAGAACTGCAGTTTCTGGAACATACACTCACCATTACTTGCTCTATCCAGACCTGGTGGCAGTGGTCTCCTTAGAACAGGAAGCTCTTGGTGAGAATCTTGGCAGGATATATTTTAGGCCAAATATGTGGCCCAAAGAAGGCTCTATGAAGAGAATTTCACAAAACTTATGGTGCTGCTTGCTTTCCTGCCTAATTCCCATGCTACAGCCTTTGTCCCATTCCCCGGATAACTAGCTTTTCTGCCTTCTTAGGCATGGGGAATGAGGTAATGAAGCAACATGAGTCCCCAGAGAGGTAACCATGGATCTTCTGTAACAAGCAAAGCAGCAAGGAGTGCATTATGGCTTCTGCAAAGGTGACTACTGCCTTGTTGACTCCAGGCCTTGTGCCATTCAAGGGGAATGGGCATCAGTGCAGGGATGGCCCACAGGCCCTTCTCTCCACACAGTTTGGACATCAATGCAGGGATGGCCCACAGGCCCTTCTCTCCACACACAGTATGGGCATCAATGCAGGGATGGCCCACAGGCCCTTCTCTCCACACACAGTATGGGTATCAATGCAGGGATGGCCCACAGGCCCTTCTCTCCACACATAGTATGGGTCTTCAGCACTCTAGTCTGCTTAGACTATCACCCAGCATATTGCTGTACCTGGTGAAACCCTACATTTCCTGGCCTACTTTGTTGCCAGGCCCTCTCTAATGCTGTCTCTGGTTAGCAGCAGTTCTTTCTCTTAGCTGTAAAGCAGAGTCTTCTAGGAGGTTTTTCTGACAGAGACTGATGTTGAGGCCTACCCATGAAGACTGTGGGCTTTGGTCTGGGCACGGGAACATTTCTCTGGGCAAGTCTACCGCCTCAGTCTAGATCTCCTGCTGCTAATGGAAATCACTCCTCTGGACACCTGTGGCAGCTCTTCTGGAGGTGCCGTTGGCCTCTCGTCTCATTCTTTAATGAAAACCACATTATTTAATTCTTTCTTTGTGCTGTGGCGGGGGCATGCTTACACCACGGTGTCTATGTGGAGGGCAAGGGCAACCTGAAGGAGTTGGCGCTCTCCTCCCACCACATGGGTCACAGGGCTCTAACTCAACCGGTCCGGTTTGCTGGTCAAACACCTTCACCACGGACCCATTCTGCCAGTCCTGTTTCTGTGTTCTGCCAGTTTCGTGTGAGTAGTGCCATTCTAAGATCTCTAAGACCATCTCTAGTGACTGGGAGTCATGCCTGGAGCCTTGCCCATTAGAAGAGTGACAGGCATACCTAAGAGTTCTAGAATGGAGCTCCAGACAGACTCAGTAGCAAAGGAGCCTCCTGCCAATTGCCAGGAGCAGGGTTGGAGGAGAAACCATAACTCCATAAGGCCAAGTTAAGCCTTCTCAGTTAAGACTAAGTCAAAATAGTTTCCATGAGACTACTTAGTCAAAATAATATGGAAAGCTAGTGGCTTGTTAAAACCGCTACAAATACCTTGTCATGCTCCAAAAGGCTGTTCGGCCAGATTGTTGGTACAGCACCTTAGAGGAAGATGTTAGCTGTTTTCAAGGGCTCAGTTCAAACCATTGTGGTGAGGGAGATTCCTATGGCATCCGCTTTTATCATCTTTCCCTCTCCCTACCCCCCCCCTCTCATTTCCCATGAGGCAAGCTTTCTAAAATGGTCTCAGTCTTTCAAGCTTAATAACGGCAACACCAAAACTTTCTGAACGAAATAAGGCTGCTTAGGAGACAAGGGTGGAACTCATTTTCTTGAACTTTGCCAGGGTCTCCACATTGTTACTACAGAGCCTCGTCACTCATTCTGGGAGCATTTCCCGAATGCTCCTGATTTGCAAACACCAAGTCCCTATCCATGATTCAAGAATCTGCCGGGTCTGGAGGCAAAGGGGCAGACAGAAATACCCTCTAAGACAAGGCCCGGATGGGCCACACACAGGGAAAGCAGGGTCTCTCAAGCATGCAGCACCAGGGCCATCTGCCCTGGACCCAGGCTTAGAAGGAGACCCTATCCCTCAGGGGCTGGCTGAAGTTCGGAGCACCAACGCCGAGACACCTGACCCACACCGGTGGTTCCCCTTCCCTGTCTTGTCCTGCACACCGGGGGCTTTGCCAACTTCAACCCCCACCAAAGCACCCTTTGAACCCTACGCTGAAGTTCGTGAAAATGAAGAGGGTGGAGCTTGAAGGACTCTGATGCTGCGAGGAATACCATCCCGCACCAACACCGACCGGGTGGTGCGCCGGGAGCACTCGGCCCGCCTGCTACCCCGCAGCCAGGAATGCGCCGGAGGGCGGCGGCTGTCTGTCCATCTGCCGGGCCCGCACAATGGACCCCATCACGACCCTGGCTGTCTGAGCTGGTTCCTGCGCTCCCAGCGGCCCCGCTATAGCGGGGACACACCCAGGCTCGGGGACGCCGCGAAAGCAACACTTGCGGCAACACGCGCGGACGGTCCCGGCGCGAGGCAGGGACTCGGAGGCCCCAGGCTGGGGCGCTGCCCGCCGGCAGAGTGGAGACACGGGCAAGGACGGCAAACCTCAGACCCCGGAGCTAGCGCGCGAGGGACGGGTCCTAGTGGCACTCACCGACCCTCAGCGCCAGGGTGGCGGCGGCCGGAGGAGCTCTCTCGCCAGGCTCCCTCCCTTAGATTCCCGGTTCCGCTCCAGCCTCGCAGGGGCGGCTGCGGCCGGCGCTGACAGCTGAGGCCGCCCTGCGGGGAGGAAGCACCGGAGACAGGCGCGGGGGGAAGAACGCACCAGGAAGCTCCGGCTCCTACAGGGGGCGCGTCGGCCCGCGCGTGCGCAGTGGGCCGCCCCTGCAGGTGCCCCGGGTTTGCTCCCGGCCGGCTTTGCCTCGCCTAAGCTTTGGATTCCGCGTCTGCGCAGTGCCTCGCACATGTTGCCCAGCTCCGACAGAGGGCGCTCCACGTCGCGCTACGCCCGCTCCGAGTTCACCATTCCGGATCCTGCGTCTGCGCACTACTCCACGGAGGGCGCCCCTCCCGTAGGCGCGCGCGTGCGGGTGGGGTGGGGCGGGGCCGGGCCGTACGGCGCGTGCGTGGTGGCTTGCCCCTGCGGGTTTGGGTCCGCACGCACGCGCGCGCGCGCGACTGAGCCTGCAGCACGCCCCTGTCGGTGTCCAGCAGGGGGCTCTGTCCGGGGCTCTGCTTCCGAGACTGAGCGTGCGACGCCCGGAGACGGAGCCCCGGGGCTGTGGGCCTTCTGAAGCTCGTCTCTGGACAACTGTGTTTCAAAGCAGCTGAGGCTGTAACATCAGGAATTTCACTCTCGCGGCGGGATTTACCCTTTCAAGTTCCTCTTTCTCCTCAGGGCCCTCGCTCCACCTCACTCCTGTCACCAAGGGAAGGTGCTACTTTCTGCTCCTGTCTGAGCAGGAGAAACCCAAGTTCCAGTGAGGTTAGGTTGAGGAACCTTCCAGGCGACAGCTGGCAGCGAGTAAAGCGAGAGTCACGACCCAGCCCAGCAGCACCGCTAGGAGAACGGAATCGGAGTGGGGTGGGGCTCCCCTCAGGCAGAAGGCTGGGGCGTTAGGGTTCCCTCAGGCAGGAGACTGGGGCGTTGGGATCTCGTCAGGCTGTAGACTGAGGCTCGGAGGCAGTCTGAGGCGAGAGGGTTGGAGGTCGTGTTTCTTCAGACAGGAGGGTGCGAGCATCGGCGTGCCCTCCGGTCGGCTCAGGCCGGAGGGAATGGCGCTGGAATCATAGGTTCCTGGAGCCAGGGCTGTGCAGCCGCGCGGCCGGCCCGAGAGAAGTGGGTCACCGGGTGGAGCGTGGGCGACTGCGTCGCGGGGCCAACAGTCGCAGTGGGTCCCTGAGTGCCCGCGGCCACCGGCTCGGTGCGGGCGGTGAGTGGGGCGCAGCCCTCCCCGGCTGCGGGGGGTCGGCCGCGGCAGGTGCTGTAAGGTAACGCCGGGATCGTGACTTCCGAGTCAATGTCAGTTTCCCTGGGGTCATAACCCCTCACTCTCTGGGGTCCAATATGGTTAACCCAGAAGGTGGGCTCCCTGGCACAGGGTCATCCCTGGGGTCCTAGAACACCTTGCACAGAGACAGCTCTAGCCAAGTTTGCTGAATAAAGCGGTCATAAAGACCTGGCTTCAGGTCTTGAGTCCTTCACTAGTGTATTCAAGTCATTTCACTTTTCAGAATCTTTATTTCCTATTCCTAAGATTAAAATGGTAACAAGAGCAAATTCAAGAGTTGTTCCCTCCCTCCCACCCACCGTCTTTTTTGAAAGTGAGATGAAAAAAAAAATACGTGTTTAAGGGATTATAATGCCTAGCACTTAAATGCCAATTAAATGGTAGTATGATGCATGCCTGTAATGAGCATGGGGCGGGGGAGCAATTGAAGAAAGGTGGGGATTTGGATTATTAGTGTGCTGCAGACATCTCCAAAAGACTTCCCATCATTCCTCCAAACAGAATGTTTTTCTCATTCTCTACCTCACGCCTGGCTAACTAGAATTGTACTTTAGCCTGAGTCTTCCTTAATTGCTTTTCGTGCAAACCGGGACTTGTCATTGCTAGCTTAAACTGATTAGAGCTGGCAACCCCTTAGTCCTTTCCAAACCGAATCATTGTTCTGCAGAACTAAATCTAGGAACAGCGCTGAGTGACTTAGAATTTCCCTTCGATATAAGATGGGACTGGGAGTTTGATGAAGAATGTTCCTCAGAATCTCACAAAATAAGTGCTTGTGTTAAATTCACATTTTTATTGTATATTGACTGTACAGATGAAACTTGAAATGTAAATATTAAGACACCCATTTAACACAATTCAGAGTCCTCAACAATGTATCGTTAAACTAGTGAAGATATTGTAATTTGAAAATAATATAAACAGAATTGCATGGAATGCACATAAATTCATTGAATATGTCAGTGAATTATTTAGACTTGTACTATTAAATATCCAAGTAGTGCAGAAGGTGTAGTAACATTGCCACAGCTGTGCTTGAGTAAATCACTAAATATCTTGCTTAAAATATAATTTGCATAGCTTTTAATCATTTAGAAAATGTAGGTGATTCATATGGATGGATCAGTACATTCCCAAATTTAAAATTTAACAAGTATTATATGAATATATTCTTGTTGAAAAATTAAAACACCTATTAATGGGGGTTCAGGTAAACCGGCCAGAGAATATGAGCATGGGAGATGTAGTTTGTGCCCAAAGGGGTAAGTGGTGATGTTGAGGTGATAGAGTCTTTATTTAAGTTGGGGCCTGGTGAGTAAGCCTTAGGTCATTGGAAGACCCTTGGGAAAGAGTAACCTCAGCTGGTTTAGTCACTCTTTGGCATCCTGCCTTATGATGCAATTTTTCATTTCTGTGTGTTTCTCACCAGTGTGGTACAATCTGCCCTGAGTTGATGAAGCCGCAAGGGCCACTACCAGAGCTTGGTGCTATGTTGTGCATCATATTTTTAAATATTTTATTATTTATTGTGTATTTGTGTGTCTGTCTGTTTGTCTCTCTCTGTCCCCTCCACAGACCCCCCCCCCCGTGTGTGTGTGTGTGTGTGTGTGTGTGTGTGTGTGTGTGTGTGTGCGCGCCTGCGGAGGCCAGAAGAGCACATTAGATCTTCTGGAGCTGAAATGACAGGCAATTGTCAGCTGCCCCGTGTGCATGCTGGGAACTGAACTTGGGTCCTCTGGATGGACACTTAAGCCAGCTCTACAGTCCATGCACCTTATTTTTTAAGGCAGGGTCTATCACTGAACTTGATGCTCATGTTTCAGCTAAACTATCTGGCTAGTGAGCCCCCAAGATCTGCCTGCCTCTGCTCGGCTAGAGCTGGGGTTACAGGCATGTGCTAACTTTTACATGGGTGTTGGGGACTGAACTCAGGTCCTGCAAGCATTTTGTGCAGCAAAAATTTTACCCACTTTAGCCATTTCTTGAGCCATATCCCCAGTCCTGAAATAAAAAAACATTTCTCTGCTTAAATATGCTAAGAAGAAAAATAAACATGAAAAATAGATGTTTCGAGAGACTGAAATTTTATTTAGAATGGTCAATGAAAACCTCACTGAGAAAGTAACTTCCGAATAAATACCCAAAAGAAACTGTAGAATTCTCCATGTAAAGATATGAAGGAATGGTGTACTTGGCAAGAGAAATCCAAATGTTGGTGCAGTGGTGTGTTTGTTGTGTTTTGGAACAGTAGCTAGTCCTGTGATGTTGTAGCAGGAACAGTAAAGTAAATGAAATCACAGAAACTATATACTGCAGAACTTTGTAAGTCATTGTTAGGCAAGGCTTTTTCTTGGAGAGAGATGGGAGCCAAAAGAGTTTGTGGTGGAAGAGCAGAAGTGGTCTGACTTGAACTTTATTGTTCTTGTCATTGCATAGAAAATTAGTTGCAAGATGACAAGATTAGGTGCAGTGATTGCCCTGCTGGGGCTCCTGCAAGAACTCAGGCAAGGCAAGGGAAGATGAGAATCAGGGTGGTGAAAGGCGCCAGTGAGTATTTCAAAGGCTGGACCAAGTACAGGTTTGCGACAATCTGCATTTAGGCTTCAAAAGAGAAGGCAGTAACAACCGTTAACTGGAAGAATGGAACTGATATGAACTTGTGGTGATATTGTGCACCCTAATAAACTTGCCTGAGGATCAGAGGACAGAGCCAGCCACTAGATTAGACATAGAGGTAAGGCAGTGGTGGCACACACCCTTAACCCTGTCACTGGGGAGGCAAAGATCCATCTGGATCTCTGTGAGTTCAAGGCCACACTGAAAACAGAGCCAGGCAGTGGTGGCACACACCTTAATCCCAGTACTGGGAAGTGTACACGCCTTTAATCCCAGGAAGTGATGGCTGGGCAGAGAAAGGTATGTAAGGGGTGAGGAAACAGGAACTCACTCTCTTTAGGCTGAGGATTTAGTGGAGGTAAGAACTAGTGGCTGACTGCTCTGCTTCTCTGATCTTTCAGCTTTTACCCCAATATCTGGCTCAGGGTTTTGTTTTGTTTTTTATTATAAGACCATCTAGATTTGAACAACATGAACTGAGGTGAACAAGACCGTGGGATGACTTGTTTTAGGGTGACCATAAATAGGCCAGGTCAGTTTTGAGATAAAACACAGTGAAGCAGGGACAGATATCCTACAGTTGACTATTTGGGAAAAGAGCTTGAGGCAAAGTCCAGGCTAGAGAAATCAAAGCAGACATTGTCTGAATGTATGTGGATCCTATCATGGCTATGTGAGGTCACATGTTGGCATGAAAAGGAGTCCAGTGACTGAACCCTGTCGCTCCTTAATGTTTACAGGCTGTGGAGAGGAGGAAGAATCAGCCCAAAAAGATGGAGAAGGATTAACAATAGAAAAAAGAAAAGTAATTTGAAAATATTCTGAGTGCCCACAAGAACAAAGTTATCCCAGGGTGCAAAGAATACTTCTGTTTTTGTTTGTTTTGTTTTTTCAGGACAGGGTCTCACTATGTAGCCCTGGCTGTCCTGGAACTCACTCTGTAGACCAGGCTGGCATTTAACTCACAGAGATCTGCCTGCCTCTGCCTCCCGAGTGCTGGAATCAAAGGTGTGTGCCACTATACCTGGCTGAAAGAATACTTTTCTTGTTTTGTTTTTCGAGACAGGGTTTCACTGTAGCTTTGGAGCCCATCCTGGACTAGCTCTGTAGACCAGGCTAGCCTCGAACTCACAGAGATCCGCCTGGCTCTGCCTCCTGAGTGCTGGAATCAAAGGTGTGTGCCACTATACCTGGCTGAAAGAATACTTCTTAACATTTTTGTGTTATACATAATATTGTCTCAATTTGTTTTCTGACTAGTGGTGAGCATCTTCAGCTGGGGGTACAATGGCAGTGTTCAAGAAGTTAAAACTTCTTCTCTGGAAGAATTTCATCTTAAAGGTATGGGTATGCTTATCTTTGGGGAAGATGTAGGTCCTCAGGAGCAACTGCATGTTTAAGTTCATTAAGTTAGTCTTCGTTTCTTTTCCCGTTGCTGTGATAAAACACCATGACAAAAGCCACTTAAGGGAGAAAGGGTTTGTTTTAGCTCACAGCTTAAAGGTATAGTTATCGTGATGGGGGAGTCATTGTGTCAACTTGAAGCAGGTGGTCACATCACATTCACAGTCAGGGAGCAGAGGACAGTGAATGCATACTGTTCCTCCATGTACATAATCTGAGATCCTAGCTATGGAATGGTGCCACACAGCTAAACAAGTCTTCTCACCTCAGTTAATAAAAATTAATCACCACAGGCACACCCAGAGGCCTATCTCCCAAGTGATTTTAGATTCCATCAAGTTGACATCACAGTCACTAATAATGAGTTGAAGGACAGTTAAGAACTTCATTTCTAAAAATTCACGCTCCCACAGTAATTCTGTTAGCTCTCATTGTTAAACGCAGCCCTTGCCATTGATTTCTAGCCATTGATGGTTTAGAACAGGTATTGAATGGAGATGCCTAGCTGGCTCTCATTCTGTCTTTCCCCTTTCTTGTGTGTGTTTTGTGTAGGGAGACTAGAAGAAATGAAAGAGGTTTCTCGTTTGTTATTTTCGTTTTGTTTGTTTGTTTTGAGACAGGGTCTCAAAGGTATATTAAAGGATGGGCTTGATCTTCCTAAGTAGCCAAGAATGACCTTGAATTTCTGATCTGTCTGCCTCCAAACCTCTTGAGTGCTAGGATTACAGATGTGAATAACCACATTTGGTTTATTCAATACTGGAGATCATGCTTCATGTATGCTAAGAAAGTACTTAGAAGGTCTCTCCAGCCTCAGGGTTTTAAATAGAAGAGTGCTTGCCACGTAGAAATTGACACTTGAATTTTGTCTGGGATTAACACACAGCTGTTGTTTCTGTTTTAGAAGCGGAAGACTCTGATAACACTTCTGGAAATCTTGATGCCGTTACTATTTTCTGCAATTGTATTGTATCTTCGCTTCAATAGTATGCCAAAGCGCGTGTCAACTACTAACTACCAACCAGTTGATATCAGTTTACTGCCAGTATATTTCAATAAGTATCCTCTGAAAAATAAATTTCAGTTGGTTTATATCCCTTCCAAAAGCGAGACTTTGAAAGCTGTCACTGAAATGGTGGAACAAACCTTTGCTGTTGACTTTGAAGGTCAGATATAAGATGGAATAGGGAGGGCATTTCACTTTTTTATTGCACTAAAATGTTTTATTACATTTATTTATTGTGTGTATGTGTACATACCATGGCATACAAGTGGAAGTCAGAGGACAGCTTGCCAGTCATTTCTCTCCTACCTGTGGGTTCTGGGGACTGAACTCAGGCTGTCAGGGTTGCTGGAGTCATATACCATCCTGGGAAGGCATTTTTATAGTGAAGTTTTTCCCTGAGAGCTCTTACAAAAGTGACCCAAAGTTCGGAATCTACAAATTGTAGTGTTTGAGGTGGTAATTGAAGGAAAAACTGTCCTTGATGCATTTTTATTATTTTACAGACCACACTGGAGGCTTGTATACTTGTATTGCAAGGTTTAAATACTAATCAAAATGTTAATTTTTTTTTTTTTTTTTTGGTTTTTCGAGACAGGGTTTCTCTGGGTAGTTTTGGTGCCTGTCCTGTGTCTTGCTCTGTAGACCAGGCTGGCCTCGAACTCACAGAGATCCGCCTGGGTCTGCCTCCAGAGTGCTGGGATTAAAGGCGTGTGCCACCACTGCCCTGCCATTTAGCTTTTTATTAAACCAATCAAAATGACATATCTTCACAGTGTAAAATGATTATTCCACAACACACTCACAGAGTCTAACAGGTTTCTCTGCTTCTCTTTTCTTATTGTAACTCAGTCTCCAAACAGAGGCAGAAAGATACTCACAGGGTCACTAGGAATTTGCCTGTCCCCTGCTTACACCCTTCTATGGCTTCCCAATACACAGAGACTCTCTATCTACACTCCGCCCCTGCTTTTCTCTCTAGCTTCCTCTGGTACTCTGTCTCTGTGCTTTCTTCAGCACCTGCTTTGTGTGGGTCACTTTGTGCCAGCCATTCCTAGGCCAGCCTCTCTTGGTCTTAGGAAGCTGTCGTATGATATGTTGTTTGTGTTCTGACAAATAAAGCTTGCCTGGAGATCAGAGGGTGAAACTAGCCACTAGTTAGCCATAGAGGCCAGGCAGTGGCACGCACCTTTAATCCCAGCACTGGGGAGGAGGAAGCAGCAAGATCCGGAGTTCAAGGCCACCCTGGGCTACATGAGATTACAGAGCCCAGCAGTGGTGCACGCCTTTAATCCTAGCACAATCAGGAGGTGGAGACAGGAATATAAGGTGAGTGGAGACAGAATCTCCCCCACCCCCAATTTGGTCTGAGATTTCGTAGAGGTAAGAAGTCTCCAGTGGCTGGCTGTTCTGCTTCTCTGATCTTTCAGCTTTCACCCTTGATATCTGACTCCTGAGTGCACCACCATTCCTGGCTTTAAGAATATTCTAATAAGACAGAATTCAAATTTAAAGGAAAGGTTGCTTTACTCCCAGCTCTATTGCCACTCAATGTGGACAGTTCTTTTTTTCCTTTTATTGAAAATAGATTTTTTTCATTCTCATATAATATATCCTGATTATGGTTTCCCCTCCCTCTACTCCTTCCAGTTCCTCCCCACCTCCCCTTCCATCTAGATCCACCTCCTTTCTGCCTCTCATTAGAAAACAACCAGGCTTCTAAGGGATAATAATAAACTATAATATAATAAAATAAAACAAAAACCAATACATTGGAATAGGACAAAACAAACAAACAGAAAGAAAAGAACCTAAGAAAATACATAAGAAAAAGATATAGATGCAGAGACCCATTCTTTCATACACTCTGGAATCCCATAAAAACAAGAAACTGGAAGCCATAATATATATGCAAGGACCTGAAGGGTAAAAAGAGGAAAAAATAAACTACATATATATAAAATAAAAATGATACAACACAACATTATGAGACAAGGAACCTCCAAAGATGCCACTGATTTTGTTTTCTGTTGATCATCGAGTGCTGGACATACATCCTACCCTTAAGAGTAGTTGTTTCAGTTGTTGTTAATCCCAGCACGTGGGAGGCAGAGGCAGGTGGATCTCTTGAGTTTGAGGTCAGCCTGGTCTACAGAGTGAGTTCCAGGACAGCCAATAAACAGAGAAACCCTGTCTTGAGAAACAAAACCAAACAACAACAACAACACCACAAAGAGTAGTTTGTTTCCTCAATGAGACTCCCTTAGAGAAAACTAAATTTGCATTTGCAAGTGGTTATCAACTGGAGATAGCCTCTGGATTAGGGTTAGGGATGGGAGCATGTGTCCACTTCTCTTTTCAGCTCTAGGAGCCCATCTGGTGCAGATGGGTGCCAACCCTGTGCATGTTGTCTCAGTCTCTGTGAGTTCATAGTGCATCGATACTGTTGATTTAGAGGACTTTGTTTCTGTGCTGTCCTCCATTCCCTCTGGCTCTTCTTTATGCCTCCTCTTCCTCAGAGTTCTCTGAGCCCTGAGGTGAGGGTTTTGATGGAGACATCTGTTTAAGGCGTATTTTGTCTGGCTGTAGGACTCTGTATTTGTTCCATTCTGCGCAGGATGAAGCTTCACTGATGATGGCTGAGCAAGGCACTGATCTGTAAGTATAGCAAGATGTCATTAGGAATCATTTTATTGCCATACTCTTTTAGTGGAACAGTAGTATTTGGTTTTACCCTAGGTTCCTGGGCTATCTAGTCTCAGGTTCTTGGTCATCCAAGTAGTGTTGGGTATGGGTTCCATCTTGTGGAGTTAAGTCAAATCAGATATTAGTTGGTGTGTTAGTCAAGGTTCTGTAGAGTCACAGAATTTAGGGAATGAATCTCTCTCTCTCTCTCTCTCTCTCTCTCTCTCTCTCTCTCTCTCTCTCTCTGTGTGTGTGTGTGTGTGTGTGTGTGTGTGTGTGTGTGTGTGTGTGTGTGTGTAAGGGAATTTTTTGGAATGACTTATAGGCTGCAGTCCAACAATAGCTAATTGTGAATGGAAAATCCAAGAATCTAGTAGTTGTTCAGTCCCACAAGGCTGGGTGTCTCAGCTGGACTTCTGTATATGCTGTAATTCTGAAGAAGTCAGCTCCAATGCCAGTGAAGGAATAAATGTGCTGACAAGGTGAGGGCGAGTAGGTGAAGAATGAACACACCCCCTTCCTTCTTCCCTTGTCCTTATATAGGCGTCCAGCAGAAGGTGTGGCTCAGATTAAAGATGTGTCTTCCAGCCTCAAGATCCAGATCTTAAGTATACCCTCCATTTCTGTATTATAGTTCATTCCAGATATTGTCAAGGTGACAACCAAGAATAGCCATCACAGTTGATCACTCCCACAAGCTTTGATCCACCATTGCCCTAGCATATCTTGCAGTTGGGATACCATTGTAGATCTGAGTTGGTGTTTACATTTCTCCTTTGGTAGCTTGTAGAGTACATTCCTGTACCAAAGACACTAGCATGAAGGGATGAAGGCTCTATATAGGCACCAGCTCAACTTCTCCTTGTTCAATGCGTTGTATAGGTGTTGTCTTCAGCAATAGGACCTTGCTGTTAGTCTGTAGAGAGCAACCTATAAGTCTTGGCAACAGTCTGGGTTTGGGTGTTCCCATGGGATTCTTTGGGCCAATAACTCCATGAGATGTAACCCATTCCCAGAACTGGAAGCTTCATTTGTTAAAAAGAGATGTCTAGCCAAGTGTTGATGGTGCACACCTTTAATCCCAGCACTTTCAAGACAGAAGCAGGTGCATCTCTATGGGTTCAAGGCCAGCCTGGTCTACAGAGGGAGTTCCAGGACAGCCAGAGATACACAAAGAAACCCTGTCTTGGAAGAGAGAGAGAGAGAGAGAGAGAGAGAGAGAGAGAGAGAGAGAGAGAGAGAGTCTAGTTGGGGTTCTATCTCCTTCATTATTTGGCAATTTCATTTAGGTCACCTTCATATATGAGTATATTTAAGGAGGCTTCTACTGTATTAGGATTCCATACTACCCCTCAAATGGCCCTTAATTTTAGCTGTCTCTCCTCATATTCCCTCCCTTATTCCCTCCTCCTTCCTCCTTCCCACTTAATCTTCCCTTTCCAGCGTCCTCTCCTGCCATCATCCCTTTCCTAGAGATATCTGTTTGTCCCCCTAGTCCCTTACTCTATACCTAACCTCTGTGAGTCTATGGATTGTAGCTTATTTATCATTGATTTAACAGCTAATATCCACATATAAACGAATACATACCATATTTGTCTTTCTAGGTCTGGGTTGCCTCACTCAGGATGATTTTTTTTCTAGTTCCGTCCATTCATCTGTGAGTTTCATGATTTAATTTTTTTAAACAGCTGAGTAATATTCCATTTTCTTTATTCATTCATTTCTTGAGAGACATCTAGGTTGTTTCCAATATAGTTTCTGGCTACTATAAATAGAGCAGCAATGAATATGATTGAGCAAGTGTCTCTGTGGTAGGATGAAATGTCCTTTGGTTATATTGCTCAAAGTGGTATAGCTGGATCTTGAGGTAGATTGAGCCCCATCCTGAGGAACACTACCACACTGATTTCCAATAATGGGTGAGTGTTCTCCTTACTCCACACATCCTTGCCAGCATGAACTGTCATTTGTATTATTGACCTTAGGCATTCTGACATGTGTAAGATGAAATCCCCATGTAGTTTTGATTTGCATTTCCTGATGATTAAGGATGTTGAACATTTTTTTAAGTGTTTCTCAGTCATTTGAATTTTCCTCTTTTGGAAATTCTGTTTAGATCTGCACCCCACTTTGGGTTATTTATTTTCTTAATATCTAGTTTTTTGAGGTATTTATCTATTTTGGATATCAGTCCTCTATCAAATGTGTAGTTGTTTAAAATATTTTCCCATTCTGTAGGCTGCCACTTTGTCCAAATGACAGTGTCCTTTGTCTTAAGGAAGCTTTTCAGTTTCTTAAGGTCCCATTTATTAATTGTTGATCTTTTTTATGTTGAATAGCAAGTCTTTTCCTGTGCTGATGAGTGTAGATGTAACCAACCGTCTTATTAAATAAAAAATACAGAACCAATGCAAAGAAGAAAGCCAAGAGATCAGAGCTAAGAGCCTTACCCTCCTGCTGCAGCTAGCCTCTTAAGCCAAGAGACCTCTCCGAAAGAGAGCTACTTCCTGTCTGTTTGTCTTTATATAGACTTTCTGTTCTGTCTTCTCATTGGTTGTAAACCCAAGCACATGACTACCTCGTCACTGCCTGTATGTACAGACCTCCAGGTCTACTATGGTATTGAGATTAAAGGCGTGTGTCTCCAATGCTGGCTGTATCCTTGACCACACAGAGATCTACCTAGCTCTGCCTACCAAGTGCTGGGATTAAAGGCCATGAACGCCCAGCTCTGCTATGGCTTGCTATTAGCTCTGACCCCCGGGCAACTTTATTTATTAACATACAATTAAAATCACATTTCAGTACAAATAAAATACCACCATAGATGAGTTTAAGGCTATCCCCCACTTTTTCTTCTATCAGGTTCAGTGCATCTGGTTTTATGTTGAGGTCTTTGATCCATTTGAAGTTGAGTTTTGTGCAAGGTGATAAGTATGTATCTATTTGGATTCTTCAGCTGTTCGGTTTCACCAGCACCATTTGTTGAAAATGCTCTCTTTTTTCCAGTGTGCTTTTCTGGCTTCATTATCAAAAATCAGTTGTCCACTAGTGTGTGGATTTATTTCTGGGCCTTCAATTCTATTCCCTTGATCATCGTGTCTGTTTTTGTGCTGATACCATGCTGGTTTTATGCCTATAGCTTAGTAGTACAATTTGTGATTGAGGATAGTGATACCTCCAGCAATTTTCTTATTATTCAGGATTGTTTTAGCTATCTTTTTTTGATGTGTGTGTATGTTTCCATATGAAGCTGAAAATTGTCCTTTCAATATTTGTGAAGAATTATGTTGGAATATTGATGGGGATTGCAATTGAATAAATAGATTGCTTTTGGTAGGATGGCTGTTTTTACTATTAATCCTACCAACCCATGATCATGGAAGGTCTGTCCATATTCTGATATCTTCAGTTTCTTTCTTCAGTGTCCTAAGGTTTTTTATCATATAAGTCTTTCACTTGCTTGGTTAGAGTTACTTGAGATATTTTATATTATTTGAGGGTATTGTGAATGGAAGAAACCTAAGTGTGCTAAGTAAAGAACAATAACCTTATAATAATAATGAAACACATTATTTAATATGTACACCTTTCCTATCCCTTTTTCTAGTTATATAAATATATAAAATAGCATTTACTATATGGTCAACAACATGGTTCCATGCATAAGGGTGCTTGCCACATAAATCTGGCAGCTAAGTTCAATCTTTGGAACCCACATGAAGGTAGAAGAAAAGAACCGACTCTGAAAAGTTATACCATGACCCCCGCATGCCCTAGCACTCACATATCATACACGATAATTAGTGAGTAAGAGCTAGCTCTCTTCCTTCCTCAGCATTACTTCCTTGATATCTAAAGACAGTTGCTGGCTGTGCTATAAGTTCTGAGCTGAATAATAACAACAAAAACAAAAGGCAGGGTTTCTCTCTATATCCTTGGCTGTCCTGGAGCTCGCTCTGTAGACCAGGCTGGACTCGAACTCAGAGATCCACCTGCCTCTGCCTCCCGAGTGCTGGGATTAAAGGTGTGTGCCACTACCACCTGGCTAAAAATCATGCCTTTTAACTAATCCTATTTTTTTGTGTTTCTCTCTCTCTGCTCATACGTTTACAGAATGACTGAGTGAGTGAATGGAGAAGTAAGCTGGAATCTTAAATCTCCTTAGATAGATAATTGATGGCATTACTTGCTTTCATGTCCAGTTATTCACTGACTGGATTTTTCTTTTTGTAGTTCTAGGCTTTCCTTCGGTGCCTTTATTTGAAAAATACATAATTAAGGATCCCAGGTCTTTCTACGTACTGGTGGGAATTGTTTTTGACCATACCTTCAATAGCGACAGTGACCCTTTGCCACTCGTGGTAAGAAAGTCTTCCTTATAGCAATCTTACTATGTGACTATATCGCGGGGTTAATCAGGCATCTACCCCTCAGCGCTCTTCTATGGCAGCTTTGTCATCTTATTTCCAGAGGAAAGGAGTGGAGATCCCAAATTCATACCTTACAGCCCACTCCGTTGCTGTTTTCAGACTGTTTAAGAGAGATCTGTTCTGAGCAAGTCTCTGTCCTCAGCACAGGTTGGAGTGTGTTTGGCTGTTGATTACAGAAGCTGACTCGACCACTCGGCAGAAGAAACTTGAACCTCAGCTTTGTCCCTTAGCAGCTGTATAACTTTGGGAAATTTGTTGACATTTCGGTGTGGTTGAGTTTAAATTAGTGCCTGGATTATGAATTGGTTTTCAGGTTTATGCATGTAACGTGCTTAGAACAGAGCAGTTGGGTAGATGGGGAGCAAGAATTTTCTGGTTGGATTAGTTCATTATCATTACTACTAATCACACAGATTTAGATATGGTAGCTCTGCATGTGTGTTTAAAGAAAAACAATATGTTAAACAAGAATATTTGATTTATGTTTTGCAATGGGTAAAGCACTTACGTGTAGCTTCTGTGGTATATAGGCTGTTTAATGACCTTTAGAACTTGTCACAAACATGTCAGATATCACATTGTGTGACCCTCCAGGCAGATAATGGATGAGGTTGTTATTATCATCCCCCTTTCGCTGGGAGGACATTGAGGCGTAATGATTGAGTGAGGTTAAGTAACTCGCCCAGGGTGACAGCAGTTCAATAAGAAATTTGGGGTGGAGGTCTAGGTGACCTGGTTCCAGCATACGCTACAGTCCATGGCTCTTTTCCCAGGTTGGTCACAGGGATAATTTGCAGAGAAATACAGGGAAGGCCACTGTGTAGTTCCAGGAGAGACACCTGCCTGTGTGGGCCTTAAAGAATTAAAGCCAAATAGTTTGCCCTGTCCTGTACCATTGCTGAGTCCCAGGATCTGATGGCCAATGTTTTCTCCTTGTTTTTCATAGGTTAAGTATGACTTGCGTTTCAGTTATGTTCAGAGGAACTTTGTGCCATCACTGAACTATTTATATTTTCAAGAGGAGCTAGAAGGCTGGTGCACAGCCTTTCTTTATCCTCCTAATCCAAGCCAAGAACCCCGGGAATTTGCATATGCTGATGGGGGAAACCCTGGTAAGGAAACTCTGAAGCCTGTAACATTACCATGAGCACAGCCACATTTGCCCTGTACCACATATTTGTGATACTATTTGTGATACTGTTTTGCTAACTGAATGCGCACCTAAGATTAACATTTCAGTAGAGGTCCAAGGAGCTACCTTTGAAAATGTGGCATTCAATAAAATGCTTATATTCCAGTATAAGTTAAAACAGCAGGTATGTATTTTGATTGTTTATAATGACGTTGAATTGCTTGAAAGAATGAAAGCGTTTTACAAGAACAAAGGGTGTGAGTTTCTATATTTCTAACATTTTACTTTTAAAATACATTTTCTACTGTTCTCTACAAGCTATGACTTAAGTGACTTTCCTTAATTTGTTGAAATTCCTATAAAATAATGACTTCTCTACCTTTTCCTTTTCATTTTAGGAAAGTTACTAGCAGGCTGGGGTGTACCTCAGTGGTACTTGCCTAGCATGCAGAAAACCACATGGTCAGTCTCTAGTACTGCCCGAGCTGCTGACTGTTAGGAATGCTGTGTGGGAATTCACCTTGGTGTAATGGTAGCTTCCGAGGTTACTAACAGGAAAGGCATCCCAGAGGCTAGCGAACACAACACTCACAGGTTCTGCTTTCTGCCATGCTAGCCTCTGCCTGATTGTGTTGTTAGGGACCAGAACTCAGCCAGAGAATTTGGCAGACACCAGTGCATTTACCTTGAGCACAGCCACCTGGTACCTGTAGCTCTAAATAGCCTGTTGAGAACTCGTGGGCATTATCTATGTTTCTTGGGCAGCACACATGCAGGACCAGAGTGAAACTATAATAATTATAACAAGAATGGCCAGTTATTTAGGGAAGATGTAGCCTTCATCATGAAAGAAACATGATTACGTGACCTCCCTTTTCCACCTGTAAGTAGCACTCTCGTTTTTCTTCCCCTTCCCCAAACCCTACAATTTTTGGGATCAAACCTAGGGCTTTCCACATAACAGGCCAGCACTCTACTACTGAGCTCTACCTCTAGCCCTGTGCTGCCCTTTGTTTCCTGTTACAGCATTGGGGACAGAGCTCAGCGTACACTAAGCTGCCTCCCGAGACCTGTAGACCTGTCCGTTGGTCTAGCTTTCCTTCCTCCGTCCCTCCTTCCCTCCTTCCCTCCGTCCCTCCCTCCCTCCCTCTGTCCCTCCCTCCCTCTGTCCCTCCCTCCCTTCCTCCCTCCTTCCCTTTCTTTCTTCCTTTCCTCCCTCCCTTCCTTTCTTCATCCCTCCCTCCTTTCCTTCCCTCCCTCTCTCCTTTCCTTCCTCCCCTTCTTCCCTCCCTCTCTCCCTTCCTCCTTCCTTCTCTCCCTCCCTCCCTCTCTCCCTCTCTCCCTTCCTTCCTCCATTCCTCCCTCCTTTCTCTCTCTCTCTCTCTTCTCTTTCTTTCTTTCTTTCTTTCTTTCTTTCTTTCTTTCTTTCTTTCTTTCTTTCTTTCTTTCTTTCTTTCTTTCTTTCTTCCTGACAGGGTCTCATGGAGCCCAAACTGACCTCAAACTCATTGTGAAGCCAAAGGTAACCTTGAATTATTGATGCTCCTGCCACCCCCCTTCTCAGTACTGGGGTTACAAGATTGTGTCATCACAGCCAGTGTGTGATGTGGTTTTGAACGCCCATCCTATTCAGCGTGTATGTTTCATTTATCCCTGTTTAACATGCCTTGTTCACTAACCACTAAAAATACTTCTTGTATTATCTGTTTTCCCTTTAACTTGATAAAGGAGGGACAGACAAGTATCTACACTGCTGCAGGCCTCCCTGCCTGACTGCCTGTGTTGTTTTAAAGATTCTGCTCCTGCTTTGAAGGACATCTCCAACTTTGAAGGACATCTCCAACTTTGAAGGACATTCCAGAACTCCTGAATTTGGGGCTAAGGAGATAGTTGAGTTGGTATAGTGCTGCTGCACAAACTGAAAACCTGAGTTTCCATCTCCAGGACCCATGTAAAAAGCTGGGTGTGACAGCACGTGTTTATAACCTCGGTGCTGGGAAGTAGAGGCAGGAGGATTCCTAGGGCTCACTGGTCAGGCTAGCCTAGTTAGCAAACCCCAGGTCCCAGAGAGAGACCCTGTTTGAAAGAACAAGGTTGATGGTGCATCAGGAACAGCACCCAAGGCTGGCCTCATCCTCTACACATACGCTCATGTGCACACACAGGGGTGGGGTGGGTTCTGAACACATGACCTCTGCATTGGCTAATACTTCATTTGAATTTACTTGCTCTTTCTGAATCTTTAGATCTCTCTTTGGTTCTAATTCCATCCACCCTACCCACCCACAACTAGCCGGAGAATACTAGCTGCCTCTTTTTCCAGATCTCATGGTCTTAGCTGGCTAGGCCAAGCTCCACTCTTTTGTTTCCCACTCTGGAATCATACCCTGAGAAAGTACCCTTCCCCTCACTCTTTTGCTGAGGATAAACAGATAACATTAAAATCAGAAGGTTAGGCATTCCTAGAAGCTCCTATGTCCTAAGGCGTAACGTGGCTCCGAAGCTGGGTACCATAATCTTTCTCTGCAGGAAGCACTGCTGACTTTCTGCTCTGGAACTTTCCAGTAACAGTAGAGGAGAGTTTTCTTAGTGTCTGCTTTCTGCCATCTTGTTCTCTGCTATGAAAAGGAACATAACTGTATATAACAGTGCAGACATCCCTACTTGGCACCCTGTTTCCCTGGACCTGCCCATTCCATGACAGCCCCCAGTTTCCTCTCTGGCAATTCCAGACTTAGGCAGAAGTGATGGCACATAACTGAGATGCTCTTTCCTTCACATGAAGCAACATATTCCCGAGCAAGGGCCTAGGAGCCACTTCTCACATGAAGGAGCATGCTTTCTGATTCACTTTCGGTTTCTTGGTTTCCCTATTTGTGAGAGGTTGAACATGAACACCAATTAAGCAATTGTTCTTCCAGAATTGATCATCAACCCCTCATTATAGGATGACCACACAATTGTCTTGCAGTCTAAGGCCTGCATGCCCACCAACTGGAATCCAAGCCTAAGTACCCAAGTATTTACTCCGATTCTAGAAAATATCCTATAATTTTTTAGTGAAAACACTCCTATAAAACAAACAAACAAACAAACAGGAATGCATAACAATATCCAGGACTCGTTGCCAGCAACGTGCCCTTCCCTTTTCCAGTTTGACAGATCTGGAGGTCTGCCTATGTCTGGACAGTGGGGCACAGTGGTCACCTTTACTACAGGGTTCTGTACTACACCTCTACTACCCCTCCATGGAGACTGGTTACCCTTGTTTGGAACTAGAAAGCACTCAGGGGATCTTTATCTTGCAATCTATGTTTATTGAAAGTTGATCCTGGCATACCAGCTACACTGATGCAATGCTTATGATAAGGACAGTGTTTGTGCCTGCCAGCAAAATACAGAAACTTAACCCTTGAGCTGTGCAGCAGTCACAACACAATCAGGAAGTCTGTGTCTTTCAAGGGCTTTGAGTTTAACTATCCTGTATTTACTATAAAATCAAAACTACAGAACAGGTGCTCTATCCACAGAGGCTGAGAATGAAGGGAGAAAAATCCTTGTATAGAACATGGCTTTTTTTTTTTTCTGCCAGAACTCATTTTCTGATCATTGCTTCGTTTCCATGGCTCTCCAAAGTGGCTCCTCACTGTCCTCTGTTGTATCATGAAGACTCTAAGAATACCTTCTGGCTGTTGTCTGTCTTAATAGCTAGCCAGGATCCACCTGAATTTTTAGTCATTTGGATCTTTACTTTCTTGTGCTCGATATTCTGGTTTCTTGTAGGATACAACAAAGAAGGCTTTCTGGCAATACAGCATGCAGTAGACAAAGCCATTATGTGGCACCATGATCCCAACGCAACACTCAACATGTTCAAGAACCTCCATGTACTGCTGCAGAGATTCCCATTTGGGCCCCATATCAAGGACCCATTCTTAGTGATCCTTCAGAATGAGTTCCCTCTGCTGCTCATGCTCAGCTTCATCTGTGTTGAGCTCATAATCATCAATTCCATCTTACTGGAGAAGGAGAAGAAACTGAAGGTAACTCTGTCTACTCCGACGGGAAGCACAGGGCTGTGGGGAGGCCGCTAATGAAGTGTCCCTGGGGAGACTGAGGCCCAAGCAGGCGGGAGGGTTTGTCAGCCTCTCGGGTGAAATGGAAATCAGAAGTGCTCTCATATTTTTATCCTGCTTGCAGGAAGCCCCATCTCTTGTTATCACACATATCCTTACTTTTAGATTGCCCAGCCTAGTCGGTCCTCTAGGTTAGCACTCTGTCACTAATAGGGCAGGTGTTCAGACAATGTCCACATAGAAGGGGTTTCTATCCACAATCAACTCACTCCCATTTTGTGGGAAGATGATTGAGAAGCATCCTCTAGGAAAATGTAGCCGAAGGCAGGGTTTGTGTCCTCTGCGTTGGTCCCGAAACTGGTTTCACTACTCACTTTCTGTGCTCTTCTGTTTACATAACCTCTACTACTTCTTTTCTCACTTTCTTCCCTTTAATAATCTTGTATTTCTTAGGTTTTTATTTCTCAGACATGATCTCATTCTGTAGCCAATAGTGACCTGGAAGCCACTGTGTTTTCCAGGCTGACCATGAACGCATGAGCTATTTGCTTCACCCTCCCCAGCGCTAGAGGTACAACTGGCTAAAACCTTCTCACTTTAAATTTTTTCTCTTTTTAAAATAATTTTTAAATTTATGTATTTTATGTATAGGATGTTTTCATCTGCATGTACATCTGCACACCAGAGGGCACTAGATCCCACGGGACTACAGTTAGAGATGGTTGTGAGTCACAGTATAGGTGCTGGGAATTGATAGAGATGATGAGGCTGCCTGTGGGATGGGAGACAGTGGGCCAATGGCTGACAGGTGGACGCTCTATCCAGCTTTATACTCTCTGAAAACCCCAGGAAACTAGGAGCTTCCGACACTGGCTAGGGTACCCATTTAGTTTCTGCTTGTGGGATAAAATTCCACCTTCCTTAGTTTTCACTTCAACAGCAAACTTGTATAGAAGCTGGTGGGCATAGAATGTCCACACTTTGGTCATGTTTTTGTTCTTTATACTTGAGTCTTGTTTTCAGATGAATTTAACACTGTAGAAGTTAGGCATGATGGCACATTCTTAAAACCCCAATGGTAAATATGCTGTTAGTTCATTTACTGAATGTCTCCTCTAAGCAAATGGCCCTGAGCAAAAAGTCCAAACTATTTTTTTTTTTTGAGACAAAGTCTCAATATAGAACCCCTGGCTGGCCTGGCACATGCTCTGTAGACTAGACTGGCCTTGTGCTTCTGACAAATTTTACTGCCTCTGTCTCACAAATGCTGGGATTGGAGGGATGGACTACTATACTCTGCTTTAACATCTAAACTCCTTATGTGTCCTACTTTTAAATTCTCCTAGCAGTTGTTTTTAAATTTAAAGTCGGTTTATACAATGCCTACTCTGCCTTAGTTAAACCAAGTACCACTCCGTTTTATTCTTGCCTTCTAGTTCTATCCCTCTCCATCAGCCCCAGCAGCTGTCTCTCCCCAGTCCACACAACCTGTCATCCTAACCCGCTGAGTTTCAGCATCCGCCTCCCCGACTGTGCCTGAGACACTTAGCTAGGCTCTAACACTTGGCTCTTTGGCTTTTTCTAGGAATATATGTGTATGATGGGACTGGAGAGCTGGCTGCACTGGGTTGCTTGGTTCATTACATTCTTCGTTTCTGTCTTAATTGTCGTTTCTGTTATGACCATTCTCTTTTGTGCAAAGGTATGCTTTGTTTTTTAGAATATAGTGAGCTATGAACGGATAGTAAAGAATCTGGTATGGTATGGGTGGTACAGTTATTGATGACCATTTGGAAAAACTCTGATGGATATTCAGTGGTATTTGCTGAAATTCTGGGGAAGTAAGCATTCCCCCTCACCTTTTTTTTTTTTGGTTTTTCGAGACAGGGTTTCTCTGTGTAGCTCTGTAGACCAGGCTGGCCTCGAACTCACAGAGATCCGCCTGGCTCTACCTCCCAAGTGCTGGGATTAAAGGCATGTGCCACCATCGCCCGGTGTCTTTTTCTTTTTGAGGCAGAGGCTCATTATGGAGCTCTGGCTGGCCTAGAATTCACTATATAGACCAGGCTGATCTTGAATTTGTGTTAATCCTCAACCTTACCCCTAAAGTACTAGGATTTCAGTCTTGTGCTATCATACCTAATCTAGTATTTAGAAACTTGAGGATCACAAAATACATTTTTACAAACTTTAAAAGATAGGGCTGGAGAGAAGGCTCAGTGGTTAAGAGCCCTGATTGCTCTTCCAGAGGACCCAAGTTCAATTCCCAGCACCCACATGGCAGCTCACAACTGTCTGTAATTCCAGGTCCAGGGAACCAAACACCCATGTTAAAACACCAATGCACATAAAGTAAAAATAAATTAATTAAAAAGAAAAAAGGATAAATTTCATACTGTACAATAGTTGAAAATAGTTATTATAAAACATTATTTTACTTACATGTTATCATGGTTTTTTTTTTATGCTGCCGATGGAGTTTGATATTAACACTGGCCTGTTTATATTTAATAACTCACTACTTGGATATATAAAAACTTACCTTTTAAATTGTTAGTATTGTGTCAGTGTAGTAAAAGGAAGAAAGAAAACCCAGGCTAAATAGGAAAATAGTTCAAGCAAAAGAAATAACCAGAAAACATTAAAACAGAAGGCACAAGATAACAAAAGAAGCACCAAATGTATGTCAGACTGATAATGTGACAAATGAATTGAACTTATGCTGGGGGTGTAGCTCAGTGACAGAACACATGCCGTGTATTTAAGGCCCTTAATTCAATACCCGAGATACCCCCCCCAAAAGAAAAAAATGTCCACATTAGGTCAAAAATTGAATGCAAACTTATTTTTTCCCTGAAAAATACTCATAGCATAACTTATAAATGATAACAGATGGCAGATCAGATGTCTCCCTTTAAAAAAATCTATGTATAATTCTAAATTAAAAAATATTTTCTATAGTGTTTTATGGGTACTTCATACTTTCTTCACATCTATGGTTGTTTTATAGGTAAACAGTGTGGCTGTGTTCACGAACAGTAACCCTAGCTTGATATTTATTTTTCTAATGTGTTTTGCCACTGCCACAATTTTCTTTGCATTCATGATGAGCACATTTTTTCAAAGAGGTGAGTACTGCTATTATTTTCTGTTGGGGGATGTTAATGACTTTTTCTTCTAAAAACATTGTCATTCCCATTACTTAGAGAATTTAGTATTATTCCTCCACAGCTAAGTTTCCAGTTTTATGGTTATTTCAGTAGTGGGAAAATTCTACTCCCTATTAAAGGCTTGTTGAAACACATGAAATATACAATTTTTGCTATATTTAAGTCCTTAAAACAATTTCAAAGTGAGGTAGATAATAAGTCTCAGTTTATTTATTTTTATTTATATGTCTCACTGTGTGTATGCAATGTGTGTCCTGGTGCTCTGGAGGCCAGAAGAGACCCTTGGATCCCCTGAAGCTGAAGTTACAGGCAGTTGTGAGCCACCTGACGTGGGTGCTGGGAACCAAACTCAGGTCCTCCGAAAGAGCAGCATCCACTCCTAACTCCAGGGCCATATCTCCAGCACCAACAAGTCTCAGTTTAGAAGAAAATAGAAGGGTAAGGCATTTCAGGCAGAAAGTCCTCCAGATCATGATTGTGAAGTTGGGGCACAATAGTAAAGTGGTTTCTAAGATACCACAAAGGACTTCCTGTGAATTTGGTCCTGTTGGAGGTCTTAGATCTAAAACTATTTACACATGAATTGATGAACATATAGAGAATAGAAATAATAGGAGGTAGAGTCAAGTCAGAGCACAGGAGCATTGAAGTATGAGTTACCCTAAGCAGGGACACTTTGCTCAGCCTGGGTGAAGGGAGGTGGGGATTGGACCTGCCTGGACTGAATCTATCAGGCTGAGCTGAATCCTCAGGGGAGTCCTTGCCCTGGAGGAGATGGGAATGGGGGGTGGGCTGGGGGAGGGAGGACAGGGGAATCCGTGGCTGATATGTAAAATTAAATTAAATTATAACATAAAATAAAATAAAATAAAACAGCCGGGCGGTGGTGGCGCACGCCTTTAATCCCAGCACTCGGGAGGCAGAGCCAGGCGGATCTCTGTGAGTTCGAGGCCAGCCTGGGCTACCAAGCGAGTTCCAGGAAAGGCGCAAAGCTACACAGAGAAACCCTGTCTCGAAAAACCAAAATAAATAAATAAATAAATAAAATAAAATAAAATAAAATAAAATAAAACAGTTAGAGAAAATGAGCTCAGCAGTTGCCCCCTGAAAAGACAGTGTTTACAAGAACCAGGAAAAAGAAATGTATTATTCCTATTTGTGAATGTTTTATATCAAATGGCATGCTCTAATTTGTGATTCCTAGAAAAATACTCACTCTGCCAAGAAGGAGAAGGATTCAAACTTTGAATTCCACCTCTCCTCCATAGCTTTATAGCAAGCCCAGGAGGATGCTAGTCAACTGAGTTCAACTCCTCAGGACCTACATGACAAAAACTCAGTACAATACATTCCTGTCCCTCTGAGGAAGTAGAGACAGAAGGTCAGTGCCACATGCTCCAGGTTCAGTGAGAGACCCTTCGCAAAGAAAACCAAAAGAGGAGAAAGATTACATAAGATACCCAATGTCAACTTCGGCCTGCACATGCATGCACATACAAATCCACATGAACACATACCTGTACACACACACACACACACACACACAAAATACCAAAAGATAAAAGAGGACATGAAGCCCAGAGGGGCTGAGGGCATCCCAGGGGAGTTGAATGGATGAAGTTGGGGTGGTAGATACGATCAAAATACATTAAATATAAGTATGGAATTTATAAGGAATAAATAGAAATATTTAAAAAAAATAAGAGAAAATCTTCATGGTTTTGTGTTACACAATGACTTCTTGGGACACAAAAAATACAGCTGATAAAAGAGACAATTGATAGTTCAATTTCAGAAAAATTTAAAACTTTTGTACATCAAAGTTGCCATCAAAAAAGTGGCAGTGCCGTGTGTGATGTCGTACATTTTTAATCCCAGCACTCCGGAGCAGAAGCAGGCTGATCTCTGTGAGTTCAAAGCCAGCCTGATCTACATAGTGAGTTTCAGAGCAGCCATAGCTACATAATAGACAGACCACAGACCATGCACCATCAACTACAAAAAAAGTGGTGATGTATGCCTATAATTTTAGTACTTGGAATACTGAGAAAAGACAATTGCTCTGAATTCAAGGCCAGTCATTGCTACAGAGCGCCAGACCAGTCAGTGCAACATAGCAAACATGTACAAAAAAAGAAAATGAAAAAGTAATCTATAGCCTAGGAAAAACATTTTAAAAATTAGGAATATCAGCCGGGCGGTGGTGGCACACGCCTTTAATCCCAGCACTGGGAGGCAAGAGGCAGGCGGATCTCTGTGAGTTCGAGGCCAGCCTGATCTACAGAGTGAGATCCAGGAAAGGCACAAAGCTACACAGAGAAACCTGTCTCAAAAAACCAAAAAAAAAAAAAAAAAAGGAATATCTGGGTGGTGGTGGCACATGCCTTTAATCCCAGCACCTGGGAGGCAGAGTCAGGTGGATCTCTGTGAATTCAAGGCCAGCCTGGTCTACAGAGCAAGATCCAGGACAGGTACCAAAACTACACAGAGAAACCCTTCCTTGAACAACCAAAAAAAAAAAAAAAAGAAAGGAAAGAAAGAAACAAAGAAATTAGGAATAACACAAGAGACTTGTATCCAGAATAAATAAAATAACCCATGCAACTCAAAAATAAAAAACAAATATTCCTGTCTCACACCAGACTTAGAAAAGGCATCACAGTAAGACTATAGATCAGGGGGCTGGAGAGGGCTCAGTGAGTTAAGATCACTCTGTTCTTGCAGAAGACCGGGTTTAACTCTAGTTCCCAGGGATCTGATGCCCTCTTCTATGTTCTGGAGGTGCTTGCACATCTGTGCTGCATGCAAGCACACAGAGATACACATATATTTTTAAAAATCTTTTTTAAAGAGGGAATGGCTGAAGAGATGGCTCAGCAGTTAAGAGCACTTACTGCTCTATGTGTTTTTTTTGAAATTATAATTATAACATCATTTTCCCTCCCCTTTCCTCTCTTCAATTCCTCTAATGCACCTCTCTCAAATTTATGGCCCCCTTTTCTTTAATTATTGTTACATATACATAAATCTATTCCTAAATATGTAAGTACAACCTGCTCAATCTATATAATGTTACTTGTATGTGTATGATTTTAGGGCTGATCACTTAGTATTGAATAAAGAACTGGAGAACTCTTCCCTGGGGAAGAGTATTTCCCCCACTTTCAATATTCCTTAGTTGCCTATAGTTTGGTTTTTTTTTTTTTTTAGGGTTGAGGCCCCATGAGATTTCCCCATTCCAGGCTAGTATGTCTATTGGGTCATCTTTGTTCAGGTCTTGTTTAGGCAGTGATGTTGATGAGACTTCATGTGTATAGTTTTCCTGGTATTTCTAGAAGATGCAGTCTCACAGAAAACTCCCTTTTCCTCTGGATCTTACATTTTTCCACCCCTCTCCTCCACTATGGTCCTTGAGCCTCAGGTGTTGTGTTGTAGTTGTATCACATGATCACTTGCTCTCCTCATTTTGATTGGGTGTGGGTTTCTGTAATGGTCTTTGTTCTGTTGTTTCTTTGATGAAGGCTGAGACACACACATATGGATAAATATTTGGAATGAAATTAGGAGTTATGCTAGTTTAGCAAAATATCAGTTCTCTTCCAAGACCCCTGACTTCACTAGCCCTGGGTAGGTTTCCAGTAGCAGTCATATTTCCCTCTTGTTGAATGGGCCTTAAATCCGGTTAGAGAGACGTTGGTTACTGCCAAGGTGTGTGTGCCGCCATTGTGCCCTTGGGAATACTGTGTGGTGCTAATCGTTGTTGTAGCTCATAGGCAGCAGAGAGTGTGGGAATATTGGTTGCTTTCCTCATCTGGAAACTTTCCTAACACCTTCAGGGACCATGAAAGCTAGTCCTCAGGGAGGAGGCTTTCAGGTCAGATCCAGCTTAGATCATCTGAGTCCTTTTCTCTTCTTCTTCCCAGAAATCTCTCTGGCCCAAAAATCCTACCTAGCTATTGGCCTTTTAGCTTTTTATTAACCAATCACGGTGACATACCTTCATGAAGTGTAAAGGCATATTCCACAACAGACATGGTTTTACATAATAGCTCCATGACATTAAGCAAATTAATGTATTTTGTGTAGTTAATCTCCAGTTTCCTCTGTAGAATCAGGAGGTTGTAAACATTAAATAAGATGGTATATATAAAGCTTGCCATGGTGTCGGATGTTGCACAGATCTGCCACTCATCTTTGGAGAAGACTTAATACTATTTTGTGTGTGTGTGTGTGTGTGTGTGTGTGTGTGTGTGTGTGTGTTTCCGAGACAGGGTTTCTCTGTGTAACAGCTCTTGCTATCCTGGAATTTGCTCTGTAGACCAGGCTAGCCTGGAACTCACAGAGATCCACCTGCCTCTGCCTCCTGAATGCTGGGATTAAAGGCATACACCACCACCACCCAGGGAGTCAATACAGTTTTAAAGAGAAAAATTTAGAGAGCTATTTGTGCCTTTATGTAAGGATATGTTTTTTGTTTTTTGAGATGGGATGTCATTGTGTGGCCCTGGCTGACCTGGAACTCACTATGTAGACCAGGATGGCCTTGAATTCAGAGATCCCACCTGCCTTTGCCTCTGCCTCCCAAGTGCTGGAGTTAAAGGCATGCACCACCACACCCAGCTACTTTCATTTTTTTTAAAGTGCTGTAAATGTTTTCATCCTTCACTAGTAAGAATACAAATACAAAAACAGATTGCTTCCTTTCTGAAATACTGAAACACTCACAGAGATGCTTTCTTTCATGACAGAGAAACAAGGTTTGTATCATAGCAACTTGCATGTTACTGATGAAACACTTCATCTTTTCCCCTCCAAATCTGCAGCGCATGTAGGAACTGTGATAGGAGGCATCGCCTTCTTCTTCACATACCTTCCCTACATGTATATCACTTTCAATTACCACCAGAGGACCTATGTCCAAAAGATAGCCTCTTGCCTCTTCTCAAATGTTGCCATGGCAATAGGAGTCCGATTCATCTCTCTGTTTGAAGCAGAAGGTAAGATTTATCTTTCTCAGACTCTATTTAGGCTGCTTGCATGCTTTGAGCTGGGTGTGGCTGTCCTCCATTTCCAAATCTACATTACTGACATTCGTTTCATTTAGTGTTCTGAGCATTACATTATGATAGGCACTTTGTGGGATGCTAAAGAGATATATAATGTGCTTCACAAACCTTACAGCATAAGCTGGGTGGTGGTGTCACATGTCTTTAATCCCAACACTTGGGAGTTTGAGGCCAGCCTGCCCCGTGACTTCCAGGATAGTCCTACTTCAAAAAAACAAAAACAAAGACAAACAAACAAAAAACCATACAGCACAGCCATGGATATGGGAAGGGAAACTAAAGCATAGTAAAGAAAGGACACTGGAGACAAACATGCATGGCCTGTAGTCCCAGCTACTTAGAAGGCTGAGGCAGGAAGATTACTGGAGCCCCGGAGTTCTATCCAGGCTAACTTGGGCAGCAGAGTAACTTTGCTTGAAAAAAAAAAAGATTAGAAATTATATGCTTATATAATTCTATTGATATGAAGTATAAAATTTTATGATTAGAAGCTCAGAAAATCCTGAACATCACTAATAATGTAGTAGTTTTCACATGTAATAGTCTCATTGCTTTTGGTGTCCCCTCTTTTGCAAGTTTATCAGGGGGATTGTATTAATCAGCCTTAAATTTTTATAAAGAAATACTTGAAATAATTAACTTGTAAAGAGAAAGACTTATTTTGATTTACAAATCTGTAGAGTCTAGTCAAAGATTAGGTGGCCTCCCTATATTGGACCTCTGGGTGTCCAGCCCTTCATGAGAGACTTACACAGCAAAGCAACCTACCAGGGAATGAACAAGAAAACAAAGGAATCCAGTTCTCATATTCTCTTAGAATACTCCCTCAATAACCCCACCTGCTAAGCCCCACCTCCTGCGATGCCACACCACCTGAAGTTTCTGCCATGCCCAGTAGCATCACCCTGGTGACCAAACCTTTTAACATAGTCTGTTAGTCAACTTTCCATCACTGTAGCAGATACCTGAGATGATCAGCACTGAAAGATCCCAGCCTTAATTTGCTTTAAACGTTTTTAAGGTTTCAGCCTGTGGTTTGTTAGTCCACTGGGGGGAAAATAACAAAATATCAACATTGAAGTTAAGATAGACTGGCCCTGGTTTAGCCGGCTTTAGGGAACTTGATCCCCATGCTGGATGACCTTGCCCAGCCTTGATGCAAGGGGAGGAGCTCTTTCCTGCCTCAACTTGATGTGCTATGCTTTGTTCAAGCCCACAGGAGGCCTGTCACTTTCTGAATGGAGACGGAAGGGGAGGGGAGTTAGATGGAAAAGTGCGTGTGTGGGAGTCCGGGAATAGAGGAGGGAGGGGAAACTGTGGTCGATATGTAAAATAAATGAAAAAATTATTATTTAAATAAAATAATATATATAAATTAAGATACATGGAAAAAAGGAAAAGACATGCTAGAATAAGAGAAGACACATATGATACATTTAGCTAACAAGTGGCTTATGTTCAGAATGTTTAAAGAACTCATTCACGTCATTAGAAATTTGCTCTTGTAATTTAAAACAATGAAGCAAAACCACTTGTCACTTTATGGGGAAAGAGATATTCAGAAGGCTAATAAACATATAGGTGCTGGGATTCAAACCTGGGTCCTCAGGAAAAGCAACCAGTGCTCTTAACTGCTGAGCCATCTCTCCAGCCCCATTACATTTCTTTTTAAAAGACACTAATAAATCAAATGTGGAGATAAAATGGAGCCATAAAAGAGCTATGAGATGGCTTAGTGGTTGAAGCTGCTTCCCTTCCAGCCTGCTGACCAGAGTTTCATCTTCAGAACCTACATGGTAGAAGAAGGAGAGAGCTGACCTCCTCCCCTTTGTCTTCTGACCTCCACACATGTACCATGGTACACGTGTACACATGCACACACACACCACATACATACAAATGAATAAATGGATGAAAAACAGAAATCAAAAAATTCTCCATTAACTGGGCATGGTGGCGGTAATTCCAGCTACTAGAGAGGCTGAGGCAGGAGGGATGAGAGCTCATGGTCAACCTGGGAAACTTAGAGACCTTGTCTATTAAACAAAAAAAGTAAAGGACTGGGAATACAGTTCAGGGGTTGTATGCAAGATCAGAGGTCCAATCCCTAGTACTATCACAATAGATATTTGAGGGCTGGAGAGATGGCTCAGCGGTTAAGAGGACTGGCTGTTCTTCCAGAGGTCCTGAGTTCAATTCCCAGCAACCACATGGTGGTTCACAACCATCTGTAATGAGATCTGGTGCCCTCTTCTGGCCTGCAAACAGAACACTTATACATAATAAATATTTTTAAAAAAAATAGATATTTGAAAAATCTCTGTGATGGTTAGTATTGCTTATAAACTTCACTGGAGCTGGCATCAACTAAGAGACATGTTTTTGGATGTATTCGTGAGGATGTTTTCTGAGAGGATTAGCTGCAGGAGGAAGGACCTCTAACCCCAGGGTGGGAGCACAGTCTAGCAGTGGCCCAAGTTGAAAGACATTTGAGGGAAAATCAATGCCTTCCCACCCTGTTGGAAAGTGAATTGTTGCTGCTGCCATCCTTTGCTAACCTCAGAACCCAACTTCATTGCCTTTCTGATGTGGAATGGAGACCAGCACTCCGGAATCCCCCAGGCACTTATCTCTAGATTAGGACTGCTGAGTCTTGTGGACTGAGCAGACTTTCCAACATGCAGACAGCCACTGTCCTCCTTCCTTGCAACAGGAACAGGAATCCAATGGAGGAACATAGGCAGTGTCCAAGGAGACTTTAGCTTCACTCAGGTGCTGCTGATGCTCCTGCTGGACTCACTCTTGTACTGTCTGATAGCCTTTTTGGCGGAGTCTTTCTTCTCAGGAAAGTTTGGAATACCTACGTCTTGGTACTTCTTTGCCAAGGTAAGTTCTGATTCTATTTTAGAGATAAATGTTAAGGTTTTTGTTTGTTTGTTTTGGTTTTTTGTTTGTTTGTTTGTTTTCCCCCAAGACAGCTGTCCTGGAATTTGACTTGTAGACCAGGCTGGCCTCGAACTCACTGAGATCTGCCTGCCTCTGCCTCCCAAGTGCTGGGATTAGAGGCGTGTGCCACCACCGCCTGGCCAGATGTTAAGATTTTTATATTTGTCATCTGTGTTCCTCCATCTCCCAATAATGTACTAACGTCCATGGGAGGCCTTACCCTTTCTGAGGAGTGGATGGGGGTTTGGGTAGAAAGGAGGTGGGGGGAGGGAACAGGAGGAGAGGAGGGAGGGAAAACGGGTTGGTATATAAAATAAATTAAAAAATTTAAAAAAAAAGAAGTCAAGCACTGCTCATAGGCACCCACTACAGCAAGGACTTGGTTATTAACAGATCCTCTCTCATTTCACATGGTTCTTCTTTCTATTAAAATTGAGTATTTAGCCAGGCGGTGGTGGCGCACGCCTTTAATCCCAGCACTCGGGAGGCAGAGCCAGGCGGATCTCTGTGAGTTCGAGGCCAGCCTGGACTAGAGAGCGAGTTCCAGGAAAGGCGCAAAACTACACAGAGAAACCCTGTCTCGAAAAACCAAAATAAAAATAAAAATAAAATAAAATTGAGTATTTAAATACATTATAAATATTACACTGGGGAAAAATAAGGTCCCAAACCACAGTAAGTCTTTACCCTGGATTAACCTCCTAACTATCAGCCTGTGGTTGGCAGTGGAGCATAATTAACAGAGAATCTCAGTTTCTCTGAACTTGCCCCACAGCTGATGCAATGGACTTGAGGATGAGACGGGGGGGGATAACTTCATACAGTGTACCTGGCAGTGCCTTCAGATTCTGTTATGCCTGTGTCATGAGTCCCCCCCACCCAGAGATCACCAGGAGTCTGAGTTCATATGCAAAAGCAAAGAGCCTTTATTGCAAGCTCGAGCTTGGGCTTCCCATTCATTCCCACACAGCAGTTGGATCAGTTCCCACATAGCATTGAGCTCAGTTATGGCAGGGATTTTAAGGAGTAAAGGAAGGAGGGTAGGGAAATTTAGATGGGGGTTGAACTCCTGATTGGGCAGGAGTGAGGTAACAGAAGTCTTGTCAAACAGGGATTGGTACTGGTGTTGCTGCAAGGAAATTGGCAACCTATATACAAGTGATGTAAGCTATCCTTTATGCCTTGGAGCATCTAGTACTTATTTGTCTCAATTCTGATTGGTCTCCTGAAAGGTACAGTTTGTGGCTTTTCCTGGTTATTGTAATGGTGAGGCCTAGTCCCAGTATTGTTAGTCTGCAGCCTGTCATGGTTAGGCCTCTTCATTCCTGTATATGCCTGTTGAATACCAGGTCCTTCATTTTCCCACGGAACTCACTCCCCAACATGCTAAAGTTCTCACACACCCTTTCTCCATTGAGCTGCATTTGTAGAGGGCCCTTTGAAACCCTATGATCACCACAGTGTGCCAATAATAGTATCACAATCCTAGAAATTCACAGACTACATTTTTTGTTACAAATGAGCCTTTTGTGCTTAACTTAGCCTCTCACAGTAACCTGTGGTGGCCTGCCCAGTGGCCAGGACCTCTGCAGCATGTGCTCTGCCTTCCTTCTGGGGATATGGAGAAACAGGTACACTGTAACACCAGCATCCTCATCCAGGTCTCACCCCTCCCCCCCAGAACATGACCGATGGTAAAGCAGCTTTGCTAGGACAGTCAGAGGCCAGAGATAAGGCCACTTTCTTAGAGCTTCTCTTAGTGCTGGAGATTATAAGCTGAAATGCAGTCGACTTGTGATGAAGCCATCAGTGAGCTGATTAACTTCTCCAGATGCCATTAAATATTTGATTCAACAAGTAACTGCCTGTGGGGCAGGCATCCAATTTGCCAAAATTTATCTTCCATAAGAGAAATCCACACAAAAGTAAGTTGACTTCTCATGCAGTGCCTGTTTTGCATCAAGAAGCCTGTTCCAGTAATGCTGCCACTTCTGGACATTGGGGATCCTGAGAAACCTGCAAGGAGAGACTTCATGCAGGACGAGCCAACTGATCAAATGAAAGCAATTGAAATCCAGCATCTATATAAGGTATTGGCTTTCAAACTTCCTGATAGGGGCTTGAGAAACAACCCTTTTTTTTTTTTTTTTTTTTTTTTTTGGTTTTTTTTTCCGAGACAGGGTTTCTCTGTGTAGCTTTGTGCCTTTTCCTGGAACTCACTTGGTAGCCCAGGCTGGCCTCGAACTCACAGAGATCCGCCTGGCTCTGCCTCCCGAGTGCTGGGATTAAAGGCGTGCGCCACAACCGCCCGGCTGAGAAACAACCCTTTTAAGACTGTGTTTTATTCTAACAGTGCTTACAGGCTACTCTTTGGAATCAAGAGTTGTAATTTCCTATATGATCCTACTCTGAAAAATTGGAAACACAACTTGAAATGCCCTGTTTCCCATTATGAAGTTAAATGGAAGGCCTATTGATCTGGGTTGTTTGTTTGTTTGTTTGTTTGAAACAGTGTCCTCTCAATCTCCAGGCCAAGTATCTCCACTGGAGAGAGGCCAGAATGCAGCCATTTGGTGGATGACATATCCACCAAATCAAAATGTAAACCAGATCTCACTGTTAGTTTCTAAATATAGGAACAGGCAGTTGTTCTCCCATAGGTGCTTGATTTCTGTAACACGGTATAATCTCAGTGCTTACAATGTCTACAGAGTGTGGTTGTCTGAAATCTCTGGTCTTCGAATCTAAAAGAAAGCATTGGGACCTTCTCTACTTATTTGGCATTGTCACCTTAAAATTCTAACTCAGCTGGGTGTGGTGGCACAAGCCTTTAATCCCAGTGCTTAGTAGTCAGAGGCACTTGGATCTCTGTAGGTTTGAGGTCTGCCTGGTCTACAGAGGGAGTTGTAGGTCAGTCAGGGATATGCGGTTAAAACTGTCTCAAAACAAAAACAAACTACTCAGCCTTGTGTTGCCTTCTACCTGGGGGATCGAGTGGCTCATATCCCAGCCCAGGACACTTGTGACATGTGTCCAGCTCCTCTGTAATAATAATTAGGAGTCTCTCTAACTTTTTATGGGGATTCTCTCTTTTCCTCTCACTCTCCCCTTCTAGCTCTAACTTTGTTCATAATAAACAGTCTTGGGGCAGATGGTTCTGTGTGATTTCAGCTGATCCACAGAGTCAGCTCACAGCTCCTTCTGGCTGAGTGACATATAATAGTTGCTTTTTCCCGGACCATCCATAGCATGAGCTTTCATGATTGCAAGATGGCTGGAGTAAGTAGCTCATTTGTGGTGAAGACCAGGTCAGAGGAAGGTGATCTGGACACGAAGCTTGCCATACTCTTCAGCAATATCTGTGTGTGTTACCCTGCCATCCACACCCTGACTTTCCCACAGGTCTTTTACAGGGGACGGAGTAAATGCATAGCAGTCAAGGATCTGAGTGTGAACCTGTACAAGGGTCAGATCACCGTTCTCCTGGGACACAACGGAGCAGGGAAAACCACTGTCTGCTCCATTCTTACAGGTACCTGTGTGGGTCAGCTCTACAGAGTAAGCCCTTAAATCGCTGCACAGACCTAGATTTTGGACTTCTCCATTAAAATTTGTTGTCATTTTACTGTTAAGCATGGTTTGTTGTTAATTGTGCCATCTTTGTAGGATCTGGTTTGAATATAGTTCAGTAACTGTACCAAGAAAAGGGAATCTATCTGTGCCTCTTCCAGTCAGTCTGCATTCACCATGACAAGACATGAACTTCCTTCTAGATAGAACGTTCCTGTTCAATGTGAGACACTGTTAATCTCTCAACATCTCAAATCTCTCAACAAAAACGTCTTTGAATTTTGACTACCAGAGGTACTTTTAGAATAATACTTGTGAGTTATTCTAAAATACCCATCCAGAATAATTTTTATGCTTAAATAATTATTTTACATCCTGTCAACTAAAATGATATTCTATGAAATTTGAAACCTCACCCAAGAAACGTTGATTGGAGGTTTAACATGTATAAAACTCTGGACAAAATCAAAGGGTGAACATCCAGCTTTGAAGGAGCTCCAAAAGACAAGCTGTTCTTACACACAGAATACCACAGGGATGGGGAGCTGTCGGCACCTCAGTCAGTCTCTTCACATGTGAGTGTCTTTCGCCTTCTATTAAAGACACTTGAAGAATAGCAAGATTTAGTGACATTTGGTGGCAGGTGCTCTTGGCCACACCAAGAGTTGTTATCCGGATTTTGAAAGTCAAGTCTCAACTCACATATATACAGTGGTTGTGTGTTTTGTGTGTCAGACTGGGGACTGAGCCCCACAATTTCCTGTATAGAGGTACAGTGGCATTTCTTCAGACATAGGGTAGTCCTAACATGTTAGGTTGAGGAAACTGTCTCCCCCAGTAGAAGTGTGTGAAGTTCTCACTGCTGGAGAAGAAGTTCTTTGTACCCCTAGGTTAGTGTCCAGGAGGCAAGTCGGTTGCTGGATTGTCAAGGAAGGCCATGAGTCTTCTTTTTATACCTCACACAGTCTTCCCTATTACAACCTCTTCTTTTTGTGGTCAGGATTCCTCAAAGTCCATATTTTGTTTGCCTGTGTGTTTATGTGTATGCTATTTATCTGTCTCACTCTGTAAGAAACTGCTCTGTTTACTTCTGGACCCACAATGCCAGAACAATGTGTTTACACAGAATACATACTCAATTTCATTGACTAAAAGGCTGAATTGCAAATACTGTCAAAGTGCCAGCTATGAATGCAGTATTATAGAAGCTCTATCACAGATTTCTAACAAAATGATACAGCACAATAAAATTAACTCTGGCCTGGTGCAAGTGATGCCACCAGGGGACATACAATAGTATTCATGAGCACTGGAGACACTCAATGGAGAAGCGAAGTCGGGCTGCTTCCCCAGGACAGTGGCTGGCAAAGAGCTTCCACCATAATTTTTTTCAGATAGGATCTATTGTGTAGCCCAGGCTGGCCTCAAGTGCCAAGTGTTAGGATTATAGGTATATGCCAACTCCATACTGTATTTTTTTTTTTTGGCCAGGAAACTCCCAAACTTCATGTATTATAGACTTTGTTTCTCTACTTAGTGAAGTTTTGGTTCTTCTCTGAAGTTATTTAGTTCTTCTGTTATTACAAATTTACATAAAGACTTTCTTCCCTTTTTTTGTGTGTGGGGGGCAGGGGGGAGATTTTGGAGAAAGAGTTTCTCTGTATAGCCCAGGTTGTTGCTCTGTAGACCAGGCTGCCCTTGAACTCACAGAGATTCATCTGCCTCTGAGTGCTGGGATTAAAGGCGTGTGCCAACCACTGCCCAGCATAAAGACTTTCTATAATTACTCTAGAGTAGTGTCACTTTTTACCCTTGGGTGTGTATGTGAGTGCCTGTGGCTGGTGTGGATGTGTGAATATGGAAAGCAGAGGTCGACGTCAAGTGTCATTCCTCAGAGCTATCCACCTTGTATTGTGAGACAGGGTCAGTCACAGGGACTGAGGCTCACTGACTAGCCCGACTCTGCCTCCCCAGCATTGGGATCACATGGGTGCTGAGGACTGAACGCCATCCTCCTGCTTGCATGGCGAGCACTTTACCAGCTGCCTCCCCAGATCCTCTGCCTTCTTACCTTTAAGAATGATTTATTTTTAATTATATGTATGCATGTGTGTCTGTGCATAGGTATGTGCATGTGAGTTCAGTTGCCAGAAGAGGCCAGAGAGGACATCAGATGGACTGGAGCTGGAGTTACAGGTGGTTGTGACCTAGGAACTGAATTTGGGTGTTCTTAATCTCTGAGCCAGCTCTTCAGGCCCTGGACTTGGTCTTACCATTGCTATTGCACTGCAGTTTTCCTTCGGTGTGGAAACCTGTGGGAAGGCAGCAGCATTGCTCTCCTACCACACCTACCTCATCCTGGTCTTCCACACTGAGCCTAGTTTTGTGGATTTTCCTGTAATGAGAAGTTTGTTCCAGATTGTTCTTTCTGGAGAGCTGGGGGTGTAAAATTCATGACTGAATACTTTTCTAGCAAGGGGTCCAATGCCTGGGATGCAGCTCTCCCCCCACAAGTAGAGGGCTGTGGAGGGGTCTCCCGTCTGAGTCATCAGGGCGTGTGTGTGCTGCACCTGATGCAGCATTCCAGGGCTCCAGAGGACACACTGACATTTAAAGGCAGTTGACATTTTGAGTTTGGGATCCTTTGTCTTGCTAGGCGAAGTGTTGAGCTGCATAACTGTAGAAAGCCCTTATTTTAGTCTCAATTCCGAGTGTCGGGGAGCTCAGTGTACTCTGATTTGGGCTTCGCAGTTGGAATTGGGTCCGGTAGGTGTTTGAAGCAGTTTTACTCGTAGATGAATGAATAGTATCTGGCCTTGCGATGAGTTCTTAGGAGCTGGGGAGATAGCTCAGTTGGTAAAGTAAGCAAGTGCCATGCAAGCACGATGACTTAGTTCAATCCCCAGCACCCATTGCAATCCCAGTGCTGGGGAAGGAGGGCAGGTGAATCCAGCGGCTCACTGCCACCCGGCCTAACCTAACCAGCAAGCCTCAAGTCCCTGTAAGTGAGCTTGTCTCATAAAACAAGGTAGACAGTTCCTGAAGGATGACACCAGAGGTTGACCTCTGGCTTCAGCATGCGTGTACTCAAATAGTGAGCATTAATACTCACTTACAGAGGCCAGGGAAGGCATTGGATCTCTTGGAGCTAAAGTTACAGCTAGTTGTGAGCCACCTTATGTGGGTACTGTAAGTGTTACAGTTCTGAGGGGAAAGGTTTCCTGGCAGTCAGGAGCCAAGGAATACCACACAGTCACACCTCACACAAGAGATTTATGGGGAAAGACACAAGAGGGTGGCTGCCTCTGTCAAGAATCAGCAAAGAACTGAGAGGCAGGCTTTATGTAGGGTTTCTGGGGGGCAGAGCTATCCAGGGTGGGGACTGGTGGGATTTCAAGTCTTGAGCTTGGAGTTAGCTCAGGGATTAATGGGATTTTGAGCTCAGGGATTGGTAGGATTTCAAGCCCTGAGTTTGGGCATTTTATTCTGTAGGACAGAGCTTGGCCACCTGCATCTTGAGGGGATGGGCCAGGCCATTGTGGCCTTGAGAGTGTTCTGTGAGCAAAGCCTGGTAGTTGGAGGTCCTCAGGGGTGGGGCCTGACAACTCACCTGACTTGAGGAGCTTATAGGTAATAGGAACTGAACTTAGGTCCTCTGCAAAAGCAGTATGTGCTCTTAAATGCTGAGCCATCTCTTCAGCCCTATCCTTTACCTTTCATTCCCCAGATAATTATGGATACTTTATTAGTCACACCAAAGTGGAAGGTCTAATTTAAAAGGGAGTATCAAAATCTTTTAAAATGTTGCCCCCCAGGGGGCCCTGGAGAGATGGCTTAGTGCTTAAGAACACTTGCTGGTTCAATACCCAGCACCAAGGAGGCTAACAACTGTCTGTAACTCCGGTTCCAAAGAATCTCTGGCCTCCACATGCACTGCATGTATATGGTACACACACTCAGACAGGCAAAATAGCAGTACACATTAAAAATAAAAAAAAAAAATCCTTTTTAAAAATAAAATAATAGCCAGGCATGGTGATGCACACCTTTAATCCCAGCACACAGGAGACAGAAGCAGGTCAATCTATGTGAGTTCAATGCCAGCCTGGTCTACAGAGTGAGTTCCTAATAACTAAGGCTGTTACACAGAGAAACCCTATCTCAAAAAAACAAAATAAATAAACAAATAAATTGATTAACTAATTAAATAAAATCTTGCCACTCATATGACCTACCAAATCTAGCTATATTGTCTTAGAATAAAAAAAAATATGGCGTACATTTAAAATTTTGCCAAGTTTTATGTTTATATTTATAGGAAATCACACAATATCCACTACTTAGGGTCGAATAACTTAATAGGGCATACTTCATGACAATGAAATATTTTTAGCAAAATGCTACAGATCTGGACTGGTAAAAGCACTTACCATCAAGACTGAAGAACTTCAGAACCTATGTGGTAGAGGGAGAGAACAGACCCAAGTCTTTCTCTAGCCTTCACATGTAGTATGCACCCCCTACAACAGAGATATATACATGAATGAAAGTGTCTTTACGAACAATGCATTTCTAGCCATGCATGGTGACACATGCCCATAAAGCTGGCAGTCAAGAGTTTGGCCTACATAATCAAACTTTATTCCCCACTCCCCCCACCCCCCCACCCCCTCGGCGGCAAAAGAGATACAGTTTTTATGTAGACAAATAGCCTGAATACATTGTTATACTAAAAACAAACAGACAACAACAGCAAACAAATGCAAAACAGTTAAACAGAGCGTCTTAATACATGCCCAGAGGGCCAGCCTGGTCTGTAAGAGATATTTTAGGCCAGTTTGTGTTGTACAGCAAAACAAGGGTCAGCCTGGCATGCATAGAGACTTTGTCTCAATCAGCTAGAAACCCACAAAACACAAAAGAAAAAGTTATTAAAAAACAAAAACAGAATAGGCCAGGCCGTGGCGGCACACGCCTTTAATCTCAGCACTGGGGAAGCAGAAGGCAGGCAGATCTCTGTGAGTCTGAGGCCAGTTTGGTCTACAGAATGAGTTCCAGGACAGCCAGAACTACACAGAGAAACCCTCTCTTGAAAGACCAAACAAAAACAAAATACTCCCATAATTTGTATTTTCTTATTTTAGTATAAAAACAATGCATGGGGTTAGGAGTCTATCTCATTGGTAAAACTCTTGCCTAGCCTGTGTGAGACCCTTAGATTCAGTCTATCACTACAAATCTAAATAAACAAAATGTATATAAAATTATGTAAGGCAATATATCAAAATGGTAACTGTAACTATCTTTTTATGGTGGAACTTATTAAACAACATTTGTTTCTTTTTTAAAGTAAATTTTGTTGTTGTTGATTGCTTGTTTGTTTGTTTGTTTGTTTAAGACAGGGTTTTCTGTGTAGCCCTGGCTGTCCTGTAACTCGCTCTAGACCAGCCTGGCCTAGAGCTCAGAGAGATCTGCTTGCTCTCTGCTTCCCCAGTGCTGGGATTAAAGGAATGTGCCTCCACTGCCGCTGCCACCACCACCACCTAGTTTAAGATTGTTTTTCTATGTATGTGAGTGTTTTGCCTACATGCCTGTATGTATGTGCCTGGTGCCTACGGAGGCCAGAAGAGGGTGCTAGATATCCTGGAATTGGAGTTACCAACATTGTAAACCACCATGTGAGTTCTGGGGACTGAACCCCAGTCCTGTAGTAACAAGTGATCTTAACCACTAGACCATCATCTCTCCAGCCTCTGTTTCTTTGGTTATACCTTCTCCTCCTTTTTGTGAAACTTTAATGATAAGAATGTATTGTTTGTGTCATTCTAACAAGAATGAAGATAAAGATAATGTGTAAGTAGTCCGGTTGCCACGCTGCATACTGGCATGCATTTGTCAGTAACTTCACTCATTCATTCATTCATTCATTCAGGGAACAGATATTTATGGCAATAATAATAAAGTCAGACCTTACCTTTGAGGATCATATTTCAAAACTATTAGATTCCCAAAGTGCTTTTTTCTTTACCATATTTACTAAGCATACAAATTTACTATAATCCCTGTAGTCATGTGATTTACTTTACAAATGCCCATGTTATTAAATACATTTAACCAGATTGGAATTGCTCAAAAGCAGGAGAATTTTCCTGTTTCTGATCTTTCCTGCATGTCCTCAAGCACTGTCACACATAGAACATACATTCCTGGGCTGCTGCTGACCGATGGCAGCAAAGGAGAGTAAGACGTCTATGGGAGAACAAAGAGAGCAAGGGGATGGTTTGGCCTTCATCCGCTTGCAGCGTCTGCCCAAAAATGACTGTAGGGTGTCTTTTCTGTTTGGTTCTAGGTCTTATTTCTCCTTCAAAGGGACAGGCATATGTCCTTGGGTGTGAAGTTTCAAAAGACTTGGCTCAAGTTAGGAAGAGTCTGGGCTGGTGCCCACAACATGACATTTTATTTGATAACTTTACAGTAACCGACCATCTTTCTTTCTATGGTCAGGTGAGTTGATAATAATGGGTCTGTGTCCATTCCTGAAAATGGTAGGATAGACTATAACTCTCTGATTCATTTTGGGGGAGTACTTTCAAGGGAACATGCATAAGTTTCTCAATATTCTGACACCATTATGGGGAGGCAGTTTCCCATCCAGTCCAATTCTCTATACACTGACTGGGTGTCCTGTAATTCAGTTCTAATGCTACCTGGAGCTAGTATACCTCTCTCCTCCAGTTCAAGCACCCACACAAGACTACCTCCCACTTCAGATGCCACTGCAAATCCCAAGTTGTTCCCATAGCCTACTCCTTGGGTTGAATATCTTCTATGACTGCTCACAAAACTCAGGGAAACATTTACTTATAGTGACCAGTTCATTAAAAAAATGGACAAAATGAACACTCAGTTGAAGCAAATAGAGAAAGGTCTTTGAGAAGGAGAGCCTCCATGCTCCTTAGGAGCACAAACCCTTCCAGCTCTTTAGTGCATTTACCAACCCAGAAACTCCAAGCTTAGCAGCTTAAAGACTTTTATACAAGATTTTTTATGTAGGCATGATGGATTATTTATCCAGTGTCCCTGGAGGATGGGAGTAGAGCTTTGGATCATGGCTTGGTCTTTCTGATGACCAGCCCCAACTCCTAAAGCTATCCAGTGGCATGCTGAGAGTCACCTCAGTAGAACAAGAATTACACCCTTTCATTCAGATAATTCTAGGGAATTAAGGTTTTCTCTGTAGCAAGGAAAATCAAGTATCAAATTAAAAATCATATTAGGACAAAAGGACTACTAGAATCTTGATCAATTTTTTGTATTCAAGTTTTAATTTTTTATTGAGATAAAATGCACATCACATAAAATTTGCCATTGCATTCTTTTTTGTTTGTTTTGAGACAGAGTCTCATTATGTAGAACTTGCTATGTAGACCAGGCTAGACTCAAACTCACAGAGATCCACCTGCCTCCGCCTCCTGAGTGCTAAGATTACTGGTATTCACTGCTATGCCTAGAAATATTTCTATTAAGTCTTTGAGAATTTTATACAACGTATTTTGATCATATTCACTAAGCAACCCCCTCCTCCCATATCTCCCCTCCCTCCTAGAGTCCAGTTGGTGCTTCCCTACTACTCTTGTGAGCAGGGTCCATCCTGGAGCAGGACATTTGCACATATAAACTCATAGCACTATGTCCAAGACCAGCGCCAGCACAGAGGTGGGGGGGGGGGGGGGGCACAAAATCCCACTACTTGGCCTTTCTGACATCCTGACTATGCTGCGTCTTGGAGACGTTCTTCTCTGGTTGTGTCTGTTTGAAGTTGTGTGTACCCTTTGTGGTTGGATGTCTACTTCTCTGTTTGGAAAGTTTTCTGCTATAATTTCATTAAATAATCTGTTTATTACATTTGATTTACCTCTGTTCCTTCTTCAATACCATGAATTATTATGGTTGACTTTTTGAATGTATCCCAGATTGCTTGGAAATTTCATTCATGCTCCTTAGTTCCCACCCCATGATCTGCTAGTATTTTTGTCTATACTTGGTCCTCCATCACTGAAATTCATCCTTCTGTGTGGTCTTGTATGTTAATGATGGTGTCTGTTGTGACTTTTATTTGATTGACTATCTCCTTCATTTCAGGTATCTCTATTTGGCTTTTCTTTAAGGTTTCAATCTCTTTACTGAGTTTTCCTCCATATTTTGGACTTTTCCTCCAGTTTAATGACTGTCTCATTCACTTTGAAGACTGTGTTGTTAAGGTCTTAGATAGATTTTTCTTAGCTCGTGCATCTGTTTGAATCTTCTGTATGATCATTAATTCTTTTAAAAAGTAAGGCTTTGAATTCTTTCTCATACATTTCAGTTATGCCTGTAGTTTGGGGTTCCCTTATAGGGGAGCTGGTTGATTGGGAATGGGTTACGGCTGGTGGTTGTGTTATATTCTTTGTTTTGTTTTATACATCTATTGGAGTGGGGCTGTCTCTAAGTTTTGTTTTCTTCCTAAGTTTCCCTTTCTTCCAAGTTTATCTGGATGTTTTATTTTCTGTGACTCTTCCTAGAGGGATATCCACACGGAACTTGCTCTTGATTGTTGGATGGAGTTGCTGAGGCAATTTCATCTTGGCTGTGTGCCAACAGGACCAAAGGTAGGGCTGTACACTAAGCCATAAGACAACCAGATGGAGTCAAAACCTTGGCCAGCCCTTGAGTTCTGTGAACCCACTGGATGCAGGATACCAAACATCAGGCTCACTGGAGCCTATGTTCTATTTGGAGGCTGAGGTTAAGCCACAGGCCTGAAGTAACTCTTAGAACCACAGCATTAAAGACTGCCCCAGTCCTGCGATGGGCACTGGGGCCTCAGAAGTCAAAAGCACACTGACCATAGGGACCACTGGAACCAAAGCCCCAGTGTCTCAGGAAACCTGAGCACCCTGGAGCTGAAGCTCATACCCTGCACGGGCCTCTAAGGTCCCCGTGCTAGAGCTGGACATCAAGCCTCAAGGTGCTCTCCGGGCCCTCTGGAGAAGAAATCCTGCTCCTTCAGTGCCCTTGGGTCCCACGGAAACCAGAGGCCCAGATACAAGTACTCTCTGGTCCCAAAGAAACCAGACGCCTGATCCCTTAAAGTGGAGAGGCTATTTGTATTCTTCTTTGGAGAAATCTTTCTCCATACCCTTTTTTCATTTTTCAGTGAGTTGTTTATCCTTTAGTAATTTAGTTATGAGACATTTTTATTAGATGCAGGATACTAAACCTCTATCAAATAGATACGGTCTGTAGAAACTTTCTCCAATATTATCAATTGCCTTTATTTCCCATTTATTGGTAGTGAATTTTTTGATACACAAAGGTTTTGTTTTTATTGTTTACTTTCTTCTTTAGAGACAGGATCTTGCTATATATAGCCCAGGCTGACCTGAAACTTATAATCCTACTGCTTTAGCCTCCTGGGTGCTAGGTTTACAGACATGTGCCACCATGTTCTGCTAAAGCTTAAAGTCCTGTTTGTCTAATTCTAAAATTGGTTTCCTGTGCATAGGAAAACCATCTAGTATTTACATCTGTGTTTCTGTCTAACATTTCACGGCTTTCAAATTTAGGGCTCTGGCCCAGTAAGTCAACTCAGTGGGTAAAGCGTTTGCCACCAGGCCTGACAACCTGAGTTCAGTGCCCCAGGCCTCACATGGTAGAGGAGAGAACTACCTCTTATTACCACATATGCACCCCTGCATACACACGCACACACACACACACACACACACACACACACACACACACACACACACACTGAAATGACTCTTTCGGAGCTCAAGTGGTGGCTCAATGATTAAGAGCACTTGTTGCCCCTGTGGAGGACCCGAGTTGGGTTCCCAGCACCCCCATAGTGGTTCACAACCATCCATAGCTCCAGTTCTGGAGATCTGACTTCCTCTTCTGACCTCTGTGGATACCAAATATGCACATGGTCTACATATACACATGCAGGCAAAACACTCACACATAAAAAATAGAAATCTAATTTTTAAAAAAGAAAGAAAGACTCTTTTTTGGCTGAGTATGGTGGCACATGCCTGTCATCCCAGCACTTAGGAGGCAGAAGGATCACTGCAAGCCTGAGACTAACCTAGTTAGTCTGCATAGCAAAGACCAGGCTGCCAGAGCTATACAGAAAGAATTATCCTAAAAAAGTCTCAGTCTCCTTTGCCCTTGAATGGGAGCCACTGTACTCAGAATCTCAGTTCTATTCCATTTTTCTGTCTGTCTGTCTGTCTTTATGCAACTACCTTACTGTGGTATCACCGTGGCTTCACAGTGAGTCTTCCAACTTGACTCTTGTCTTCAAGACTGTTTTGATTATTTTGACTTCATTGCATTTCCATATGTGTTTAGGAACATGAGTTTTATCCATTTCTATAAAAAAAATTAATATGTTAAGGGCTACCAGAAGTTTGATAGGAATTAAATTTGTACTGTTCTTGGAATAGTAATAACATCTTAACATTATTAATAATATTAAAGTTTCCACTCCTTGAATATAAAATGTTTCTATTTATTTGGTTTTCTTTTAATTTCTTTCAATAATGTTTTATAGTTTTCCATGTACAATTTTGCTTTTACATGGTTAAATTTATTTTAGTGATACTAATGTAAACAGAACGTTTTTAGGTTGTTTATTGCTAGTGTAAAAAGACACAAACTTGTGGGTGAGGGATGTAGCTCACTTGATAGAGAGCTTGCCTAGCATGCATGACACCCTGCGTTCAATCCCCAGCACCTCAGGAAATCAAGTGTGTTGGTACAAACCTGTAATCTCAGCACTCTGAGAGGTAGAGGCAGGAGGATCAGAAATGCAGGGTCATGCGTGACACAGTCTACGAAAGGTCAGCCTGAACTAATGCCTCAAAAACTAAAACATGGGCTGGGAGATAGCTCAGCTGGAAAAGTACCAATGGCACAAGCCACCCACATAAAAGCTGAGCAGTCTGTCACCCCAGGCCTGGGGTGAGGTGGGTGGGGGGTGGTTTTGTAAGTGAAATGGGATAGGTGCTCATTGGTTTGCTAATCTAGCCAAAGGGCTCTAGATTTAGTGAGGGACTGTCTCACAAGATAAGATGGAAGAACAAAGAGAAAAAGAACAAAACACAGGAAGATAAGGTAGAGGGCAATAGTGGAAGACACTGACCTCTAGCCTACATGTACACATGCACAGGTATACCTGCATGCAAACATGTACATGCACACACACTCACCTCTAGCCTGCATGCATACATGCACCTGTGTACATGCATTCATTTGCAAATATGTACATATGTTAAACACATGTGCATGTACATAGGCACAAACACACAGACACAAGCATACAGATACACAGATGGACACACAGATGGACACAGACAGACACACACACACAAAAATGGTAGAAATACAAACTTGCACAAAGCTGGCTCTTCAGACCCGACCACCTCCTTTGTGTGACCTCTAATATGACCTGAGGACCTAGTGGTAACAAAGATGCTCCTGTCACTTAGAAAGTTCCAAGATTCAGAAAGTCCTTGCCAGGAACCAGGGACAAAGGCTGTATAAATTCTTTACTATAAACAATGATTTTTTTTTTTTTTTTTAAAGTCAGGCAGTGGTGACATATGCCTTTAATCCCAGCACTCAAGAGGCAGAGGCAGGTGGAGCTCTGAGTTTGAGGCCAGCCTGGGCTACAGAGTGAGTCCCAGGACATCCAGGGATACACAGAGAAACCCTGTCTCAAAAACAAAAACAAAGCAAAACAGTGATTTTTAAAAACATAGGTTGAAAAATCCTACTTAGTCATAATGTGGGGTTTTTTTTTTTATCTTTTTTTTTTAATTTATTTTAATTTATTTTGCAATACAATTCAGTTCTACATATCGGTCACGGATTCCCTTGTTCTCCCCCCTCCCGTCCCCCTCACCTTCCCCCCAACGCCCCCCCCCCCCCATTCCCATCTCCTCCAGGGCAAAGCCTTCCCCACAGACTGAGGTCAACCTGGTAGACTCAGTCTAGGTAGGTCTAGTCCCCTCCTCCCAGGCCGAGCCAAACAATCCTGCATAGGCCCCAGGTTTCAAACAGCCAACTCATGCAATGAGCACAAGATCTGGTCCCACTGCCTGGATGCCTCCCAAACAGATCAAGCCAATCAACTGTCTCACCCATTCGGAGGGCCTGATCCAGTGTGGACCCCTCAGCCATTGGTTCATAGTTCATGTGTTTCCATTCATTTGGCTATTTGTCCCTGTGCTTTATCCAACCTTGGTCTCAACAATTCTCGCTCATATAAACCCTCCTCATTCTCGTTAATTGGACTCCCAGAGATCCACCCAGGGCCTAGTCATGGATCTCTGCATCCAGATCCCTCAGTAGTTGGATGAGGTTTCTAGCACAACAATTAGGGTGTTTGGCCATCCCATCACCAGAGTAGGTCAGTTCGGGCTGTCTCTCGACCATTGCCGGCAGTCTGTTGTGTGGGTATCTTTGTGGATTTCTGTGGGCCTCTCTAGCACTTTGCTTCTTCCTGTTCTCATGTGGTCTTCATTTACCATGGTCTCCTATTCCTTGTTCTCCCTCTCTGTTGTTGATCCAGCTGGGATCTCCCGCTCCCCCAAGCTCTCTTTCCCTCGACCCTCGCCTTTCATTACCCCCACTCATGTCCAGGCTGTTCATGTAGATCTCATTCCATTTCTCTGTCATTGGGCGATCCCTGTGTCTTTCTTGGGGTCCTGTTTTCCGGGTAGCCTCCCTGGTGATGTGAGTAGCAGACAATTCATCCTTGTTTCATGTCTAGTATCCTGCTGTGAGTGAGTACATACCATGTTTGTCTTTCTGAGTCTGGGTTACCTCACTCAGGATGATTTTTTCTAGATCCATCCATTTGTCTGCAAACCTCATGATGCCATTGTTTTTTTCTGCTGAGTAGTATTCCATTGTGTATATGTACCACATTTTGTTTATCCATTCTTCAGTTGAAGGGCATCTGGGTTGTTTCCATGTTCTGGCTATTACAAACAATGCTGATATGAACATAGCTGAACAAGTGCTCTTATGGTGTGGTTGAGCAAATTCATATGGAAAAACAAAAAACCCAGGATAGCCAAAGGAATCCTGTACAATAACACAACTTCTGGAGGCATCACGATCCCTGACTTCAAGCTCTACTATAGAGCTACAGTAATAAAAAACAGCTTGGTACTGGCATAGAAACCGACATGTGGACCAATGGAATCGAATTGAAGACCCTGACATTAATCCGCACACCTATGAACATATAATTTTTGACAAAGAAGCCAAAAGTGCACAATGGAAAAAAGAAAGCATCTTCAACAAATGGTGCTGGCAAAACTGGATATCAACATGTAGAAGGCTACAAATAGATCCATATCTATCACCGTGCACAAAACTTAAGTCCAAGTGGATCAAGGACCTCAACATAAATCCAGCTACTCTGAACCTGCTAGAAGAGAAAGTAGGAAGTAGTCTTGAACGCATTGGCATTGAAGACTACTTCCTAAATAGAACACCAGTAGCACAGACTCTGAGAGAAACAATCAATCAATGGGACCTTTTGAAACTGAGAAGCTTTTGTAGAGCAAAGGATACGGTCAACAAGGCAAAGCGACAGCCTACAGAATGGGAAAAGATCTTCACCAACCCCACATCTGACAGAGGACTGATATCCAGAATATATAAGGAACTCAAGAAATTAGACATCAAAATGCCCAACAGTCCAATTAAGAAATGGGCTATAGAACTAAACAGAGAATTCTCAACAGAGGAAACTCAAATGGCCAAAAGACATTTAAGGAATTGCTCATCATCCCTAATCATCAGGGAAATGCAAATCAAAACAACTCTGAGATACCACCTTACGCCTGTCAGAATGGCTAAGATCAAAAACACTGAAGACACCTTATGCTGGAGAGGATGTGGAGCTAGGGGAACTCTCCTCCACTGCTGGTGGGAATGCAAGCTTGTACAACCACTTTGGAAATCAATATGGCGCTTTCTTAGAAAATTGGGAATCAATCTCCCCCAAGATCCTTGAACTCAGAGATTTGTCTGCCTGTGTCTCCCAAGTGCTGGAATTAAAGGTGTGTGCCACCACCAACTGGCTCATAATGTGTCTTTTTTTTACATGCTGATGTATTTATTTTTAAGTCATTTACTGTTATAGATGGATCCGCGGGCCCAAGGCCATTACCACACAACCCAAAGTATTTCAACAAGGCAAATAGTTTTGATTCCATAGAAGGGTAGGTAGCCATATCAAATCAAGCAAGCAAACATACACAGTGGAGGTCCTCTGTCTCAGCCTGAGTGGTCAGAAGCTGGCCTCACATTCGTTTTGTTTTGTTTTGTTTTGTTTTGTTTTGTTTTGAGACAGGGTTCCTCTGTGTAGCTTTGGAGCCTTTCCTGGAACTCACTCTGTAGATCAGGCTGGCCTCAAACTCAGAGATCTGCCTGCCTCTGCATTCTGAGTGCTGGGATTAAAGGCGTGCGCCACCACCGCCCACCTGGCCTCACATTCTTATATAGTTGGCTAATTAAAAAAGACACCACTGATAATCAAGTGCAGGATATGTTTTTGATCCTAGAAAAGTATTGATTGGCTGGGCATAGTGGCACATGCCTTTGCTCTCATCACTGGAGAGACAGAGGCAAGCAGAGCCTTGTGAGTTTGAGGCCAGCCTGGTGTACATAGTGAGTTCCTGGCCACCAGAGCTACATCGTGAGACCCTGTCTGAAAATAGGTATGGGGGGGGGGTGTTGATTCTTTGGAGAAATTTTTGCCAGATGGTTATCTTTGTAGATTTCTTTAAATATGGGATTTCCTTTGTCTCATTCAACCCTTTGATAGAAAAGAGTGCATTTCATTTACATTTCCCACATTTATTTATTCACTTACATAGTTCAAATTGTCCTTTGTCCCTTTCCCTGAAAATAATGTTTCTTACATATTTTTCTTGTCCGTATGTTATGTGTATCCAAGCAAAATGTTGACTAGACCTCTCGGCTCCCGTCAGTATCACTCGCTCTATATCCTCTCATTTCCTGCCTTTCAGTTGAAAGGCCTGTCTCGCCAGAACTGTCATGAAGAAATAGAAGAGATGCTTCCCCTCCTCGGTCTGAAGGACAAGTGGAACTCGCGGTGCAAGTTCCTGAGTTGGGGGATGAAGCGCAAGCTCTCACTTGGCATCGCCCTCATAGCTGGTTCTAAGGTATAGGGCAGGGGCCTGGCTTTGTGATGCAGCCAAGTCAGGCTCCCTACAAGGACAAACCCAGGGTGGTGAGGACATCTCGTCAACCCCCCAGCTGCAGCTGCAGCTGCACAGGGTCCCACAGCATGGCCAGCCTGGGCCTGGGATGTGGTTCTGTCAGGGTTGAAAGGCTTCACCCCTGCCCTTCCAGGTACTGATTCTGGACGAGCCTACCTCGGGCATGGACTCCACCTCCAGGAGGGCCATCTGGGACATTCTTCAGCAGCAGAAGAGTGACCGCATGATCCTACTGACCACCCATTTCATGGATGAAGCTGACCTGCTGGGGGACCGCGTGGCCATCATGGCCAAGGGGGAGCTACAGTGTTGTGGGTCGCCACCATTCCTCAAGCAAAAATATGGTGAGTAGTGGGCAGCGGGAGTCCAATTCAGCATCTGTCCTGTGACAGGTCAGTGCCACTCTCCACTGCCCTTGTGAAGGGCCCTGACCCTGGCTAGGCACAGTCTTCCCTAGACTTCCTATCTGTTGGTCCAGTGGAAGATCTTGTGAGAATGAGGAAGAAATGAAGTAAAAGCATCTTTGAGACTTAGAATCAGAAGACCCATGTTTATATTTCAGTTTGTCAATTTATTGCCTCTTCATCCAGGCACCAGGTTAGTTTATCCTTTCTTAGAATTTTTTTTTAAGATTTATTTATTTATTATGTATACAGCACGTATGACTGCAGGCCAGAAGAGGGCACCAGATCTCATTACAGATGGTTGTGAGCCACCATGTGGTTGCTGGGAATTGAACTCAGGACCTCTGGAAGAGCAGTCAGTGCTCTTAACCTTTAAGCCATCTCTCCAGCCTGTATTTTTTATTCTAATCTATAAAAGAGAGACAAACAAAGCCAAAGGCTCTCTGGTCCCTATTTCTCTCACAGCCCGTGTCTGACCCATCTGCAAATGTTGTTGGTCTTAATTTCAAAATATATATAGCAGCTGGGTGGTGGTGGCACACACCTTTAATCCAGCACTCAGGAGGCAGAGGCAGGCGGATCTCTGTGAGTTCGAGGCCAGCCTGGTCTAAAGAGTGAGTTCCAGGACAGTCAGGGCTGTTAAACAGAGAAGCCCTGTCTCAAAAAGAAACCAAAACAAAACAAATAAAACAAAACCAAAAAAATATATTAAGTTCTATCCATTTCTCTCAAATTTCTGGCCACGTTCTAGCATTCTGGTCTGGGTCACCATCTCCTCCTACTTGGATTATTACAGATGCCTCCTAGCCTATCTCTCTGTCTCTAATCTTATATCTTCTCACTCTGTTGTCAACCCAGTTGTCCAAGTGAGTACCTGATAATGCACAGCATTCTTATGTTCAGAATTCTACCCTTACCGTGTCCTTTATCACTGCATAGCACTTAGATTTGCCACCGTTCCATCTCCTGAAATAGAAGAAAAGACTCTAGAAAAGCATTGCAGAGCTTCTGAAGCCAGGTCATTGTGATTTAAACTGACCTCGTAAGATTTCCTTCTCTTTGCCCTAAATGTGTTCATTCTGAGATACAGGAAACTAAATATGGCCCAAGAAGAATAGTATAAAGAATAAGATGATTTCAATAGTCTTTTACATGGTATTTCAGGTGCAGGATATTATATGACTTTAATAAAAACACCTCTCTGTGATACAACGAAGCTTTCTAGTGTGATTTATTATCACATACCAGATGTAATCTTGGAGTCCAACATTGGAGAAGAAGTGATATTCATACTTCCTAAGGAGACCATGCCCAGGTATGGACCAAGATGCTAACACAGTCCACCATGGCCACAAAAATCCACATCCTTCACACATGCCCACATGCAAAATATAGTGTCTCCTGTTGCAGGATCAGCATAGGATTCAGGCTCCCATTATCTGAATTATGTCTATCATGGAACTTGGGTTCATCGGCTATGGTTCTTCTTGAAGACTTGTGAAATAGAGAGAGAGGTTATCTGATCCACATACACCCAATGAGCTGAGCATATAATGGCGATCATAGAGACATCATTCAAAAACAAATATAAAGGCAAATAGCACATATTAGACTTCAGCAATTCTAAATTCTGAGTGGACATGTGTCTCAAATTTCTGCTTTTTCTGAAACAGGGAATGCATATTGATGGTTCTGCTCCATAACAGGAGTTTTAATCAGCCATTGACTTCATCCACTGGCTGGTCACTCTATCTTTTGAATAATTATTTCTTCCTAAAAACTGGCTGATCCAGATGAATAGCTAGCTTCATCTGCCTGATCTTTGACTATAGAAGAGTGTCTAAGCTGGTATAATATAAGTACTTTGTAGGTGTCTTCTGTGTCAACTTATGAAACACACCTTTTTTAGACTAAAGCCACACTCAGTCTTCAAAACATGCCGTGCCATGTCACACTTATTCACAAATATGGTCTTTTCTGTCACTACAACTGAAATGTTGCCAAACCTTCTGCCACTAAATAACAACCTCCTCCCTGTTCTTCCAGTCTCGTCTGGACTTCTCTTGAAGCCCCTCTTGCCTTCACCTTACTGTCTTGTCCCAAAAACATGATGCATGTTCTAGAATCCAGAGGGTTTTACAGAGTTATAGTGCTTATGTTTCAAATTCTGAATCAGTTGTGTATTATTGAATAACAATGTAACTCAAACATTTCTGGCTTAAAGTGGCAACTATTTTAGTGTTTTTGTGTCCCCCCCCCCAGTACTGGAGAGTCAGTCCAGGGCCTTGCACATAAAAGGCAGGGTCTATAACTTTTGCCTACACCCCTGCCCCAGAAGTTCCTATCTGTTAGATGCCCTGAGCTGGAGAGTTTTTATGCTCCACATTAATTTTTTCTGGGCCTAGAATAATCTGGAATATCCAGGGTGGCTCCTTCTCACAATCTGGGAAAACGGTGCTGACTAACAACAGGGCGCTTACTGGAGCCGCTAAGTGTAGCTTCCAGTGCTCCTCAGTGACTCTCAAATGACCTGGGCTTCTCATCGCCTGGCAGGTAGAATCCAAGAAAAGGCATCCCAAGAGGGACTGAAAAGGAGGGGGGCAGTCACTCCTCTTTAGGCCTAGGCTCGGAAATACCAAAACCTCACTTTTGTACTAGATATATTTTAGATTTAGCCCCATAGGAACCTTCCAAAGCAAATACAAGTTTACAATCTATAGTTATAAAACTAGTGATAAAGCTGAGATCTGAACAGATGTCTTGACAGCAAACCCCATGTCTTCTCTGCTATAGAGAGCTCAGGGTGGTAAATGATTTGCCTTCCGTCTTTCAGAAATAAAACTTTTTTCCCCTGCTAGATTTGAAGCTTTATTTACTGACTTGGAACAGAAACAGACAGAGCTGGGAATCTCCGCTTTGGGAGTCTCTGTCACCACTATGGAGGAAGTGTTCATACGGTAAGCAAAAATAGAATAACTGGAAGGCTGGGGGGGGGGTGGCTCAAGTGGGTAAGGGCACTTGCTGTGCAGGCAAGAAGATGGGCTTGCTGGCTGACCAGCCTCGCAAAGAAACAGTAATCATCAGGCTCAGTGAGAGACCCTGTCTCAAGGGGCAAGATAGGAAGCAATAGAGGAAGACACCAGACATCTTAGGCTTGGAAGGGATCTTAAGCATCATCCATCTAAACATTACCCAATGCTTGACTCTTTTTCCTAATTGTCTTGCTGAATGGCCATCTAGCCTCTGAATAGTACTTTTGATCTAATAGGAAATTAGATAATAAGAGATTGTGCTAAATGTATTATCATTCAACAAACAAATTTTGGGGGGTCTCTGTGTATGACTGTCCTAGACCTCACTATTTAAACCAGACTGGCCTCGAGCTTACAAAGAGCTACCTGCCTCTGCCTCCTGAGTGCTGGGATTAAAGTTGTGTGCCACCCGCCTGGCCTAACAAATCTTTTCTTTTTTTTTTTTTTACTTTTTTGAGACAGGGTCTCACTATATAGTTTTAACTAGGTCTGAAACTCCCTATATGTATCAAGGTGGCCTCAAACTTGGGGTGGTCCTCCTGCCTCTGCTTCTTGAGCACTGGGATTGTAAGTGTATGTTACCAACCTGGCAACAATCATTTTATCAATTGAGATGCTTTTGCCTACAAGTGACATAATCTTGACTTAGCTGTTTTTAACAATGTGGAGAACTTATTACTTCCTTTACAAAGAATCCCCACGATTGAGCAGTTGTTGGGCTAACTGGTTTATCTACCAACCAATTTGTACACCCTGAGTCGGGAATGCAGGCTCAGTTTTAGGAAGACCTTGGTGGAATGCTGCTATCTACGGAGCTATACAGGGCCAGAGCTTGGCAAGGAGTCCAGGGGTGATTTTATTCAGTCTGGCAATGTTGGTCTTTTGATTCAAATGTGTAACTTACTTTACTTGATGTGCTTTACTATGGTTGTATATGATTTTTCTTTCCCATTTTTTGTTTCTTCCTTACTCTGTTTTCAACCACCCATACACACTTGTTGGAAATTAGATACCACACTTGTGTTATTTTAATAGATCAGCCTAGATGTTGAGATACAATATCTTTGTCAAAGGCTCAAAGAAATTGGAGTCTTTAGCCTGCTCTTGGAAAATACCAGGACCTTTAATTCACATGTTCCACCACTGTCAACTTATATATTATTATGCATTTAAATTCCGTATCTTTTTAGCCTGAGATACAAAATGATCTCGATTCTTACACACTTATCAGTGTCGTTCCTCTGCCTTATGTGCAGCACCACTGACCTGCATGCCTGCATGCTATAGTCCTGTAGCAGTTTTATTCTGGTGCCAAGCACTAGGTGTTTTGTTCTTGTTTTTCAAGATAGGAAACTTTTTTTTTGAGACAGGGGCTCACTATGCTGCCCTGGCTGGCCTGGAATTCGTGTATGCAGACCAGAATGGCCTTACATTCACAGAGATCACTTGCCTCTACTACTGGAGTGCTGGAATGAAAGGCATGTGCTACCATGCACAGCAGAAAAATATTTTTTTTTTAAAGATTTATTTATTTATTATGTATACAGCATGTATGACTGCAGGCCAGAAGAGGGCGCCAGATCTCTCATTGTAGATGGTTGTGAGCCACCATGTGGTTGCTGGGAATTGAACTCAGGACCTCTGGAAGAGCAGTCAGTGCTCTTAACCTCTGAGCCATCTCTCCAGCCCCAGAAAAATATTTTTGAAATAAGTAGTTTTATCTCTTTCCCCTTTTTGTGGTACTAGGTAGGGACTGCCTAGGATCTCTCCTACGTTAAGTGAGTGCAAATCACTGAGCCACATCTCTAGCTGTTTCTTCATATTTTTATGACCAGGGGTGTGTGTGTGTGTGTGTGTGTGTGTGTGTGTGTGTGTTCGTGTGTTCACTGGGAACTGAACTTAGGGTGTCATGAATATTAGGCAAGCATTATACCACTATATATTCTCAGTCCTCTCTCTATTTTAGTTTGAGGTAGAGTTTCACTAAGTTGAGTGGGCTGGCCTTGGAATAAATTTGAATGTATGATACCCTTCTCAAGATCCCCAAGCAGCAGGGATTACACCCATGCCTGCCTCACTAGCAGTTTTTTTGTTTGATTTTGGTTTTTGGTTTTTAGAGACAGGGTTTCTCTGTATAGCCCTGGCTGTCCTGGAACTCACTCTGTAGCCCAGGCTGCCCTCGAACTCTCAGAGATCCTCCTGCCTCTGCCTCCCGAGTGCTGGGATTAATGAATTGCACCACCACCACCCAGCTTTACTAGCAGTTTTTAATGAAAACGTTTTCATTTTTATGAAAGTTAATTTATACATTTCTGTCTTTCATAGACTTTTAAAATCTATCCTATTTTAAAAAATACTTGCCTTAGGGGATCACAAATATTTCCCCTATCTTTTCTTCCATGAACTTTATTATTTTAGTTTTAAATTAAGTATATATTCAACTAGTGATTATTTTGGGGTGTGACTTGATATAAAGTTGTCCATGTTCGTTTTCTTCTACATGGCTATCTAGTTGGGATACAAATATTTGTTGAAAAGATTTTTCTTTCCACATTGAATTATTTGGATTTCATCACCAAAAGTCAATTGACTTTAATTTTTCTACATTCCCAGTTCTGCTTCAAGGATCTGTTCTGTCCTAGATGCCAGTACCACATTGTTGGGATTGCTGTAGCTTTGCAGTGTGTTTTAGAGGCAGGTAGTCTGTAGTTTCTCCAGCCTTGTTCTAATTTTTAAGATTATTTTAGTTGCTATAGGTACTTTAATATAAACTTGCCAATTTCTGTGTTTTTAATTAATTATTTCTTTATTTAGTGTTTTGCCTCCATGTATGTCTGTGTAAAGGTGTCAGATCTTGGAGTTACAGGCAGTTGTGAGCTGCCATGGGGGTGCTGGGAATTGAACCTGGGTCCTCTGGAAGAGCAGTCAGTGCTCTTAACCACTGAGTCATCTCCCCAGCACCCCCCCCCCAATTTCTGTTTTTTAAAGAACCTGTTGGAATACTAGTCCATAATTTTTAACAGTGTACTACACTAATATAAGATGTTAATCATAGGGGAAGAGGAGGTACATGAAAAGCTCTCTGTACCTCCTGCTTTTAGACGGACCCAACAGCCTTGCTCTCACCTCCAGGTTCCTGCAACCCTTGCTAATAGCTAGAGAACATGCAGCCTCATGAAGCGCTTAAGGCAAAAACAAAACAATTAATTCACTCTCCATTTCTTCACCCACAGAAACTGTGAGATAATAAGTGTTTACAGTTGTTTTAAGCTGCCCAACTTTGATGATAATCTGTGTTGCAGTAATAAATAACAAATGTAGCACCTTTTATAAAACTGCTGAAGGAAAAATTAGCCACAACTAATTATGTCTTTTGTTAGGACAAATTCCCCAACAATAGAAAAATGACTCAAGGGTTATGAACAGAAATACATTACCTGGCAATGAACACTTTACTCTGTGAATAGGCTCATCTTTTTGCTTAGAGCAGGGGTCATCAGCAAACTATTCTTAAAAAGCTGCACTTGGGAGGCAGAGGCAGAGGATCTCTGTGAGTTCGAGGCCAGCCTGGTCTACAGAGTAAGTTCCAGTTCCAGGGCTACTCAGAGAAACCCTGTCTCAAGAAACCAAAAAAAAAACCCAAAAAAAAACAGAGCCAGATAGCATTTTATATATGTAAGCTTAAACAATCAGGATAGCGTGTGCATCCTTATGTAACTACCCAACATGTAACCACTTCAAAATGCAAAACCATTCTAAGTTCAGGATCACGAAAAAAGTAGGCTGCTCTGAACCACTAACCGGAGCTTGTTAAGCTCCTGATCTGTGATTTTTTTTTTGTATCTGGCTTTTGGTTTTTGGAAACAGAGGGTTTCTCTGTGTAGCCCTAGCTGTCCTGGAACGACTCACTTTGTAGACCAGGCTGGCCTTGAGCTCACAGAGATCCACCTGCCTCTGCCTCCCAAGTGCTGTGATTAAAGGCGTGTATAACATGAATCTTAAAAGATCTTATTAATAAAAAACAAAAAACAAAACAAAAAACCAGCAGCCAGATATTGGGGCGAAAGCTGAAAGATCAGAGGAACAGAACAAGCCACAGCCAACCTCACCTCGACAACTCCTCAGCTGATCCTGTTTCCTCAGACTTAAAGCCTCTGAGTCCTCACCCAAATGGATCTAAGCTTTACCCACTAGCTTACCTCTACAAAATCCTCAGTCTAAAGAGCGTGAGTTCCTGTTTCCTCATACCTTATATACCTTTTTCTGCCCCACATCTTACTTCTTGGGATTAAAGGTGTGTGCTTCCCAAACAAAGGCTGAGATCTCAAGTGTTGGGATTCAAGGTGTGTGCCACTACACCTGGCTCTGTTCCCAGTGTGGCCTTGAACTCACAGCGATCCAGACAGATCTCTGCCTCATGAGTGATAGGATAAAGGGTGTGTGCCACCACTGTCTGGCCTCTATGTCTAATCTAGTGACTGGCTCTGTCCTCTGATCCCCGGATAAGTATACAATATATTGGGATGCACACTATATCAGGCATGTGCCACCACTGCCTGGCCCATGGTCTGTAATCTTAATGGTGAAATGTTTTTAAATTTTAAATTTTGATTATAAGATTAACTAATATATTATTTTGTTTTAATTTTCATATAGTACTTTTCAAAACAAAGCAACAAAAATCTAATCATGATAGTGTTGCTTGAGATCTTTGGAAAAGACATTGGTGAGCTAACGCAGTGCTCAGTGCTTATAGAGGACCATGCTACCCGTTACACAACTTAGACATAGCTCCTTTCTTCATCGTTTTTCTTGTTCCAGCTCACCGTTTTTTCTAAATATTATATGAATTTCATTGCTTAAACACAAACAAAATGAAATGTATTGTGATTTTGAGACTGTATTTGCTTATGTTTTTGCTTTGGTTTAGAGTTTGTAAGTTGGCTGATTCTAGCACAAATATCTTAACCGAGAAGCGACCCTCTATTCAGCCTCATCCCCGAGTTCACAGAGTTCCTGTTGACAGAATTAAATATCTTCACTCAAGGATCTTTTCAATGCAGACTGGCCTGCCAATCAAACTAAATACTGGAGTAAGCAGTATATTGTGGTGGTATTTTACTTGTACTGAAATGTGATTTTAATTGTATGTTAATAAATAAAGTTGTCTGGGGGTCAGAGCTATTAGAGCCACATGCAAAAAAAATGTGGTTGAATTGATGGAATCATGCTATCATTCAAGAGCTGGGTTTAGTCTGGGTGTGGTAGTACATGCCTTTGATCCCAGCACTCAGGAGACAAAGGCAGACAGATCGCTGTGAGTTTGAGGCTAGCCTGGTCTACATAGTGAGTTTCAGGATAGCCAGGGCTATGTAGAGAGACCCTGTCTCAAAAAATAAAAATAATAAAAGAGCTGGGTTTAGTAACACATGCCTATAATCCCAGTGCTTGAGAGGCTGAAGCAGGAAGATTATGAGTTCCTGGCCAGCCTAGGCTACCTGTAGAGATCCTGTGTCAATAAAATAAGGTAAAGAATGGGTCCATGAGGCTTCAGCAGTGTCACACAGCCTGCTCTACTTCAAAGACAGAAATGTCTTAGGGTTACTGTTGCTGTGATGAAACACCATGACCAAGGCAGCTTATAAAAGAAAGCATTTAACTCACAGGAGATCTTCCCTTTCCCGGATGGAGACAGAAGAGGAGGGGATTGGAGCGGGGAGGGGGGAGTGGAACTGGGAGGGGAGAATTGGGGAGAGGCTGTAGCTGGGATGTAAAATACATAGATGAATAAGAAAAAAGAAAGCGGGCTGGAGAGATGGCTCAGAGGTTAAGAGCACTGACTGCTCTTCCAGAGGTCCTGAGTTCAATTCCCAGCAACCACATGGTGGCTCACAACCATCTGTAATGAGATCTGGTGCCCTCTTCTGGCATGCAGTCATACATGCTGTATACATAATAAATAAATAAATCTTTAAAAAAAAAGAAAGAAAAAAGAAAGCATTTAATTAGGGGCTTGCATACAGTTTCAGAGGATTAGTTCATTTCCATCATGGCAGAGAACATGGCAGCAAGCAGGCAGGCATGGCCCTGGAGTAGTAGCAGAGAGCTTACATCACGATCTGTAGGCAGGAGGCAGAGACAGACAGACAGACAGACAGACTAGGCCTGGTATAGGCTTTTGAAACCTCAAAGCCCACCCTCATTGACACACCCCCTCTGACAAGGCCACACCTCCTAGTCCTTCCTAAACAGTCCACCAACTGGGAACCAAACATTCAAATATATGGAGCCTATGGAGGCCATTCTCATTCAAACCACCACAAGTGATAATTAACCCAATAGAAGAATAGTATCCAAAAACATCCTAGCAGGGGTCTGGCCATTCTTCATCAGGTAAGATATTGAAAGAACTACTTGTACAGGCCAGAATCCATAATCTTTGCACTGTGCAGTAAGTCATGTGTTGTACCACATAGAATTCAGAGTTTAGAAAGTGTATTTATAATCCCAACTTGTGTGAGGATGACAGAAAAATATTCTAAGGTTGAAACTAGCCTGGGCTTTCTAGAGAGACTTTTGTAAAAAATATTACATGTATATGTACACATACCCTTATGAAATACATGAGAAATCTATGTATTTTCTTTTTTTTTTTTTTTTTTTTTTTTGGTTTTTCGAGACAGGGTTTCTCTGTGTAGCTTTGCGCCTTTCCTGGAACTCACTTGGTAGCCCAGGCTGGCCTCGAACTCACAGAGATCCGCCTGGCTCTGCCTCCCAAGTGCTGGGATTAAAGGCGTGCGCCACCACTGCCCGGCTGTATTTTCTTAATATTGGAAAATAATATTAATATACATTTTATAAAGTAGTTTTCATTTAGCTGTCAACAGTATTAGTATAAAACAAAATTATGGGTTAGAGATAACCTAGTTTCACAGTCATGACCACATGGTAATGGGGAAGTTATCATCCATAAAGCCAGTGTCTGGGGTTGGGGTCAACCATCTGCCTCTTAAAATCCTTAGCAAGGTGTCATCTGGTGCCATGTGGCCATGGTGTGTCTTTGAAGGTACCTCCCCTGACCTTCTTATAAAGTACTTCTATGTCTGTCCTCAGATCAGTTTTAACAGACCTTTGGAGAATGTTGAAGGTAAGTGTCCATCACATCAAGGGTAGAAAACTCAGATAATGTTTGGTTGAGACCTCTAGTGACTTGTTGATATTTTAGGCCAGGAATTTGGAATGCCTGATTTAAACTTGAGGCCTCTTTTCACAGGGGCTCCTAGGCAGAGGGCTGTGTGTATAAGCACTGGAACCTGGTTTTGAAGGCCCTTTCATGCATCCTCAGCCATGCTGCCCCCCAGAGAAGCCAAGTGAGCACATGGAGCGCTAACCCAGGAGGCTTCCCACTCCAGGCTCGGTGTCCTCTCCTTGGACCTCGGGGCATATAGCTATATATTTTGATTTTGACTATCATTGCCACCAGGACATGTTTATGGGTCCTTCCTATTTATACAAATTATCTGACTAGAAATAGAACATGTAAGTTAAAGATTACTTCAAAATTAAGTTCATCTTGAGATTTTTTTTTTTTTTTGAGATAAGGTTCCACTATGTAGCCCTGGCTGGCCTGGAATTCACTATGCAGACCAGGATGGCCTTGAACTCATAGAGATATTCCTGCCTTTGCCTCCTAAATGCTGGAATTAAAAGTGTGTGTCACCCTGCAAGAATTTTTTAAAGAGTTATTTATTTTTATGTGTATGATGCTTTGCCTGCATGTATGTCTGTACACCACATGTGTGCCTGGTGTTCATGGAGGTCAGAAGAAGGTATCAGATTTCCTGGAACTGGAGTTACAGATGGTTGTGAGTCACCATGTGGGTACTGGGAAGTGAACCTGGATCCTCTGGAAGAGCAGCCAATGCTCTTAACTAATGAGCCATCTCTCCAGCACCCCACCACCACCACCAAATTTTTTTAAGTTGTAACAAATGAAACATCCACCAATGAAATATAGCAAATGAAAATCCACCAATCCACCATATTTTCATTAAATTTAAATTTTTACAAGTTAGGAAAAAATGCTATCGTTTATATATGGTATCTGAAGTACCGTAAGTTCTACCTCCAGAAGTGTTCCAATTGGTACTTCCTCTTGCTGCTAGTTAGCAGGATGGAATATAAAGCATCTTAATCTGAAGCACATCTGAACACAACTGGAAAGTGGGATGTAAAGTAAAGGGCTGTAAGGTGGGAGCAGAAGGCTCCTCGGTGCTTCCAGCTTCTGCCACTCTGCTGATGCAGCATCTACCTTCTCTTTTAACTGTAGCTCTGTCTTCTCTGCCAACAATTCTATGCCATGCTCCTGAAAAAGGTCACATATTCTCAACGCAACTGGAGGTTGATGCTGTTTGTGCAGATTCTGCTGCCTCTGCTGATCATTGCGTTAAGCCTCACTTTTTTTGACTTCAAATTAAAGAAAATGGAAAACGTACCCTTGGAGCTGACTTTAAAAACATATGGTCAGACAATTGTTCCATTTTTTGTTTCTGACAATTCCCTCTTGGGTCCTCAACTTTCGGATAAATTTATAAAGATGCTTGTGGCTGCAGGACAGATTCCTTTGTATATTCAAGGTAAGCATCAGGACGAGGGAGCTGCACAGGAAGTAGGCCTGTTTTTCTTTTCAGGGAAGCTGCATCTTTCTGGACCACATAGTGCTCTTGGAAGTCAGACTGAAATTCCAGAAAGTCAGGGAAACATCATTTAGACTCTGGATAACAAGAAGTGAAGGACTTCTAGAGACGAGACCATTGTGTCTGCAGAGCTTATGGAGTCTTTTCTGTTTGTTTGTTTGTTTGTTTTGTTCAGGACAGGGTTTCTGTGTTTATCACTGGCTGTCCTGGAACTCACTCTGTAGACCAGGCTGGACTCGAACTCAGAGATCCTCCTGCTTCTGCCTCCTGAGGGCTGGGATTAAAGGTGTGTGCTGCCACTGCCTGGCCAAGGTTGTAGAGTCTTAAGAAATTGTTCATAGTGGAAGATCTTCAGGTCATTGATAGCACATTCCTGAAGGGGATGGAGCTATCCCAGACCCTTCCTCATCCTTCTCCACTTTCCACCCATGAGGAGACAAGTTTGCACTTCCACACACTCCTTTCATGATATTTCACCACAGGCCTCAATGCAACAGGGCCGACTAACCATGAATTGAACCATTAACCCAAACAAACCTTTCTCTTAGGTATTTGTTATGGTGACAGAAAGCTGGCTTAACACACTATGCTTCTCAAAGCTTCAGTTTCTTCATACATGAACTTGGGAGAACCCTTTTGTGCAGGTTCGCTGGGGAGGTTTTTTTTTTTTTTTTTTTTTTTTTGGTTTTTCGAGACAGGGTTTCTTTGTGTAGCTTTGTGAGCTGGGGAGGTTTTATAATGAACATTTTGTATAGTTGGTGTCCAATGTAATAATGTCATTTTTTTAAAGATCACTAAAGGTCTTTTTCAGCTTTAAAAGTATAGGTAGGTTGTATGTGAGATGTGGCACTATGAATTGAGAATATAATCATAAACAGAATTAGTGCCAGCCCTCAAGGAACTTCTAAGCAAGAGGCCTAGTTCTGATATGTAGTTCCAGAACTAGTAGCAATGATTACAATCTCAGCTCGGGAGGATCCAAGGAAACCCCACAGTCAGAGCCTGCCAACTGATTGGCTTGGCTAGTGGGAAGGGCAGATAACCAAAGACATTCCAAACAGCATGAACCTGCATGCTTAAGGGACTCATTGGTGTTGAGAGAATCTAAAGACACGAGGCCAAGAGTCTGGATAGTGATTAGATAGTTTTATCTTATTCTGTCAGAATGCAACAGGAAAGAAAATAGAGGTTTATTCTGGCACATGGTGCCAAAAGTTAAGAAGTTCAAGAGTGAGGTATCATCTGTCGGCTTCTGAGGAGAGCTTCACATTGTGTGTTGGAACATGGTGGACAGGAGGAAGGAATTTCATGGTAGGAAGGAGAAGCTGAATCCACTGACATAATAGCACACTCTTGCCATAACCAACCACCTCCAGAGAAGTAACCCACTCCTGCTAGAGCAGGAATAACCCCGAAGGGTGAAGCATCCAACCACACAGTCATCCACGTCAGAGTGCTCATCACCTTCCTGTTCATTACACCAAGACTGACTTTCTATGTAACTCATAGGGAACAAACTCCATCCAAAACCTAACATAGAAAATGGGTTCTAAGCCAGGCATGGTAGCACATGCTTTTAGTCTCAGCACTCAGGAGGCAGAGGCAGGCCAATCTCTGTGAATTTCAGGCCAGCCTGGGCTACATAGTGAGAACTTGTCTCAAAAACAAACAACAACAAAAACAAAACAGAAAGTGCACTTTATAGTATGTGGATGTGTGGCTTTGCCTAGAGGTCAGAGTCACTGCAAGCTGGTAGGTCTGAGTATACTATTATTAGGTGTGTCCTTTTGCACCAGGTACAGAGATATTATATAGATGGTGAAGAGTTTTGTTTGGGACCACATGGTCCAGGAAGACATTATGGGGCTAGACGTATTGAGATGGTAGTAAGGAAAAAAGTAGTTGGAATTCAAAAGGACTTAAAAGATGGAAATTTGGAGATCATCTGGAATTCAATATGGAGCAGGGCAGGAGAAGGCCAGCCTTTGGATGTATGTGAGGTTGGTGGTGGGGAACCCAGAAGGAACAGAAGATTGGGAGTGTCGGGGGGGGGGGGGCGGCTCATGACGGATGCACTGTATGCCTGGTGTGATATTTTCTCAGCAATTCTTACTGCCCAATGTACCTTTGGCTCCCTTCTAGGTCCTGTAGAGGACTTCCTACTGAAAAAGGCAAAAGAGAGCCCTGAGGACTTTGATAAGCTCTATGTGGTGGCAGCTTCTTTTGAAGACGTGAATAACCGCACCATAGTGAAGGCACTGTTCAACAACCAGGCATACCATTCCCCTGGCCTGGCTCTGACTCTGGTGGACAATTTTCTCTTCAAGTTGCTTTCTGGTGCCAATGCTTCCATTACCACAACCAACTACCCTCAACCTCTGACGGCCGAAGAGCTCTCAGAGAGTGTCTTGTACCAGTACGTGCGACTTCCCCCAGCCTCAAGCCTACACATCTGTAGGGACTCTCGCTTTCCCGCTATTTCTTTCTTTGTCTCATTTTAATTCCAAATGATTGTTTTGGAAGAAGGCTGCGATTCACAGTTTTACTTAAACTTCTGTCTCACGTTCTGTCTTTTACAGGGGCCCTAAAGGACATTACCTTGTTGTCAACTTTCTTTTTGGAATAGCTTTCCTGTCAAGCTCTTTCTCCATCTTGACAGTCACAGAGAAGAACATCAAGTCTAAGCACATCCAGTTTGTAAGCGGCGTCAGTGCGGTTGCGTTCTGGCTCTCCGCTCTGCTGTGGGATCTCATTTCTTTCCTTGTCCCCACTCTCCTGCTAGTGGTGAGTACTGGGTGGCACTGGGGTCATTCCCTGGTACGGTCATTCCCTGGACCAGGGACTCCCCTTAAAGCCCCATATGCAGAACCAGCTGGGAAGTTCAAGTGGGAGCCAGCCCTGACTAGACAGGTGGATACGAAAGCTCTTTCATCACCATCCCTGGTACGAGTTCATTTAGCTTTGATGTCTTCAGGAATGGGGTACCTTGCTCTGTGGTGTTTATGTGGCACCCACAGAGCTGCTGCCTCCAGTCAAGGAGAAACAATGTTTTGGAGATATGTATGTATTATTCAGAAGTAGATAGTCAGAGAACAGGCGTTGACGTATTTGGTTGTGATGGAATCAAGTAGTCCGAGGGCGCCCTGAGTATTTTGTGCAGAGTGGGTCATCCCCTGCTTTGTTCTCTGTGTTTCATAAGCACCTCTTCATCCTACTTCACTGCGTCACTGACACTCCGGGCAGTCCCTGAGAGCCGATCTCAGAGTCTGCGCTTTAGTTCATGAGTGAATGCTTGTGAAGTATTGTTAACGGCTTGCTTTAAAACCTGAGATTATGAGCCTGGGAGATGGCTCGGGGAGTAAATGTATTTGCTCACAGGCCTTATGACCTGAGTTTAATCTCTAGATCATGCAAGATGGCAGGAAGAACCAACTCTAGAGAGTTGTCCTCTGTCCTCCACACACACATCCCTGGCGCACAAGCAGTAACTCCACCCCATCCCCACAGATACATGAATTAAGTAAAGCTGAAATGACTGTATTACTAGCACTTAGAATGAACACTCACTGATGTTTCCCAAATTTTCCCTCTCTCCTTTCTTCAGTTGGTGTTTTTCTGGTATAAGGAAGAAGCTTTTGCCCATCCTGAGAGCACCCCAGCAGTGGTCTTGATAATGATGCTCTACGGCTGGGCTGTCATCCCTTTCATCTACACAGTCAGCTTCTCTTTTAAAACTCCTGGGAATGCATGTGCTAAGCTTGTGGTAATGCTCACCTTCTTGAGCATCGGTCCCCTTGTGCTTGTCACGGTCACAAGTGATAAAGGTGAGATCACATCTATGTTTCTCGTAAACCTCTCCTCTAACAGCCCCAGTGGTTACACCCTCAAAAATGTGTGTCTACCAAAGACCCGTGAGAAAATGTTCACAGCTGCCGTGGGCTGAAGATTCCCAGCTGGAGTGTGCCAAACACATCTCCACAGTGGACGGACAAACAGTTCAATCAAATTCACTCAGTAGATTATTGCTCAGCTTTAAAAAGGAACCACATGGAGCTAAAGAGTCTGCTATGTGTTGTGTGAAGTCCATGAACAGACAAAGTTAATCTTGGAAACAGAATCAGAAAAGGGGCTGCTTTTGGGTTGTGGGGAAAGGGCTGACTAAAGGAACCACACACTAGGGGACCGTGGGAATGAAGAGGTCTTCTTGATCAGGAACTGGGCACTACTTTACATGGCTGTACACACTTACTAATCATTGTTCACCTGGGATCCATGCACTTCACTAAAATGTAGTGTTCTTTACTTCTAATTGAAGGTAATGAGTCAATTAATAAGTCAACATTGGAGGAAGGCTTCCTGGTAAGCAAAAGAAACTAAGATTGAGTCATTATTTACAACTACACCTGAAACTGGCATCTTCACGTTTGTGCTACCATCTCTGCATCAGGGTTGGACAAAAATGACTTGATATGTTACCTTCTACAATGCTCTTTTTATTAAGATTTATTTTATTATCATGTGTATGTGTCCGTGTTTTTCTGTGTGAATGTGCACAAAATTGGGGGGTTCACATGGAGGTCAGAAGAGGGACCCAGATCCTCTGGAACTATGGTGACAAGTGATTGTCAGCTGTCTGACATAGTTGCTGAGACCCAAACTCCAGTCGTCTGTAAGAGTGGAAAGTTCTTAACTGCTGACCCTCTCTCCAGCCCCTGCGATGCTCCTGTTCACTTGCATTTATGCCTCACAACTTCAGGTTGACTTTTCTTCCCTTCCTCTTTTTTCTTTTTTCTTTTCTTTTGTTTGTTTTGTTTTCAAAGCAAGGTTTCTCTGTGTAACAGCCCTGGCTGTCCTGGAACTTGCTTTATAGACCAGGCTGGCCTCAAACTCACAGAGATCCGCCTGCCTCTGCCTCCCAAGTGCTGGGATTAAAGGCATGCACCACCACAGCCCGGCCCTTTACTTTATTTTTAAAAGTAATTTTTATTTGGGGGTTTGGTGAGATGGATCAGCAGTTAACAACATTGGCTGCTCTTCTAGAGAACCCAGGTTTTGTTTCCAGCACCTACATGGTGGTTCACAAATGTCTGTAACTCCAGTCCCAGGAGGTCAAGGGTACTGAAAATATGCACAGGCAAAACACTCATACACATAAAAATTAAGAAGAATTATTTTATGTGCATAAATGTTTTCCTGAATGTCTGTATGTACATCACTTGCTTGACTGGTACCCACAGAGGCCATCAAGGAGTGTCAGATTCCTTGAAACTGGAGTTAGAGTGCTGTGAGCTGCCATGTGGGTGCTGGGAACCAAATCCAGATCCCCTGTAAGAGCAGCGAGTGCCCTAACCACTGAGCTATCTCTCCAGCCCTGATCCTTATTTTTTACTTAAAATTTGGTTTACAATTCCCCTTTTATTTGGGGAGTTTTCCTCTTTCCTAAGGGACACTTCATGGCAATTTAGTCTCCATAAACTATGGAGGAAGGGATCATATACCCCTTCTGACTGCAAGATGACACTCCAGAGCTGGGAACATGGTAGAGTACTTGCTGGACATGTATGAGGCCCTAGCTTCCATCCTCAGTACTGGGGGAAATAAGACACTAGAACAGCTCCAGACTGGCTCCTATGCCCTGCTCCATCTGTCTCAGCTCACCTCCAACCCGTACCCTCTGCCTTTCCTCCTCTGTTCACCCAGCCCTCCTGTAGCCATGCCCCCTCAGATTTTCTCAGACAACGTGCTCTTCAGGTTCGCCTACCAGAACAAGGATGTGGAAATAAAGAGACAAAGTGAAGGAACTAAGCAAAGAAAAGTTCTGGTGGCCTAGAGGCTGAATGACTAGAGGGAGAGTCAACACCAGGAGTCAGGGAAAACAGGTTTCTGGTGGAGACCTGAGAGTATGATGGTCTGGACTAAAGTGAGTGAGGAGGGATGGTGAAGTGGGCACTTTGACTCATGCAAGTGAAATCCATACTTTCTGTTCTCTTTGCAGACCTTGGCTATGCAGAACTCTCAGACTCCTTGGATTATATTTTCCTAATATTTCCTGGACATTGCCTGGGAATGGCTTTTTCCAACTTGTACTATAACTTTGAACTAAAAAAGCTTTGCAATGCTAAGAACTTGAGTGACATTGACTGCAATGATGTTTGTAAGTATTATAAATGAAATTTGCTGGTAACAGTTTTATTTATTTTTATTTCATGTGCATAGGTGTTTTGCTTGCAAATCTGTCTGTATAAGGGTATGGGATGCCCTGGAACTGGAGCTACAGACAGTTGTGAACTGTCATGTGGGTGCTAGGAATTGAACCCAAGTCCTCTGGAAGAGCTGCCAGTGCTCTTAACCACTGAGCCATCTTTCCAGCCTCTATGCTGATAACATTTTTATACTGATATTATTTATATGATATGATTTTTTGTTGTTTTTTTGAGACAGGGTTTCTCTGTGTAGCCCTGGCTGTCCTGGAACTCACTCTGTAGACTAGGTTGGCCTCAAACTCACAGAGATCCACCTGTCTCTGCCTCCTGAGGGCTGGGATTAAAGGTGTGCGCAACCACTACCCAAATGATTTGTCTTTTTTGAGACAAAGTCTCTCTATGTATCCCTGACTGTCCGGGAACTCACTATTTAGACCAGGCTAGCCTTGAACTTGCAAAGATTTGCCTAATTACAGGCATGTACCACCCCACCAAGCTATAATTCATTGTAACATTCATCTTTTATATGAAATGACATAGTATTTGCATATAAGGTATGCATATCTGAACACACCCACCTCCTCCGTGTGTGTGTGTGTGTGTGTGTGTGTGTGTGTGTGTGTGTGTGTGTGTTGCTCAGAATCTAACACAGAGCCTTGTGCGTACCAGGCAAGTGTTCTGCCACTGAACTATATTCAAGTCTGCTCTCACATACTTTAAATTATCTTTAAATTTCTTAAAACTGTTAATATAGTGTAAATGCTATGTAAATAGTAGTTACTCTATATTTAAGAATAACGACAAGGAAAAAAACTATAGATATTTAGTACAGATACAGCTTTTATTTTCGAAAAGTTTTGATACCCCCAATTTCTCATTGGTTGAACCCATGGATACAAAACCTAGGAATACAGAGAGATAACTGTACTTTGCCATTTTGTATAGGACTCAAGAATGTGTAGATTTTTGTGTGGATATGAACCACTGCCATGCTAAGGGAAGACAATAACCTACAGGTATACCAAAAGGAGACTAGTTAACAAATTGTGGTACACCTAGACAAAAGAAAATGATATAAGTATCAAAAGTGATTTTTTCTGTGTATTCTGTTTTTTCTTTTTCTTTTTTCTTCTTCTCTCTCTCTCTCTCTTTTTTTTTTGTTTTTGTTTTGTTTTTCAAACAGAGACAGGGTTTCTCTGTGTATTTTTAATGCCTGTCCTGAATCTCACTCTGTAGACCAGGCTAGCCTCAAACTCACAGAGATCCACCTGGCTCTGCCTCCTGAGTGCTGGGATTAAAGGTGTGAGCCATCACCTTTAATTTATCTGTATATTCTTATGTATGTGGTCAATGTCCATTATATATTAAGTGAAGTAAGTACATTGGAAAAGAAAATGCATAGTATTATTCCATTTTTATTTTAGAAGATAATATCTGGGCCAGTGAGATGGCTCAGTGCTTGCTGCCAAGTCTGATGACCTAAGTTTGACCCCTGGGACTCCCCTGGTAGAAGGAGAGGATGGACTCCCACAAGCTGTCTAACCTCCAAACTTGCTGTAGCATATGTGCCCCCTGCCCTATGCATACACACATGTGCACACAAATAAGTAAATAAACGTAATTTTACAAATTAAGGGCTAGAGAAATGGCTCAGCTGTTAAGAGCACTCACTGCTCTTCCAGAAGCTCTGAGTTCAATTCCTAGCACCCTCATAGTGACTAATAACTATTTGTAATTCCAACTCTAGGGAATGTTTTCTTTGGGTCTCTGTGACCCCAGGCACGCACATGATGATATACAGACACACATGCAGGCAAAACACCTATACACATAAAATAATAAAATAATTTTAATAAGATAGTATCTACAGGTTGAAGCTTAGTAGTAATTTGACTAATATGCTATAATGCCCTGGGTTGGAGCATCAATACTGAACAATAAATATAAATAATTATGCATGAAACTATGCAATTATTACAATGTTTAAGGAAATGAAAAGTATTTTCATTGCTTACTTCATTCTTTTTTATTTTTCCCCAATGAGCATATATTTATTGTATAATTTTAAAATACATATATTTACAAAAATTTAAGGCAGATCAGATAAAAAAGAGAATAGAGCCCTTCAGAGCTGGTTTTGTTTGGTTTGGTTTTGCAGTGCTAGATGAAACCCCTAGGGTGTCCTGCATGCTAAGCAAGTACTTTTCCACTGAGCTAACCCCCAACTCTCCTCCTGAGATCTTTCTATTGAGTGGTCAGTTCACTTGCAGGGGTTGAAAGAGCAATCAAACATATAAGTATTTTGTGTTTTAGATAAATGTCATATAAACAAGGAAAAGTCTCTTATTACTAATTTTTTGCCTCAAATATGATAAGCATGCTTTACCGCTGAGGGACTTTTTCAAATCCTTTTATTTCTTTTTTTAATGCTTGTTTTATTTATTTGATTTTTAAATTTTATTTTATGTGCATTGGTGTTTTAACTCCATGTATGTCTGTGTGAGGGTGTCAGACCTCCTGGAACTGGAGAGGAGACAGTTGTGAACTTCCGTGTGGGTGCTGGGAATTGAACTTAGATCCTCTGGAAGAGAAGCCAGGACTTTTAACTGCTGAGCCATCTCTCCAGCCTACTTTTATTTCTTTTTTTTTTTTTTTTTTTTTTTGGTTTTTCGAGACAGGGTTTCTCTGTGTAGCTTTGCGCCTTTCCTGGAACTCACTTGGTAGTCCAGGCTGGCCTCGAACTCACAGAGATCTGCCTGGCTCTGCCTCCCGAGTGCTGGGATTAAAGGCGTGCGCCACCACCGCCTGGCTACTTTTATTTCTTAATTGACAAAAATTATATGTAATTATACAATACAGCATGAGAAAAGTCTTTTATTACATTCTTTTTTAAAATCATGTTTTTATTTGTTCTTTGATAATTTCGTGAGATATTTTTCTTATTTTTCCCCTCCCCAAACTCCTTCCAGGTTTTCCTCTGTGTTCCTATCCACCCAACTTCCAGTTCTTTCTCTCTTAAAATAAACAAACAAACAACAAGCATAGGGTTCAGTTTGTGTCAGGGGATGACTTCCGAGCGTGAAGCCTGCCCGGCAGTGTGGTTGATACACCCAGTGTCACTCCACGGAAGAAACTCACTCTTCTTCCCAGCAGTTATCTTCTGCAAGTAGCTCCCTGGGTAGGGTGGAACGTCATGCCCACTTCTCCTCCTCTGTACTGGGATCTTGTCTGGCTTGAGCCCCTGCAGATCTTACGCATGCTGTCACTGCATCTCCCGCATTGTGTCGTCACCACCTCTAGCTCTTCTGTTTTTCTGCCCCTTCTTTTGCATAGATCACTGAGCCTTGAGGAGAAGGGTGAAATATAGGCATTCCAGTTAGGGCTGAGCCTTCCAAAGTTCTGCAGAGAACATAGTTGGTTTCTCTGCTAGTTATCATCTACTGCAAAAAGAACCTTCTCTGATGCATTGATTAGTGTGTATAACCGTATGCCATTAGGAGTCATTTGATTGCTACATTCATTTATAGTAGGTTTTCCCCTAGGGCTCATGACCCTATTTACTCACAAGTTCTTGGATGTTGTTTTGTTTGTTTGTTTGTTGTTGTTTTTAAGACAGTCTCTCACATATATCTCAGGATTCCCTGGAATTGCTAAATAGTCCAGAAAAGTCTCATGTTTATGACGATCTTCCCACCTTAGACTTCTAAGTACTGCGATTACAGGTGTGACCCACCATGCTCAGCAAATTGCATTGTTTTTATAGAGCATTGGTTACAGCAAGGGCAAAATATTCTCGCTTATCATTTGCTAGGATGTGGTGATAAGCATTGATGATGCTTCTTTTAGTAATATTTGTCACTATGGAAAATTGCTTGCTATATATAAAGACGAGGAATACTTTGAAAATCTCCAAAAAGGTGTGCTAACATCTGTTTATTTCTTATCAGCGGAAGGATATGTGGTCCAAAAGAACATCTATGCCTGGGAATCTCTGGGGATAGGGAAGTACCTGACTGCTTTGGCTTTCTTGGGACTTTTGTACATCATCCTGATTTTCCTCATTGAAGCCAATACATTCTCCATACTGAAATCCAGGCTTTCTGGCTTTTCTAGGAAAAAAAAATTGGTGAGTAAATAGAGGTGAAAGTCATGTAAAAACAGGTCAAGACCTGGCAGTGTTCTCAGCCTTCCCAATGCTGTGACCCTTTGATATAGTTCCTTATGTTGTAGTGACTCCCAAACATAAACTTACTTTCATTCCTATTTTATCACTGTGATTTTGCTACTGTTATGAATCCTAATGTAAATATCTGATATGCAGGATATCTGATATGCAACCCCTATGAAAGGGTCGTTTGACCTTCAAAGGGATCGCAACCCACAGGTTGAGAACCACTGCTCTAGAGCTTCCTTCCTGTGTTCTTTAGCTGTCTTGATTCTCCATATCAGAGGGATCCCAGAGCCCATCTGTTTAATCCCAGGGCAGAGAGGTGACAGCCCATGCCCAGAGACCTCCAGAGGAAGAGAAGAACCTGACTAGCCCCTTGAGACTCTGGTCCACAAATGGCCCCCTGGGGTGTTTTAAGGGCCAGCTCCTCAGCTGAATAGAAACAAGACCCTGGCTTGCTAGAACAACTCCCCTTGTGAAACACCCCCTCTGCAGTCAGCTATGAGCAGACTAGGGAAAGGCCTGTTCTGTTAGCCCCAAGAACCAACATCCTCCCGAGGAAACTGAAGGATACAGGCCTTTGTTACATCTTCACTTTCCTGGGCTTTAAATTTGTTTTCTTCAGCCGGGCAGTCGTGGCACACACCTTTAATCCCGGCACTCGGGCAGAGCCAGGCTGAGCTCTGTGAATTCCAGGCCAGCCTGATCTACAGAGCGAGATCCAGGACAGGCACCAAAAACTACACAGAGAAACCCAGTCTCGAAAAAACAAACAACAACAACAAAAATTGTTTTCTTCAAAAGCTGATGCTTTGTGATTTGCAAGCCTACCTCTTCATGGTCTCAGTACCTTCCTTTGGGGTGTACCCGAGAGGCCCAGTCCCTTCTGACTCCAGTCAAGTTCTGCCTTCTACCCTTGTAAATGTTACATGTCTACCCTTGTCTCGGGAACACAGGGAACATTCCTCAATGTAACAGAGCCAGAAGACGAAGATGTCCTAGATGAGACAGAAACCATCAAGTTTTATTTGGAAACATTACTAAAGAAAAATCCACTTATTGTTAAAGACGTGTCAAAGGTAAAGCTAGATTCAGCTTTGCTCCTTTATCTGTTTGTCTGTTTGATTTGGGACAGGGTCCTCCTAGGCAGCCTACATAGACCTTGAAGTCATGATCCTCCTACCCCTGCTTCCTGAATACTCTGATTGCAATCTTATAGTTGACTTTAGAAATCAAGATACTTTTCTTTTTTTGGTGGGGGTGGTTTCAAGACAGGGTTTCTCTGTGTAGCTTTGGTGCCTGTCCTGGATATCACTCTGTAGACCAGGCTGGCCTCGAACTCACAGAAATCTGCCTGGCTCTGCCTCCTGAGTGCTGGGATTCAAGGTGTGTGCTACTACTGGCTGGCAAAATGTTTTTATTTTATGTTTGAGTGTTTTGCCTGCATGTCTGTGCACTATGTGCATACCTGGTGCCCACAGAGGCCAGAATAAGGCATTACATCCCCTGGAACTGGACTATGGATGATCATGAGACACCGTGTGGGTGCTGGGAATTGAACCCAGGTCCTCTGGAAGAGCAGTCGGTGTTCTTAACTGCTAAGCCATCTGTTTCTCCCAAAAGATACTTTTCTTTTGGGCATTTTACACACAGAATCAACCTTCTCCTGGGCTTGTGGCCTGTCCACAGTGGCAGACGGGTTTCCAGGGAAGACAGACTTGGTGAGGTTTCTCTGCCTCAGAAGAAAGCACACCTGAGTTCATGTTATGCCCAGGGACAGAGCCTGTTGTACCTTTATTGTCCCTTCTGTGGTCACCTGGATAAAGAGAGGCCTGAGATAGTAGGGAATGAGAGCCATGCTTGCTAAAAACCTGAGAAAGAAGAGACATAGCCAGGCGGTGGTGGTGCACGCCTTTGATCCCAGCACTCAGGAGGCAGAGGCAGGTGGCTCTCTGTGAGTTCAAGTCCAGCCTGGTCTACAGAGTGAGTTCCAGGACAGGCACCAAAGCTACACAGAGAAACCCTGTCTCGAAAAACCAACAACAAACAGAAAAAAAAAAAGAACAGGAGCGCTGTGAGAGGCTTGACCCCCTTGTATCCAGATGACAACCGTACAGGTGCCAGGTGGGCTAAGGGTTCTGGGAACTAAATGGAGCCCCCAGGTTTCTCTGAGATTCCTAGGAAAAACTTCAAAATATCTTTCAAACATCCGGGTGTTTTATAGCATTTCCCCCCAGGTTTGTCAATCATGTTGTTTTCCTTCGGTATCTAGTGGTTAAAAAAACAGCAATGGTGGTGCATGCCTTTGATCCCAGCACTGCGGTGCCATGGACTAGTCTTTGTACGCTGTAAATATGTATTGCTCTCATTGTTAATAAAAAGCTGATTGGCCGATGACTAGGCAGGATTTGGGGGGCAGAGAGAGTGCTGGGAAGAAGGGCAGAGTCAGAGGAGTTGCCAGCCAGATGGAAAAGGAGGAGGACATGCAGGAGAGGTAAATGCCACGAAGCCTCAGGGCAGCACATAGATTAATAGAAATGGATTAATTTAAGTTGTAAGAGCTAGTTAGTAATAAGCCTGAGCTATTAGCCTAGTATTTATGAAAAATACTAAGTCTCTGAGTGGTTGTTTGGGAAGCAGCTGGCAGAACAGAGCTGATCACGATGCGGTCCTGAACAACAAAAACTCTGCCTACACTGGGGAGACAGAGGCAGGTAGATTTCTGAATTTGAAGTCAGCCTGGTCTACAGAGCAAGTTCTAGGACAGCTGGGGCTATATAGAGAAACCCTGTCTTGAAAAACAAAAACAAAAACAAACAAAAAACCAAACCAAACAAACAAAAAAACCCTTCAGCAACATCAAAGGGTTTTATTTGCTCGGGTACAAAGAGAAATGACTTACCTCCAAGAACTAAGTTCACAATGTGCAGGGGCTGTAGGAAGAAAGGGAACTTTATGAGACAGTGGCTGGAAGGAGACGATAGTCTGAGTTTGGGTCATAAGAAGCTGCTTACACCTGCTAGGTCGAGTGTGTAGTGGCTGCTGGATGCCAGCCTCCTCTCTGCATCTCTGCCTTGTGTCTCTCAGGTCTATAAAGAGAAGGTACCTGTGCTGGCTGTAAACAAGGTGTCCTTCACTGTTAATGAAAAAGAATGCTTTGGCCTTCTGGGCCTCAATGGAGCTGGGAAGACTTCCATTTTCAACATGCTGACTGGGGAGCAGCCCATCACTTCAGGAAATGCCTTTGTCAAGGGTTTCAATGTCAAGTCTGACCTAGTGAAGGTAGGTGTGGCCTGCAACAAATCTTGGGGACTGATACAGGATTCAGGGTCATGAAGCTTAGAACTTGATCTCTAAAATGTCCATGTGTCTCTTTCATTTGTAACCCCCAGATCTAAATGCATCTTAGATGTTCCTCTGAACTCTAGGTCAGATGTCTAGTTGCTTACATAACACTACCTCTCAAGTGCCTACAGGAACCGCAGTGACCCCCCATAGCATCTCCACTCCCTCGTCTTCCCTCCCCCTCCTCCTTCTGTCCTTCCATAGCAATGAGAGACTGACTACACACCCACCTGTCATTCAAGGTGTCATCCAAGTTATCCAGTTGGCAACCATGGTGCATGGAGGCACCCACCAAAAAACCCTCAGATCTGCTCTCTTAAACCCATTTCTACCACAGTCACCCTAGTCTGTATCTTCCTTCTCTGTAGAACTTGGTAGCGCTGGCCTTTTCCAACTTTAAGCCTAAGCCTTCTTTTGCTTACTCCGAAGCTTCCCTCTCTCTTGTTCAACTCTAGCACTAACAGTTCTTTCTCAGACTCTTTTAGTAAATCTTTTGTTTTGCTTTGAGACAGAGTTTCATGATGTAATCTAGACTGACCTCAAACATGAGATCCCAAAGGTTGGGATTATAGGTATGTGCCACCATACCTGGCTCCTTTGGTAGATGGTTATCTGTTCCTGAAGGTTATTGTGTTCCTAGGTGCTGTGTGTACATCCCAGTGTCCTCAAACTCTCTCCCTGCTTGGTCCTTTTGGTTTCTCTGGCTCCCATTACCATCCACTTGCTGATGCTTCCCAAGTGGCCACATATCCACCCCAACTCTAGTCCTATGTGTCAAATTGTAGAACTCAGCTTCCATAACTGTGCAAGCCAATCCCCATGGCCTCTTTTTATATGTCTACACATACATTATATATAAAAGCATACATGAGAAGATTTTTGTTTTGTTTGTTTGTTTGTTTGGTTTTTGTTTTTTTGACACAGGGTTCTATGTATAGCACTGTCTGTCCTGGAACTCACTCTGTAGACCAGGCTGTCCTCGAACTCACTGAGTGCTGGGATTAAAGGCATATGCCACCACCTCCTGGCTGTTTGTTTTTGAGGCAGTGTCTCACTGTGTAGCCCTGGCTGGCCTGGAACTCTCTAGACAGATATCCTCCTGCCTCTGTCTACAAGTTCAGTTCTGGGATTCTGTCAGTGAGGCTGTTTAATGTTTGTGGTTGAAGCTTATAAGGAAGGAAGACAAAACAGTATTTGAAGTTCATAGCTAAAATGTATCCAACATTGTAAAAGACAATAGATTATAAGTGAGTGACACCCTGCTGACCATAACCAGGGTAAATAAAAAAAGAATTGGCTCCAAAGAATATTTTTATAGTTTATAGTTTTTTTTATAGTTTAAAATGTGTTACATTTGTTTATGTTGTGGAATATTTGTTTAATGATGCAAAGATGTGTTGCATTCTTTTATGTTGCATTTGTTTAACTTTGTAAAGCTGTGTTACCTGATAGTCTAATAAAGAGCTGAGCCAGGAGGTGGTGGCGCATGCCTTTAATCCCAGCACTCGGATCTCTGTGAGTTCAAGGCCAGCCTGATCTACAAAGTGAGTTCCAGGACAGGCTCCAAAGCTACACAGAGAAACCCTGTCTCGGGAAAAAAAGAAAAGAAAGAAAGAACTGAACGGCCAATAGCTAGGCAGGAGAGAGGGATAGGCAGGGCTGTCAGGCAGAGAGAATAAATAGGAGGAGAAATCTAGGCTCCAGAGAAGGGAAGGGAGTGAGAAAAGGAGGAAAGGAAGACACCAGGGGCCAGCCACGCAGCCAGCCACAGAGTAAGAAGGAAAGAAAGACATATCGAATTAAGAAAGGTAAAAAGCCCAGAGGCAAAACATAATTAAAGAGAAACAGATTAATTTAAGTTAGAAAAGCTGGGCAGAAGCAAGCTAACCCAAGGCTGGGCATTCATTAGTAAGAATAAGTCTCCATGTATTTATTTAGGAGCTGGGTAGCAAGCCCCCAAAGAGCAAAAAGAAACAAACAAACAAACAAAACCCAACTACAGTAAAACTTCTGTAAACAAATCCAAAAGAGAAAATCTGAGGTAACCAACCCATCAGTGAAAGGTGGAGGCCAGGCAGTGGGGAGCGCATGCCTTTAATCCCAGCAGTCGGGAGGCAGAGGCAAATCTCTGTGAATTGGAGGCCAGCCTGATCTACAGAGTGTGTCCCAGGACAGCCTAAGGGGTTACACAGAGAAACCCTGTCTCAAAAACAAAAACAAACAAATAAACAAATAAAATAAATAAAAGGTGGGTTACCTTAAGAATAGCATTTAGGTTGGCATCAGACTTCTGAACCCAGACCAGAAGGCAGAGGACACCACCAATGTAGGTAATAACCCACTCCAGGGTAACAATATGTTGCATGAAACTGTACTTCAAGAAAAAGCCACTTTGGAGAAGTAGCTCAAACTCCATGCCAACATGCATCAAGTCCTTGATTCCACCTCCCTCATCACACATGCAGAATTTGTTTTTTATTGCCATGAGATGTGTTTTATTTTCATTAATCATATGAATAAGTTTCTATAACATCCCAGGGCAAACCAGTGAAATCTGACAGTCTGATTGGTGGAGGTTTCCCTTCCAGAGACACCCAGCGGTTGCATTGGTATGGAGTGCCTGGGTTTACAGTGTAATTTGTGGCTGGGGTCTATCTTGTAGGTGAATCTTCCTCCACATCATGAGGGAGTCTTGGAGATGACAGGGTGACATGGGGGAATCCTCCAGTCTAGGCTTTTAGGAAAATTGCTGCCTTTCCTGATCAGTGGTCTCTTTGGTAGACAGGGTGTTCTCCATTTTCTTCAGTTTGGCCTAATTGAAAGTGTCAATTTCAGTCATAAACTGGTTTGTCTGCCTTTTTTTTTTTTTTTTTTTTTTTTTTTTGTACTCCCAGGAGTCTTCTTACTTTGAGCCCACACTTCTGGCTCTCTCACTTGAGCTGCTACAGCAAGAGACCCCGTGTTTTGTTATTCTGTTTTTGCTATTGTTATTTTGAGACAGAGTTTCTCTATGTAACCCTGGCTGTCCTGGAACTCATTCTATAGACCAGGCTGGCCTCGAACTCAGAGATCCACCTGCCTCTGCCTCCCAAGTGCTGGGATTAAAGGCATGAGCCACCACTGCCTGACATGTGGTAAAATTTTTAATTACTGTTTCTAATTCATTGGATGTTGTAGGTCTATTTAAATTATCTACTTCACCTGGATCTAGCTTAGGTAGGTCATATGTATATGGAAATTCATTCATGTTTTTAGTTTTTTTTCAGTTTGTTAGAATAGAGATTTTTTTTTTTTTTTTTTTTTTTTTTTTTTGGTTTTTCAAGACAGGGTTTCTTTCTGTGTAGTTTTGCACCTTTCCTGGATCTCACTCTGTAGACCAGGCTGGCCTCGAACTCACAAAGATCCGCCTGCCTCTGCATCCCGAGTGCTGGGATTAAAGGCGTGCGCCACTACCACCCGGCCAGAATACAGATTTTTAAAGTATGATCTTACGAGTCTCTGGATTTCCTCATTATCTGTTGTAATGTCTTAGTTTTTGTCTCTAATGTTATTAAATTGGAAATTCTTCCCCTTTTGGTTAATTTGGCTAAAGTTTTGACAAACTTGTTAACATTTTCAAGAAACAATTCTTTGTTTCGTTGATTCTTTGTATCTTTTTTTTTTCATTTCTGTTTCATCCCTGAGTTTGGTAATTTCTTCCAGTCTACTCTTGTTGGGTGTTGTTTGTTCTTGTTTTTCTAACGCTTTCAAGTGTGGCATTAATTGTCAGTGGGAGCACTCAGTTCTTGGTGCAGGCTCAGGGCTGCGAACGCCGCTCTAGGCGCTGCCTTCACTGTGTCCCCTAGAGCTGGGTCTGTCGTGTTCTCACTCCCTTCACTTCCAGGAAGTGTTCATTGCCTTCTTGACCCGATTGCCATTCACGTATGTCGCTTAGTCTCCGTGACTGTGCACTTTTTGTGGTTTCGGTTGTTGTTGGTGTCCAGCTTCGTTCTTCATGGTCAGATGAAATGCAGGATGTCACTTCAGTTTTTCTATGTCTGTTGCTTCTTTCTTTGTGTCCTCCTATGTCTCAATTTTGGAGAGAGTTCCATGGGTTTCTGAGAAGAAAGTGTATTCTGTAATTGGGCATGGAATGTTCTGTAGATGTGTTATGTTCTTTTGATTTATGGTATTATTTAACTCCAAAGTTTCTCTACTTAATTTGTTCAGATGATCATAAAAGGTTTTCTGCCCCCCTCCCCCATAATAGGTTTCTGCACAGCTGCAGTAAGCCAGATCAAGCCAAATTGAAAAAGTGTAAGAACAGCTTTATTTGAGCAAAGCAACTCTCTTATATCTGTTTTTATCACAAAGCATTTTTTTTCTTCTTAAACTATGACTGATAGTTTCCCTAAATACAGTAGTCTGGGCTGGCATCTGTAGTATTCCAGGACTTGTAGAACATCAGTCCAGTTTCTCTTGGCTTTCAAAGTCTCCATTGAAAAACTAGGTGTTGCCGGGCAGTGGCGGCACACGTCTTTAATCCCAGCACTCGGGAGGCAGAGGTACTTGGATCTCTGTGAGTTTGACAACAGCCTGGTCTACAGAGTGAGATCCAGAACAGGCACCAAAACTACACAGAGAAACCCTGTCTAAAAAAAAAAAAAGAAAGAAAGAAAGAAAAGAAAAGAAAAAGAAAACCCAGGTGTTACTCTGATGGGCCTGCATTTATAAGCTACTTATTCTTTCTAACCTGAAGCTTTCAATTTCCATTCTTTGTCCTGTACATTTAGTGTTTTGATTATTATGTGTCATGAAGAGTTTCTTTTCTTTTTGTTTGTTTGTTTTTTGGTTTTTTGAGACAGGGTTTCTCTGTGTAGCCTAACTGTCCTGGAAAAATCTCTCTGTAGACCAGGCTAGCCTCCCACTCAAAGATCAACCTGCCTCTTTCTCCTGAG